GCTTAAATCGAAGAGAAATCCGCTCAAATTAAGAGGCTTGGTTCTTGATTTAAGCTTAAATCTGATTGAATCAAGAGTATTTTTTCTCGTCGATGTTTTTAAGAGTCTGGACTCTAGATCCAATAAGTGTTTTTTTCCAGTGCAGAGACAATATTTCAGCCACCTAGAGGATCACTAAGAATCAAAGCGATGTAACCGAGTGGGATAAAAGGTAAAATCGGAGGTTCGCAATTCTCAAATGTATTATCATGTAAAGGCGTTATTAAAGGCGATGGGAACGTCCAATGAAGAGATGGCGGCATTGCGTTGACGAGAAGATGTTGCCTGACGACCTTTGGGGAGAAAAGCAAATGTGGCGTTTAGGAGACGCAGAGCACTAGCGTGATCGGAAGATTAAGATTACTTCATTTTACCTCTTCGTGTAGATGCCAGACGTTATTTTATTTTTTCTGAGACTTTTATTATTATTTCAAGAGCAGACTATATCAGTAAGAAAATTGCCATAAAATTTTGGTACGTTTTTAGGTGCCATGAGTCCATCAAAATTCATTCATAAAAATGTGTAATGTGTTGAATTAAAAATGCTATTGACCCTCCCAAATGATGAAAATACGCACTAGCAAAAAAAGTAGGACATAGCTTATCACCGACAAGTTATAACGCCATCTACCTCTCCTAGCAAATTTCAAAGAACTGGAATAAAATAAAGAGGAAAGTTGTTTAATGAGAAAACAAATTAAAATCGGTGGAGCTGCATTTAATTAGTGTTCAAAGCACAGTACAATGCGGGTGCAATTAATTTTTTCCTTATACATCCGTGTTCTTTTTATAAGTTTTTTCGTCACCCTTCTTTGTTTTTGTACCCTCGTTTCTTCAATCCTGTCTCAGACGCAGGAACTAGCTTCAGCACACTGCTCCAGGAATATTACAAAAGATTTCCGGACATCGGATGATCTCGCCCTTTATATTTCTTCCTTTTTTATTTTTTGATTACTGAATTTCGTTTTTCTCAACTTTTGTCATTCATCGAGTTTTATTTATTTCTCGTGAATAATTTCCAAGGATATATCTCAGTTTGCGGAGTATTGTGCTATAAAAATAATACTAAACTAAAAAAGGGAATAATATAGGTAATTTACTAAAATATTGGATCTCGTCGACGTGTAGAACAAATTTCAGAGAAGCATTGACAATGGATCTATTGCTTACAAGTGATGCAGATAAACACATAAACTCTGGTAAAATCGCACGAAAAATTCAATGAGCACTCTAAAAAAGTCTTTAATTCACTCTTAAAAACACAACTTACGTAGTCCTTGATAGGAGTTTTTAAATTTTCTGCGCCGCGCGCACTGTGCGGGGTGAGCCGAACGTAGGAGGGGGGGGGGGCATTTGCTGATGTCGAGTGGCCACAGTAAATTTTGTGAAAATTGCTCCCCCATATTGAATTTTAACCAGTTTTAGCGTAAAATTTGTGCGTCATTTGACAGTTGAAAATGGAAGAATTATACCTCTCTTGGCGCAATTTTATTTTAACAAATGGACTATTCATTTCTGCAATGTAAGGTATTTGTAAAAAACGGACTCTTTCCCACGAAATTTCTTTCCCTCCTATTTCACCCCTTTCCGCCCTCTTTACTTGTTTTGGCTCGAGGGGCCTGCCATCATACCTCGCCCCCGAATCCGCCACCGGTAGAGGGAAAGCAGATAAGCATAAATGGATGTACTTATGCTAAAAGGAACTAAATTACTCTCAAATCCTATGCACATGGTTCCTTTTAGCATAGATAATTCCAAATAATTTGAGACGGCTGAGAATATCCGCGGAAAATCAGTTTCATGGATAAAAAAACCTGTTTAAAACCTATAAAATCAATAAAATCTGTATGATATGTGATATACTTAGATTCCAAGTTACCCTCGCAACTACCCGACTGATATTAATAGAACTGTCCCAGTTCTCGCACTCCCATTCACAATAAAAACTGAGAGCCGTAAGTTGAGGGCTGAACGTCGACCGTAAAGTTAGGAACTCATGAATCCGTCCGAGTCCTCAAAACGGAGTTTCTTAAAGATCGGGACTTGGGGGACGTGAATTGCGATGTATCGATTGTTATGCCATTTAAACCTATGGTAAAGAATCGATTATTTGGGTGTTCGCTGCGAACACCCTGTTTTCCGATCCTTTTCCATAGGTTTAAATGGCATAACACTCGATCTATCGCAATTCACGCCACGCCACTGGCGAGGATCGAGCCGGGGTCGGGAGAAACACCGTCTGACTTCCTTTATCGCCGCCGGAGAAGGTGTTTCCGAGCATCAAAAAACGAACGCCGGGGGAGCTGCACTGCCCGGGAGAAAGTTCGCGACGGACGGAATGCAGAATTTCACGCAAGATAAATTTCCCTACTCCTGCACCCGTGATAAATGGTCACTATCAATTTCGCCTATTCTCATTTTAATGGTGTGCCGCGGAGCCGTCCAATAGACGTCTTGAGGCTTTTCTGCGGCTCTTTTTTCCGCCCTCCTCCCCCCGCCCCCCCCCTCGGGGGAGCAGAGCCTCGCCTCCCTTCCGCCGACCCCTTTGGCTGCCTCCCGCCTCTCGTTCCCCCTATCGCCTTTTTTCATCGTCAAACTTCATATCTCCGTTCGAATGTTATTAATCATTCGAGCGGTTTCGAAACGAAGACGTTTTAAGTACACTGGATTAGCTGGGATACTGGCTCTCCCGATTTGGGGGGCGTACTCAGTTGCCAGCATAAACTCTCGGAATCGCTCAGTGTTCCATATACAGCGAATGTTGCCGCCGCATATTCTAATTTGTCGTATTTATGCCGAAAGGAACTTTGTGCATGATGCATATGCTAGTCGATGGTGAAATTAACATACCGCGTTTCTCATTTATGGTGTTTAAAAATCTCCATTCCTATTTAATTTTTTTGTAAGGAGACTAAATCAAAATCATCTTCAGAAGTTTTTCAAAAATTTGCCGCACACTTTATCAAGGGTATTTTCAAAAATTGGCGTTAAGTAGTTCTCTGTTTTGAAAAAATAAATTATAAAGTATCTGCAACGTCGTAAACCAATATGTGTGGTTTAGGAGTTTCACCATCGTAGTGTCACACGATCAAATCGAGCCATCATATGGACAGGGTCAAACACCTTTTCTTCAAATATCAGCGGCCCGCAGGTATTTGATTAGGGTATTAGGGGTATTAGGGGGTAGGTATTAGGACTACTACGTCCGTGACTACTATCTACTAGAAGTAGGAAAATGTAAGGGAAGAGCGGTGCAGAATGGATTGTGCTATTGGAGGAGATTGGACATGAAATTTTTTCACCGAAGCTGCAAATTTTTATGTTTATTCTGTAACAATATACATTTTAAGGGATACTTCTTGTAACATCACGAGAAAATAAAAATATAACATTTTTTAAAGTTTCCAAATCATGCCTGACCTCTCCCATTAACGCGCCTCACTGTGTGACGGTAACATTTTGTCACATGTCCTAATCGTTGAAAATTACAGGAAATATCTGTTAATAGAATATAGATAGATTAGAATGCCAAAAAAAAAAATAATGCGCCCGTTGAAATTTTGATTAAAACTTAAGATTGCATGTCTGCACTAAGGAGTAAAAAAGATCTCAATGTTCACTAGTTTTTAGTGCGATTCTTCTAAGAGAAGGGATAAGCGCCTTTATTCAAATTTCACGTATACTAGTGGAATAATAAGCATAGCTTCCATGAAGCCGAGACTCATCGGTCAAATTAACCAACAGCAATAGAACGACAAATCATCAGAATCAGTGACGGCGCGGCGCGGCGGGCGCATCACATCCTCCAGCGCGCATGCAAATCCTTAGCGCCTTATAATCAGTGTATATGCAACATGGACATCCGTCGAACACGAATAGTTGTATCAAGGCGTTATAGCTAGGAGCGTCGTCGCTTTGTGCATTGATCAAGGCTCAATGATCATGTATATCTGAATTGTCATCAGAGTAAAATCTCAAATTTTGTTGGAAATTCATGAATCTAGTCGAAACTACTTTCAATATCGGATTTTATCAATGATGAATGCTTGAGATATATTGATAAACACTTGAAATGTGTCGAGCGTAGCATTATAATATGTGAACTGTCAAGCATATTCTACGGCATGCACTTGGAGTAAGAGGTGAGAGAAGCAAAGGGAAAGGGAAAGGATAAAAAAGGAAGAGGAAGAGGAATAGTTAGAGGGAAAGGAAGAAGAATAAGTTGAAAAGGACACAGAAAAAGATAGCTCTCTAAGATAGTTCTAAAGATAGCTCTGGCTTTTCTTCTGCATGATTTTTCCTTCCTTTTCTTCATTGCCTTCGTTGTCTTATTTTTCTCCTTTTTTCTCTTTTCCTTTTTCTTTCTCTTCACCTCCCGTTTCTTCTTCTCTCGTCTCCTCGTCCTCTCCGTCCTCTCCTTCCTCTTCTTCCTCTTCGTCCTCTCCTTCCTCATCTACCTCTCTTCCCTCTTTTCCTTACTTTTTCTTGCACTCTTTTCCCCTTCATCTTTTTTATCTCCACCTTTTTCATCCTCCTCTTCTTCTCCCATCTCCTCGCCATCCTCCATCTCTCCGTCCACGCCTTCTCCTTCTTCTCCTCTTTTATTTTTTTTCTCTCCGTCTTCTTCCAATTCCTAATGCGTCCTTATCAAACACATACATATATAAGGAGTTCAACGATCCGAGTCCGTCGAAGTAGAACTAGCGCTCTTTTTTTATTATTATTAATTAAATGAATTAATTAATGCAAGTGTGTATACACTTGTAGTCCCCTATACATTTAACTGATTAATATACAATGTTGGCTGTTGGGTGGACCAGATACCTGGCCCTAACTATGCACATAAAGTACAGGTACTGTACATTGCGATTAAATTATGTTGATGATTAACATGAGTCAGATGTGAATGTGGCTCATCATTGAGGACTTGGAGTTGATGCGGGTATTGTGGTGTGTTGCAGACATCGCGAAGCCGTACCAGGTGCAAGTGCATGACGTCTTGGTGACGCGGGGGAACGTGGCGGTGCTGCGGTGCCTGACGCCCGGGATCGGCGGGAACCTGCTGCAGATCAACTGGTACAAAGACCTCTCGGCGGCCGGGGCCGGGGAGTCGATGATCATCCACCCGGGGAGCCGCTACACCATCACCGAGTCCGGTGCCCTCCACATCCGCGACACCGTCGAGGAAGACTCCTACTCCAAGTTCTACTGCCGCGCCGTCCACAGACTCACCGGCGAGCAGAGCATCAGCTCCCCCGGACGCATCATTTTCTCAGGTTTCATTCTCACATTCATCACCGCATATTACATCATATCGATCTGCCGTAAACCCATATTAATTGGATTGCATTTTGCAAAAAGGAATCACTAGCATTGCAATGTTGCTAAGATTGTGCAACTTCTTTTGTCTTGGAGGAAAAACCTGATTATCCATTCATGGTTTCTATTTTACTCGCTAAAAACTGTAAATTTAAGACAAAAATTACCATCTAAATTTCATAGTTTTTCACGATCTCCGCAATTTTATTTCAAAAGATGAAGTTGCACAATCTTAGCATCATTGCAATGCTAGTGGTTCCTTTTTTCAAAATTCAATCCAAATCATATCGATCTGATGTAAACCCAGATTAATTTATAGAATTCAATTTTTCTCGATAATCCCCATTGCTAGGTAATGGAAGTTAAAACTAATGTCGTACACGACGTCATGTTCAGCATCGGTTAGCGTAGCATGCACTTGAGCAATGAGTGCTCCCCAGAACCCCCCCCCCCCCCCCCCCCCCGAAAGGAACTATGTCCATATAGCGTGCTTATGACATAAATGCGTCCATACGCAGTAAAGACCCCGGTGGACCCTAGGGTGTCCCACTGAGAGGGTCACCTCCGAATTTTGATGATGGTACCCTGTAAATCGTTGACCCTTCTTATAAAAATAAGATTTCACTGAAGAATAACATTCGGAACAATTTTTTAAGGGCTGCACAAGGCAAAAAACCACCTTCCGCCCTTGGGCCAAATTCTGCATTTTGCTCATTTTGACGATTTTTTTTTTACAACATTAGAATTGAGCTGGAGCTGCCAGCAAGAAACGCGCACTGGCGCCTACAAACCTACGGGAATACTTCACGCATTGCGCAATGCGGTATTTCAAAACCTTCATTCCCGTGATATGCTATCATGAGTGAACAAGCCATCGGTATTGCTTGAAATTTTCACAGATTATTCTTCAAGAGAGGGAATTTTGAAAAAATTTACAAAAAATGACGCTAAATTGCTTTTCGTTCAAAAAAGAAAGTATGACAGGAAGTCTGCAACACCACTATCCGAAATACGCGTTTCTATAGTTTCGTTGTCAATGAGTGTTAAAACGTCAGTACATAAAGTCAGCAGCGGGCCGATTATTGAAATTGCTAAACAAAGCTACAGACAAAGAAGACGAAAGAGATATGGAGGAATCCTATTGGTTGAAGTGGGTGGTTGCGATAGACAAACGAGGTAAGTAATAGACTAACTAACGGCAACCCAAGAGAGACCCGATAATTTTCTCCCTTAGCCTATAGGAACCACTCATTTCAACCAATAGGATCGCTTCATAATCACTACGTCTTCTTTGTTTATCGCTTTGTCTATCAATTTCAACAATCAGCCCACAGGACCCTCTTTTAATCTTACACTCTTCCCCCTCAGTTTCGTACTGGTGCGCATTAGAGTTCAAAAGTTTAATTTTGACTCCAGTTTTAATTTTTGGAATTTCTTGGCTTTGTTTCCCCGTGAAATGGTGTGGACCCAGCACCATTTCTCCACCTTGTTCAATCTTAAGATGCCTCACAGTAACCAAATAGATCAAAATTTTGGTTGATGGACCAAAACCACCAAAACGTTCCAGTTGATATAACCGAAAGAGAATTAACCATAGGTAACGAAAAACACGGACATTTTTAACCATGTGTGTTTAATTTCAGAAACGACGGCAGCGGAGCCGCCACGGATCGAATATTCGACGACAAACGTGCAAGCACGCTCGGGCTCATCTGCGGATCTCGTCTGCGTTGCCCAGGCCTTCCCCGCGCCGACATACCGGTAAGAATACCACTGGCAAGACGTGAATAATCGATTATAATCGATATTTCCCCATTCGAAGCTATTGTAAAGAATCGATTATTAGGATGTTCGTTGCGAACACCCTGCATATCGATCCTTTTCCATAGGTTTAAAACGCAGATCTATCGATGTATCGCAAGGCACGACGCGCTGTAGAAGAATGCCCTCCCGCCCGCCGCATTCCCGCATTTCATCGTCTCGTTTCCAACATTCCTGATCAGGACGCCTCTGAATACAAAATAAAGCCACAATATGTTCGACACTTGCGCCGCAATCATTTATCTTCGTGGCTCTGCAGTGGCAGGGCCCGACGGTCCCGACATGAGCTCGGCTCCCACTTGTGCCAAACAAAAGGGACACGCCGCGTGCATCGGGATCCTTACATCCCTTCACGCTGCCTTGTGACCGTGCTCGTCCCTGGCATGATAGACTCGGGCGACTCAGCCTCTCATGCGGAGTTTTGATCAAACACAAATCCGCAATAGTTAAGGACTCATGACGTATCGATGGTTTGAGGGGAACCCACGTAACTTCATTGCGATATTTGAAAATGTCCGCTCCCATACCATTTTTCCGAGCAGCAACAAGCCAATTTCATAGCTTGAAGAGACAGAATTGGTTTTCCTACAGAGAAGAAAAGTCGAGAAATTAAAAAAATTTGGATGACTAGAGTTCCAAAGAAAAAGTGAAGTATGGCGGAAATTCTACGACAACGCAAACGGAGATACGTGATTTCACACTTCGGCCATCAATGTGAACGCGGAGAAAAAAACTTTGTGCGTGGGACCCGAAGTTGAGGTCATGTGGATCTCTGAAGTTTTCGGATCACGTATCTAAAAACTTGAGGTCTAGCTGCCGAAGTTCGGGTCAGACATCTGAAGTACTTCGATATATACCGAAGGTTTCGGGTCACACATCTGAAGTACTCCGGTACGTACCGAAGTGCATGCCTCGATGTCTGACCCGAACTTCGACAACTCGACCTCAAGTTTTCGAATGCGTGATCAGCAAACTTCAGAGATCCATATGACCTCAACTTTGGGTCCCGTGCACGAAGTTTTTTTCTCCGTGTAGGACGGAGAGAGGGGGGGGAGAGAGGGAGAGAGAGAGAAATGGAGAATTTCCTTGCAAATTTTTTATTGCTTCATCTCAAAGTGCTTAAGGAGCTATTTTCACAGTATTTTCCGTATTTTTTTCTGCTGTGGGAAATAGTATGCAAATAGATTTAAAAGTGAAAAAATGCACCTCCTAATGACGTCATCTGGCGGCATTCCCCATTTAAAGAAATGTATTTTAGCAGATCAGATCATTTTGTCATATCTTCTCCGATAATTGTTCAATTCAAGAACCAAGAGTATCCTCGTGTTCAGTTAACTCAATCGTTTCCACTTAAACACGGAATTCATCAAATTTTAGACACCCGCAAATTCTTTATTTGTATGAACATTACAGAAAAGATATACATTTCTCAGCTTTAAACGTCGATATCATATAAAAAACCATCCAATTACTGTTAATGCATGCAAAGTTGACTATCTTTTCTGATTTGGACGTATTCCTGTCAAATGGAGCTGTGTGAATTATGATGTGAGCCCTGTTATGCATGTATTCTTATGGGTCTCAGGACTCTTGTCTTAATGCCCTTAGTTCCGTTTCGCAGAAATAAGTCCATTTGTCTTCAACTTTTATTCACATTTTTTTCGAACAATTCCAGGTGGTTTAAGCTCGTGGGTGACACTCCGCAAGAAATTAGAAGTGGCTCTGTTTTGGCGTCGGTTCTCTCGTTCACCCGTGTACAGACGAGCGATTCTGGTCGGTACGTTTGCGTGGCCAGTAACGTCATCGGAGAGGATCGCAGAGAACTCCAACTCCTTGTCCTCGTTCCGCTTTACACTTACATTCGACCGCAGTATCAGGTACGATAACCAGACGCATCTATGTCGAATAAGTCTATCTACATTTGAGGGATTTAGAGGACAGGGCGCATAACTGCAGTTTTTGAGAAAATTTAAATATCAATGATTTCAAGTAAAACTAATATTTATGTATATTCTGTGGAAAATTCTCTCCCAAATTCCAATTTTTAAGCATCAAAAAGTCAGTTTTAAACTTCCTTTCTGCCATAAAGATCCATATGATTTCGAAATTTCAAATACATATTTCTCAAAATAGCAAAAACTGCACTTATGCGCCTTGTCCTCCAAGCCCCTTATTAGAAGATTAAGAAAACACCTATCTGTTAAAGTTAAACCCTGCCTTGACGGACGCAGCTCTTGTTATTCGGCCCTCAACATGTGTATTGGTGGGGAATCGATAGAAACTATAGAGCAGGAGGAAGAAGCAAATGGAAGATGAAGAAAGAGAAGAAGATTAGAAGGAAGAAGGAGAAGGAGGGGAAGGATGGAGGGAAGCAGAGTTAGAAGCATTAGAGAAGAGGAGGAGGGAGGAGAAGACGAAAAGAAAACGAGGGAAAAGAGATAGAAGTGCAGGAGACGGAAGAATAAGAGAAGGGAGAAAACGAGAGAATAAATGCCTCTCGCTTTTTTTTTCTTCCTCATCATCCTCGTCTTCCTTTCCCTAAGTGGACGTATTTCTGCCAAACGGAACTATGTGCATTAAGACATGAGCGCTGAGACCTATAAGAATATATGCATAACAGGGCTCACGTTATAATCCACATAGTTCCATTTAGTGAAAATACGTCCAATTCTATTCATCTTCTTCTTCGTATTCCCTTTTTTCTCTCTCTCTCCTTTTTCTCTTTCTCTTCCTCCTCTTCTTTTTCCTCTTCTATTTATTCCTCTTTTCCTTCTTCCTCTTACTCTCTCTATTCTTTTTTATATTTTATTTCTTCAGATTTTCAACGCGTCCTCGTCAGGCGTAAGCTAGAAATCTTACGATCCGAGTGTGTCAGATTAGATCTAAAATTAAATTAAACTGGCGAAATTTTCTCCGGATTTCGACTGAAATTCCATTGGACACTGCGAGTGCCGCTCCTGCTTCCGTTAGCGATAAACTCGTTGTCAAGGACGTAAATGCGGTATCGCTCTCGCAGCAGTTGGAGCAACTACTGCCAAGGGAACTGAGTTTTACTCATGCATTAGGACGCAACACCATTATTCGTCGCTCCTCTGACGTAAGGGCATACCTTCATTTCAACGTAAGCCCTCTTTCCCGTATAGCTCTACGCTTTCTAAGGCTCATACAGAAAAAGAGATACGCCCTAACGTCAGAGGAGCGGCGTATTTAGGAGTGCATCGCTGAGTAATCAGGAGCGAGGATTCCTGAGAGTGTGAACCGCACCGTAAATCGCGTCGTAAACTAACGTAATTTGGTCTCAGGTACCGCCTCACGGGAGAGCTACCTATACATCCAGTTCCAGTACACACTCAGCGTTTCAGCCACTCCGTGTGAGTGCATTCGCTACTCGGCTCTTCTAACTCCATTCCTGAGAACCTAACGCATATATTTGGATTGTCTGCCCACCTGTGTTGTGGATCGGTTATGGAAATTACTGGCGATTCTGCAAGTTAGCAACACTGTATTTGTTTCAATCGAACGAACATGCATGATCGATTTTAGATGAGGCGGCAATAACTGGTTTTCTTCATTGATATAGTACACTTTTCCAGAGTGCTTTTCTAGTACTTTTTATAGTATGAAAACTATATGAACAACCGTTAAAACACGTCTGTGAATATGGAAACCAATGGTGCACATGGTGCTTCTAAACTGAGCCGGATATTGTGGGTCCTAATTTTAAAATGCAGTCCAAGTGTCAGCAGGTGGAAAATGTCGGCGGCATTGACTTCCGCAAAATTGGATGAATTGAATCCAAAAAGAGTTGGGAAGGTGAAAGGTCTTAGAAAATGTATATACCTTGACGGGTTTCAGTAGCAATTATTTGTCGTAGAACGCCCAATTTTTTTCATCAGTTTCGTGAGAATAATCCAGCAGAGTGTGCAAACGTTTCAAAATCAGAAGTAGGATAACGCAAACTTCGAGAGTTTAAATATTAAAGCCTAACACAAAGCAGAGCAGCGTGCGGCCAGCGCGAAGCGAAACGCGCACTGGCACGGCGCCTACAAACCTAAGGGGATACTTCACGCATTGCGCAATGCTTGAAGTATCCCTGTTAGGTTTGTAGGCGCCAATGCGCGTATCGCGCTGGCCGCCGCCTGCGCACGCCAGCCGCATACCGTACCACGGCTCCTCAAGTAACTATTTCACATCATAGGTGTTGCACAGTATCATACAAAATTGAAGGCGCTTCAACATGTTAAGAAAAACAGGCATCCTTTAATACGAAGCTTTCGTCGCAAAATAAATCAAAATGCTACAACACACAAAAAAAGAAGCGGTAGTTCAAAAACTCACCAAGTCCTAGCATCAGTATTTAAAAGCGTTTAACATATTTTTTTGAATTTTATCAAAGAAAAAAGTGACTCAATTTTTGCAGTGACACTTTTGAGTATGTCGTCAAGAGAACGAGTTTATTTTGAAACAAGAATAAAATAGCTGAATGAAAGCGGGTTCTGCATGATGAAAGTGACTATTCTTTTTTATAAGCATATTCTCTTCTTTAAACAAGCATTATTTTCTTTATTGATTCATAAGGAAATCTTCTCGGCGGTAAATTTGAGCATATTTCTACTTGAATCAAGTCTATTTTTCATCTGATAAAGTTCAAAAATCATGCTAAACGTTATTGAATACGGATAATAGGACGTGGTAAGTTTTCTGACCACCGCTCCCTTTTTATCGTCGTCACTCGATCTAATTTGCGAGGGAGCATCTTGCTTTTGAAAGATGTCATCAATACGTTGGGGTCCCTTCAATCTCGTATGATACCGAGCAACACCTCCGTGGCAAAATAGTAGCTCGAAGCGCCACGACACGCCGCGGTGCCGTCGCGAGGTTATCGTACACAAGAAAAATCGAATAGCCTTTGAGCTGAGGCAGATCAAAATTCTTATCACGCTCAGGTATATAACAAGATGGGATTTTTTTGAAAGAGTAGCCCCACCCTATTACATCACCTTAAATGGATTACATTTTGCGATTAGGAACTATTATTTTAGACTCGGAGTACACTGAACGAGTAGAAACACTGAATGTACACAGTAAATCTAATGCTATATAAGTTTTTTATGAACTGAGCCAGAAATAGTTCTAAATTTCAAAATGTAGTGTCCAAATGGTCAGTGCGGGATCTCTGAGACACATTGTCTCTGATCCTACCTTGAGACCTAGAGTTCATATTCTCTGTATGAAAAAAGTACACTTTCCATGTGATATTCATTAAATGGAATGCATTTGACCGAAGGCTGTGGACGCTGGATCAGGTGCGAGTTTCAACTGCTCGGTGGAGGGTGGGTTTCCGGGGAGCCCACGGAAGATCGACTGGCTGAGGGATGCGCGTCCTCTCATCGGAGGACAAACCTCGAAAATCCACGGAGGAGAGGTCCTCGTCCTTAAATCCGTCAGCAAAGGAGACCAAGGAATGTACCAATGCCTCGCCTGGAGCGCAGATGAAAATGCCCTTGCAACAGCTGAACTCTCTCTTCGAGGTAAGAACCTGTCTTTCAAAAATCCATTTAGGCACTATAGCTCAGAATAGGGCCTGGCAAAGAAAAAATTGCGAGCTAGCCAATTTTTTTTTTTTTTGGGTTCAGTTATATCCCTCGATGTCCCAAAGAGAAGACCCCAAAATTTAAAGGTGAGCTTTCCGATTTGGGGTGGGAGGGGGAGGGGTTAAAATGGCCCCAAAAATCGGTTTTTGCCGAGTATCTCGAGATAGCGCAGAATATAGAAACAAGTCTTAAAATTTATTTTACCCCTGATAAAATTTCTGACTTTAATAGTGTTAACTCTTTTTAATTAACATTAACCCGCGCTTTTTCTCCCAAAGATGACCATTAAAAGTTCTTTCTCGGCAGTTTCTTGTATGCAACGCAAAAGTGACAAATTTTTTCGAAAAAAGAATTGCAATATTGCTTTGCGCCATTTTTTCAAGAGAAATTGTCTTAACATTTTGTTTTGTGGAACACCTCAGGAATGCTCATCTCCAAAATGAGCACATTAAACACTTTCCTGCGTGGTTAATGTCACTCTCAACTTATTTGCACGAGCATGATGAGAGAGTTTACGGTGATATTGGGTGCTGAAATGTTGCAGCAACGTTGCCGGAACTGCACGAGACATTCATCGAACAGATAATTCAGCCGGGGCAATTCATCTCTCTCCATTGTTCCGCGTCGAGCAATCCATCTCCAAGATTTTTCTGGCTGCTCAATGGCGCGATTTTACAGCCCAGAGATGGATACATCATCGGAAGTTACCTCCAATCAAACGGTAAAATTATCTCACTTGAATTCCATTTTTCTTTTCAAGCATCATCCCTTGAATAGGAATTGATTGCCGGAGGAGAAAGCATCAGTTTTGATCTGCGATGCTTTTTTGTGCCAAAGAGTTCTGCCGTGCTGAAGAAGAACGCCATATGAACACGCAGGCGTTGTCAAATTTATACCTACTGAAAACATTTTAAACTTATTAAGAATACTTATAGAAGAAGATTTATTATTAAGACTTATTTAAGAAGACAAATTGTTTTCCACAATTTCATCTATGGCATATGAAAATATGTCAAAAAAGTAAAAATAACTTTTCTTTATACTAATTATTTTTCCAGCGATCTTTGGCAACGTTCGAAAGTTTCTACAACGACTTTCTTTTATATAGCAGAATTGGAGTCCCTCACATTTTACATGATTTACCTAAACCGCCCTCGCAATGATTTTGAGCTCAAAAAAAGTACTACAAAATCTCACACAGAAATGTATTCTTCGATTATAAATGAAGAATGTTAAAAACAGAAATGTGTTCTCCAGTCATAATTGAGTAATGTCATACGCTATCTGGTAGCAAGTAAGATGAAAGCCAATGATTTTATTAAGTTGAAGTTGTAAAAAAGAGAATTTCATCACGACAGTGGTACGATTTTAAAAGTGAATTTTAACAAAGGCAATGCATTCGGTAATCTTTTTACTACAGAGAAATAGCTGCAATTTGATGGACGGTTGTACAATTATGGGACAATAGCCACTTAAATATTAAAAATGTGCCTATTATGCTGCTGCTCGGAGCACAGGAAATATAGCATCCTTTAATTTCTCCCGCAATATTATTATTCATCTCTTATGCAGCTTCTTTCTTTATCTATATAGATCTGTGTGTTTTTGGAGATTCTGGAGCTATTTCTTGTGACCAAATAAAAGAAAATGCAGCAATGTCATAAGAAAAAAATTTCAGGGTTTTTTAAATCTAATTTTATTGAGCGAAAGACAACCTGTGCTTTACAATACTCGTCGCGTCGATTTTTATAACGAATTTTCACATGAATTTTCAGGGGACGTTATCAGTCATCTAAACATCACAAGTGCTCGAGTTCATCATGGTGGAATGTACACGTGTCTTGTGAAGAACATGCTTGGATCTGCGCAACATTCTGCAGCTCTTCACGTATATGGTGCGTACTTATGAAATAATAAAAAGTGCGTAATTAGAGGGGGCTTAGTAGTGAAATGGAAAACCTACAGAAAAATGACAAGAAACTCTCCTAAATTCTAGTGTTTTTGCATTCACTGATAAATCACTCGTTTTAGTAAATGGTCAGTGTTCGATTGAAGCGCGTTCGTTAAATTTTGAGTGGAATGAAACAATTTTTATATTTGTAGGCGAGCATCAGTCAAACCAAAATTATGGATTAGAAACGGCGCTGGCGCATCGCGTCCTCCCGCGCGCATGCAAAGCCCGAACGCCTTCAAATCATGGTGTATGCAACATGGACATCCGCCGAACACGTATAGTTGTATCAAGGCGTTAGGAAAGCGGGTCGTCTCGTAGTAATGCATCTGTGAGCTGTAACTAAAGCTCAAAAATCATGCAGCTAAGTCAATGCCACAGCAAAATTTTAAATTTTACTTGAAAGCCAGAGTTACTTGTACATAACTGTTACTGTCCATCCAAATGGCAAGAAAAAATATAGTTTTAGACTTTAATCCCCATTGAAATGAAGATTTTGTAATGGTGTTTTCTGGTGTTTTATACTTCAGAAAAAAGTAAAGAATATACTTAATGTCAGCAAATGTATACATTTAGTGTATTTTGAGCCTTTGAATAAAAAAATGACCTTCGAATATTTTCATGAACTTCCGTTTTTTCAGATAAATCAATTTTCTGTAGCGTAACTTTTTACACAATTTAAGCAGTATAAAAAGCTGCTCCAGAAAAAAATAGTTTTTGAGGAATTTATGAAAATTAAACAAAAATCTGATGCCATGTACGGATTTTAATGGCTCAAAATACACCGAAATTGTCCATCTATAGACCTGAGAAACACTTGACCTTGTTTCTTGGAAATCGACATTCTCCACGGAGATTGGCTACCCCGGAAAAGTGTTTGGTGTTAGAAAAATAGGAAGTTATTTTTGAACTCGGAGGATCAAAATACACAATTAACGCATTATATCCCAAGTCTGGGACATTTTTATCCTATTTTTTGTAGCACCGTGTTCTTAGAATGATTTTATCGTCTCAGGCCCACCAACTCCGCGAGCCCCACAAAACGTGACGGCCGTGTACGGAATGGACGTCTATCTGCAGTGTCCGGTGGCGGGGTTTCCGGTGTCCTCGACCGTGTGGCAGAAAAATGGGGCCACCCTCCCGATTCACTTCCGCCAGAATATTTTCAGCAACGGGACGCTCCTCATTAAAAGCGTCCAGGGGGACGCCAACGACCGAGGCGAGTTCACCTGCACCGTCGCAAACCTCCAAGGCCAAGTCGCCACCAGCAAAGTCTACCTCCAAGTCATGAGTGAGTCCGCATTTCGTCTTACCCCACATGTCAATTATTGAGGAAATAGACCGTATTCGATAGCGGTTCGATGCATCGTTTGGTTCAAAACAGTAGAACATAACCTCTAACCAAACTAAAAGGATTTAAGTTGGAAAAGCTGAAAATGAGAAAATTCCTAACAATTTCTCATTACATTGGCATTTGGTACTCAAAAGAATAAAAAATCTGTTACAAAAGACCCGTTCCCTCAGATTTCTGAATTTACTTTTGAGGCTATGTTTATGTTTTGAACCAATCTATATCTAGCCACCTGTAACCTTCTCTCTAAACTATCACACTAGTCTAAAGTTGGCTGCAGGTGCTTAGACACAAAGCCATAAAACAACAGAAAAAAAAAAAGAAAAAAAAACCAATCTATATCGATACAATCTCACCCAATTGATGTATCGAATACGATCTATAGAGAATTTGCAGGTGTTGAAATTTGATAAATTTCGTGTGTAAGTGGAAACTACTGAGTGAAATGAACATGAGGATACCCTTGGTTCATGAAATGAACGATTATTGGAGAATATATGACAAAATGACCTAATATGCTAAAATACATGCCTTTAAATGGGAAATGTTGCTAGATGACGTCATTAGGCGGTGCATTTTCTCATTTTTAAATCTATTTTTATAATATTTTCCATATCAGAAAAAAAGCATTAATAATTCTGTGAAATCAGCTCTTTAAGCACTTTCGGATGAAACATTAAAAAATTTGCATGCGAATTCTCTAGTTCACAACCTATGTACATATGTTATTGAAAATGTTATTATACAAACAATATTTTTTCCGTGTTTTTTTCTTACACTATTCCTTTTCTCTCAAAATTTTGACTTTTTCAAAGTTTTTTCCAATGAGGGAAAAACGTGTAGCATCATATCAATGCATCAATCTGCATGTTGTTTTCTCGTTCAGGAAGCGTAACATTCCTCCATGGCAAGAATTTACAAATTCGTATAAGAAGTGAAAAAATAGCATATTCCTTCATAACACGATGTTACGAATTCGTAAGAAGTAGAAATACTTAAATTATGAAGTAGGGAGTTCACCTCCTGACCAATGCGATAAGAATTTCAACAAATGAAATCACAATTTTTGAAAAGTATGGCTCATACACCATCAGTTTTTCATTCAAAGCCCACCGAGTTGTGACACCCATTAAAATCGGGCCCCAAAAATGCACTGCCTCAACTATACTCTATTCAGTATCCCCCGTAAGCATTAAGTGCTTTTGTTCCATAAATTGAAACAAACTCAAACGGTTATGCCGCACTGTGAAAATATTTCTTCATAACCTCTCTAGTTAGGTAGTCCTAACATTACTTTTGATTTTGTCTTTGAGGAAAAGGCTATGTGCTGTGAATTTTCCATCCACATATCCCAGTTTACCAAAGCCCGATTCAATTTCGAGTGTTTCGGACCGAAGGACCCTCTTTCTGAAACGATCACACATAATATTCGAGAGGAATAAACGTTTTTCAAATGCTCTGCTTCACACGCCAGGAATTCCTGTGGAAGGATAATCCCTGAAGGCTAGGTGGTTATTTTCTCAAGTGTTCCGCTCAGTAGACGTCAGATACATGATCGGTAATTGCCCCCTTCGGCGAAATCTAATTCCGGGCGAGGAATCGAATCTCAAACTATTAAATCAAATCAGAGGGTGGAGGACAGTGCCGTGACGAGCTTTGCGATAAATCGATTGCTCTACCATTTAAACCTATGGAAAAGGATCGATAAACAGGATGTTGGCAACGAGCACCTCAAGAATCGATTCTTTACTATAGCTTCAAATGGGAAAATATCGATAATCGATCATTCTTGTTTCACCACTGAGTAGAGGACTCTTTAAAAGTCAGCCGAGCGCGCAATTGATCGAATTAATTCGAGGAGTCGTTGTCCAATCGGTGGAAAGTCCCATCAAGTTAGCGTTCAAAATTATGGAATAACCTGAAAGACTGACAACGATTTTCGAGGAAGTGGATTTTATAGAGAAATTTCACCGGTGAGAACGAACAGTAATCGGACGCAGTGACCGAGGCAAAAAAAGCGATGGTTTTGTTCTTGTGCTCCTAGATTTTCCCCTCGTAATAGAATTGACCCCTCGAGGTACCTGCGAAAGCACACAACCATCCGAATCGATAGATTTTCTGCGTTTTTTACAAAATAAACAGCGCGGGGAATCTGCGAGATACAGAATTAGACGTGCACAGCATCATTTTGTTGCAATTTATTTTTTTCTTCTCTTCGCTTTGTTGTTACCTTTTGTGTTAGAGCCAAAAACCAATTCAATTTTTCGAGGAACGAGATGAGTTATTGGTACATGGAAATGTGTGTTTTAACAAATACAGGTGAATGGAAACATTTTCTTCCAGACTTTTTGTGCTCATTCCGACAGAGTACTCCGTCCAGAGATTATATCGGTGACTGAATTGCGAAACCACGTATCTCCGATCGGAATGTTGCAGACCTACTGTCATACTTTATTTCTTCCTTGGAAAATTGTTCAACGTAATTTCTTGAAACCCTCCTTGATTTTTCCTCTGAACAGCAAAATATTCCGTTGAGATTTCAAGCTATATAGTTGACTTGTCGATATTAGATCCAAGCAGTTAGTCTGGCATGGACATGTGCGCAGGATGGCAGACGATCGGTTGCCCAAGCAGGTTTTCAATTGGGTTCCTCCTGGGAGGTGACGGCGTGGACGTCCTGTGAAAAGTTGGCGACAAGGAGTAGAGGAGGAGATCAGGAGGTGCCATTTGCCGGATGATATCTGGGAGGGTAGGGGGCAATGGCGATTGGGCGTCGTAGAGCGCGAGGCTGCGCTGTGGAAGTGTATGTGTATTTGACTTGTTTCTCTTTAAAAAATAAATAGGAGCAAATATTTTGAAACACCGCAAAAGAGATACGTGGTTTTTCACTTTGGCCTCAATTTATTTTAGAGACCCCCATAATACCATGTTTCTGACAGTGTAAAAGTTACTTTTGAAAGTCAACGCTCAGATTGATACAATGATGATTCATGATCAAAGAGTTGAGCGGTTGGTTTAGAATCGTAACCTGCCTACTTACATAAGAACCGGTCTCACTACGCTCCCTGCCGCTCTGTGATGCACAACTGTCATAATGCCCTGTCCTCCCACAGTCCTTAGGGCAGTTGGCACTCCCTTATATTATTTAAGGGAGTATACTGTGCAAATTTGAAACTTGTTTATTTACATATCTAGAAGAATAACACGTCGACTGTTGTTAGATCACCGCTTTTGATGATATTCTATAGAAACAGGTTTCGAGCGGGTTGCATACCCTGAACCTGAAAGGGGCTAAAACCTGAAAAATGGACCTTGCTATAGTACCATTTTTCTTAGGCCCTAATCATCCGATTCCTTTTTTTTTTGACGAAAACACTCGGGACACGTTCCTTTTGTACATATAACACTTATGTTGTCTCTGCGTGCATTAGTATGGATTGAGGTTAAAGTTGAGTCTTGAACGTTTGCCTGTTCAGAGCCGCCGGAAATCGCGCCGTTCCAGTTTCCGGCGAACCTGCGGGAGGGAAACCGGGCGCACGTCTCGTGCAGCATCACGTCGGGGGACTTGCCGATCACGGTGACTTGGCGGAAGGACGGCTTGCCCCTGCCGCAGGACAACGAGGTCCAGGAGCACATGCAGGAGTTCGCCAGCACCCTCTCCTTCTCGCACCTCCGGGCCCGGCACACCGGCCTCTACACCTGCATCATCAGCAACGCCGCCGCCTCCACCAACTTCACCGCCGACCTCGTCATTCAAGGTACGCCTCCGCAAAGCCACCGCACAAAGGATCGAGTCAGTAAAAGAGGTCGGACAAAATTTGAAAACTTTAAACCCTTATAAATCCGTTAATACAAAACTTTGAGGTTCTAAAAGTGATTTCATTGGTTTCTTCGTGATTTTTACTTCCAGACGCACCTCTAAAAATTTAAAATGTGACGAAATGAACATCAAAATTTGCAGTTTCAGTAAAAGAATTCATTTCCGACCTCTTTAATTGACTCGATCCACTGTGCGCCGCCCATTCTATACTTTCGTCATAGCGAAGAGAGCAGTAAGTGTTAAATTTTCGAAATCGAGTTACCTTCAAAATTCGTCTGATCTCTTTTAGATGAAATCACTGAAATAGCTAAAACAGCGACGTTTATCTTAATTGTAGGTATGAAAACGATACATATGCGAAAGCCGTATTTGTGCGGAAAATGCCGCGGTTTCAGGAGAAAAAGCCGTAAGTGTCAATATTCTTCCCGACAGCCAATGAAGACAGTGTTTTCACGAAAAGTGCCGCCCTCTTCTGCCAATTTTTAATATGAAAATGTATTTGTTGTGTGTCCAAAATGCAACTACAATAGGATGCAGAAGATAGCACTAACGTCTATCACACCCTGACACAAGCCTAACATGAAAATGAAAAACACCCTTTTTATGTAATTTAAATCAAATTTGGTCGATTTTTAATTATCCAAACGATTTCTAAGAGTCTTTTGGATGATTCACAGTGACAATTTGTCGAAGAACAGAGGCGTCTTTCAACAAAATTTTCGCCTTGTAATAATAAACTTTTCGCTTCATTTTCAGTGGCTCCCTCATGGACTGTCGAACCTGAAGACACCACTGTGATTCATGAGCAATCTGCATACATCCATTGTCAAGCTAGTGGCTATCCTACTCCCTCCCTGAAATGGATGAAAGCGAGAGGTATTGTAACTAGGATATAATTTATTGTCCTTTATTATTTGTCAATTTGAATGATATGAGCTGAGCATTAGCTGCAGATAACACATTAGTGCAAATAAAAAATGAAAAAAAAAACCAGGAGATTCGCTGTAACTATCGAAAAGCAAACATCAGTGAAAAGATATTACAAATTGCAACATTTCCCTGGTAAAACTCGGCGATAGGAGCTGCGTTTCAAAATACCATAGGAGTTCTTATAGCCGACTGAAGAAGGCGATAGAAAATCATATACCTGGCTGTAGAAAGTGGAAAAAATCATACGGCCGGGCTACACGAAGCGATAAAAAATTAAACAGCCGGGCCATAGTTCCTGTCGCCGGGCTTTACACTTTATCGCCTAGCTGTTGCTTTTTCGCCACCGGCTATAAAAGGCTAAAAGAAATTGTGTAGAAATTCGTGTGCTTTGTAAATCCGCAGGTTTGTACGGAATCACCATAATATTTACAAAACTTACATTATATTTTCCTTTACTACATATTTGTTTTCATCAATTAAAATGAGAATAATCCATACAGAGCGCGCAAACATTTCAAAGTCATGAGTGGAACACCGCTGACTCCACGAGATCAAATATTAGAGCCTAACACAAAACGGAGCTGCGGCGCAATGGCGCCTACAAACCTAACAGGGATACTTCACGCACTGCGCAATGCGTGAAGTATCCCTGTTAGGTTTGTAGGCGCCAGTGCGCTTTTCGCGCTGGCTGCCCGCCCGCCGCGCTGCGCCGCAGCGTATGTGCCACGGCACTTGAAGCAACTATTTCACACGAGAGGTATTGCACAGTATCGTACGAAATTGAAGGCGCTCCAACATATTAGGAATGGCAGGCATCCTTCAAAAGTACGGAGCTTCCCTCGCAATATAAATCAAGATACTACGGCCCAAAAAGAGAGCGGTAGTCCAAAAACTCACTAAGTCCTAGCATCCGTAATTAGTAACGGGTAGCATACACTTTATCGTCAGGCTGTGGCTTAATCGCCATCGGCTACAAAAGGCTATAAGAAATTGTGTTGCCGGCTGTAGAGGCTATTGGAAATCTTACAGTCGGCTGTAGGTCTATGGTATTTTGGAACACAGATTCTACTGCCAATTTTTACGAGGGTTTTTAGCACAAATGGATACATATTTTGCGAGAATGTTCTAACTGACAATATGCAACAAGAAACATCTTATTTGGAATGAATTCTAAATGTGCTGAAAATCGTGCAAAAACGCCAAATTATTTCTCTAATTCTAATTTTTTTTCTCTCTCTCACTACAGCCGATCAAATGAGTCATTTCACACCTTTGGAGTCGGACTCAGATTTGTACATCGCTGGAAATGGATCCATCTTGATAAAAAGTGTTCATCCGATTCACGAGGGGCACTACTCGTGTGAAGCTAGTAACGGCATTGGAACATCAATAACCAAAACAGTCTTCCTGAAAGTGAACGGTTAGTGTATGCTTTTTATGGCATTCAAATCTACCACCATTGCTTTTTTTCAACTTGTTTATAGCCCCATTATTATTGAAACTTCTTTCACATAATGTTTACTTATTTCTGAACATAACTTCAAAATCTTCATCAGGCATCTATAGACACATGGGCAGCTGTAAATTTTCCAGAGGCAGTCGTTCATCTCTCCCTAAAATGATAGGATCCTCTCCTGATAAAAGTAGAGCACCTTTATAGGAAGATATGGTCACTGCGGGACCGTTCAAGAAAAATGCTAGGGTGAAATCGCCCTCTAGCCCGAAAGCTGGTCCGTCCTTGCATAAAACCAAGTAAATATTGTCAAATGTCTGCAGGCAACCATTGCTACTTCCAAACTGCTCAAATTGTCTTATCGAGTTTTTTTAAGGAGACCTGCTCTAACCGACAAACGCAGCACTATGCAGTCGACTATGTCTTCAGTTATTCTCGAGCGATAAAGCACAAAAACATAGCCCGAATATACGAATAAAGAAGGAAATTTAATTAAAATATGGGTAAAAAAGGCTAAAAAATTATTGAAACACTAAAAGGCAGGCGGTTTCGAGCTGTTACCAGCTTATTTTCAGCTGCAAAAACACATAAAAACAAGTGAAAAATTGAGCGGCGACCTGACCCCAGCCGTTATCACGTAACCACTCCAGGTTACGTGAGGTTACGTACCACGAGTGGTCACGTGATAACGACTGGAGTCAGGTCGCCGCTCAATTTTACACTTGTCTTTATGTGTTTTTGCAGCTGAAAATGCGCTGGTAACAGCTCGAAACGTCCTGCCTTTTAGTGTTTCAATAATATTTTTAGCCTTGTTTACCCATATTTTAATTAAATCTTCTTCGTTATTCTTGAACGAATGCTAAAATCGAGCCAAGAATAGTGATGAGAAGTTGGATTGCATTTTGCAAAAAGGAACCACTAGCATTGCAATGTTGCTAAGATTGTGCAACTTCTTTTGTCTTGGAGGAAAATCCCGATTATCCATTAATAGTTTCTATTTTACTCGCTAAAAACTGTGAATTTAAGACAAAAATTACCATGTAAATTTCATAGTTTTTCACGATTTCCGCAATTTTATTGCAAAGGATGAAGTTGCACAATCTAGCATCATTGCAATGGTAGTGGTTCCTTTTTGCAAAATGAAATCCAGTTCTCATTATTCGAGTCATACGTTGTTGGTGATGAAAATCTGGTGTTCAGTTCCAGCGTTTTTCCGGGAGAAATCGCGGAACGAAAGCGAGGCGATCGGGCAGGCGGCGAACTTGGTCTGCAAGGCCGACGGAGACGAGCCGATCCACATCACATGGGTGCCTCCCCCGAAGTCTGATCTACAACCCCTCCTCCATCGTTCCTCCCCCTCCGAGTACCACATCCCCAAACTTCGACCCAAACACGCCGGCCTCTACCGATGCACCGCCTACAACGCATACGGCCAGGATGAGATGCAAGTCAGACTCAACGTCAAAGGTACGTTATCATCGTCGGCCCAGTTGAGGCAAGAATATTTGGACTGCATTTTGCAATTTGGAACTATAAATTCTGACTCTTCTGAAAGAACACTTATGTGCATAGGGAAACTAGTGGCACATACTCTGTTTTTAAACCGGGCTACAATTTATAGTTCCAAATTGCATAATGTAGTCCATTTGGCGATATTAAGTCACATTTTTGCGAAATTATCGTTTTCAATGTGTCAATTTGTCAGTAATGAGTCAGCACAAACATAAGAGCAATTAAACCATCATGGTACTGTGTGAGCTACGTTCGTTGCATTATATTGTTAGTATTTTTTGAGCGTATTGTCCCAGTAATGCCACGAAATGTCATGCAGCAATTTTGGTCTAGTATTCTTCCAATGTTTACATATTGTTCCTCATAATTTTCTTTTACCTTCATAATTATCCAATACTCATGTAACTCTCTTCTTCTTCTTTTTCCTCCTTCATTCCTTTCCAAATTCTTCTTATTACCCCTGTCTTTAAACTTCATTTCCTTTTCCTTTTTTCTCTCTTCTTCTCATTTTTTCCTCTTCTCTTTATTCTCTTTCCTCCCTATTTATCTCTTTTCCTCTTCATATTTTTATTTATTTTCTTCCTTTTCAACATTTTTTTTTGTTTTCTTTCATCAATTCAATATTTTTCCATGTGTTGCATGTGCAACACAGAACTCACAGGACTATATTGCACATACTCTCGCTATCTGACTCTTAGTATTTATGAATGATAATGTATCTTCAAGGCTCACTTATATGAGTTTATGATGACTAACTTTGACCGACTAAAGAGACTAGTTTTGTTGACCAACTATCAGTTGAGCGGGCTGATAATTGAAATTGATAGACAAAGCTATAGACAAAGACGACAAAAAGGATTTGGAGGGATCCTATTGGTGGAAGCAGGTGGTGGCAATGGACATAGGAGGTAGGTACTGGACTAACTAACGGCAACCCACTAAAGACCCGACGGTTAGTCCATACTTTTCTTCCTTAGTCTATAAGAACCAACCATGTCAACCAATAAGATCGCTCCATACTCCACCTATGTCTTCTTTGTCTACCGCTTTGTCCATCGGTTTCAATAATCGCCCCGCAGAACTGATCAACCAACTACGAGACATTTCTCTTCCTCAAAATAAAGGCTAGACTGGTTCACTAGTTTGCCGAACTCTATCCGATTGTGTTGCATTTCCAGAGCCACCGCGTCCGCCGGAGTTTGTGGACATACGCGAGTTGGGAGCGCGATGGATGATCCTCTCGTGGAGAGCGGAGGAGAGGGGACCGGACGCGACGTCAGGAGGCTCCGTCGGGAGATACGTCATCCAGTTCTGTCGCGCCGACTTGGAGGAGCAATGGAACAACATGACCGTCGCCGAAGGCGAGACGTCGGCGAGGATAGCGCCGCTGGCGCCGGCCACCACGTACACCGTCAGACTGTTCGCCGTCAACGACGTCGGCGTCGGACCGCCCAGCGTCAGTTTGACGGCCACCACACTTCATGAAGGTGGGTCTGGAGAATAGAGGGGGCTCTTTGCTCGTTACTCGGCCCAATTTAGTTCTTCGACGGTGAAACTACCAAACCACGTATCTCGTTTGCGGTGTTTAAAAATCTACGCTCGCATTTTATTTTTTTGAAGTAGACCAAATCAATATCATTCCTTGAAATTTTCACAAAATTTTCTCCGCACGAAGAGGAAAAATCACAGAAATTTTCAAGACTGGACATTAAGTAGTTTTTCATTTAAAAGATAAAGTATGACAGGAAGTCTGCGACGTCGCAAACCGAGATACGTGGTTTGGTAGTTTCACCGTCGTCTTGCTTGTATCAAGAGTTTGCGATTTGAAGGGATTCGATTGGGTTCCTCCCGGAACACGGTGGATCGAGTCAATAGGAGAGGTCGGACAAAATTTGGAAACTTTAAACGCTCATAACTCCGTTAGTACATAACTTTGAGGTCCTGAAAGTGGCTTTACTGGTTTTTTCGTAAAATTTCCTTCCAGAAGTATCCCTATAAATGTAAAATGTGGCGAAATGAATATCAAAATTGGCAGTTTTAGTCAAAAACTTCATGTCTGACCTCTTTAATTGACTCGATCCACTGTGCGGAAGAGGGCGGCGTGGATGTCCATTAAAAGGTTGCCGGCAGGAAGGAGATCAGAAGATGTCATTCGCCTGATGATATCTGGGAGGATCGATTCCAATGGTGATTGGAAGTTGCAGAGCGCTGTAGTGCGCTGGGGTAGCGGCTTGATATGTATAGTACTTTCCCATACGTAAATTTTGGTAAGAAACATGATGGTATTGCTGATTTTCACTGAGATCAACTCCCAGGCTCAAAAAAAGCTCTCGAAGTCCAGGCCGGAATGGAGGGGATTTCATACGTTGCGTTGAAAGTTCACCTCTAAATCCAGTCAAACCATCCATGCCCAGATAGGAAGGGAGGCTTCTAGAGAATGCGGAACACCACTCAGGGGTGTTTTAGGATTTTTGTCGGTTAACGGGGGGCGTGTGCCGTGCGCCTCCTATACCCCCCCCCTTTTGATTCGCGTATGCACATGCAAGAACTTAATTTCAAAGGGGTGCCCGGGTGCCCCGCCTCTTCGAAAGGCCGCTTTGTGGTAATAGTAAGCCTAGGTCATAGTTTAAAATTTGAGAACAACACGCTCATTTAGAGCACCTGCCGATTGGTAAAAACTTTGTGAATTGACCTACGAGATCTCCATAGAGTAGACCTCAGTAGATATAACTAGAGACGGAAGATAAGAGAGCCTTCAAGAAAGGAGCCTTAATATCTGAGTATCTGAGAATTTCATCAACATGGGGATGAGATGAAACATTATTATGAAATTAGCTTCTGGTAAAAATCCCATGTAGGAGAAATATATATGATAATCGGTAATGTTTGCAATGATTTCTTGATAATAATTCAATGTTAGGTATCGGAGAAATTGTTCAATTCTGTTGTCTGTTAACAGCGCCTAGCAGTGCTCCCACAGGGGTGATCGCGGAGAGTATCGATTCGACAAGCATTCTCGTGAAATGGAAGGTAATTTTATGGTTTATTTTTAATAAAACAAATGTGATAAGATACGTATACATATTATTTTTAAAGTTAAGAGTCATTTCGGAACATTCCATTACGCTTGTTCCTAGGTGGTGAGGCCGGAAAAAAAAAACCTCATGAGTCTATTCCGGCTGTATAACGATTTTCCTCACCATCCCGATTTTCCAGGAAAATACCCGACGAGCAGTTTTTTTTTTAAAATTAACAATATTTCATCTCAACAAACTTCATAAAACATTTTTTTATATTGACTGTTTTCCCCTTCTCTTTCCTTTGCGAGAATTGCCGGAATTATTAGGAATGTAAAATTTATAGCAACTGTTTTCAGTAAAAGTGTATCAAGATTTTAATCATATGGACGTATTTCTATCAAACGGAACTATGTGCATTATTACGTGAGCCCTGTCATGCATATATTCTTATGGGTCTCAGGGATCATGTCTTAATGCACATAGTTCCGTTTGGTAGAAATACGTCCATATAATCCTATGGTTTTAATTTGACATATGAATGCATTGATTGAAAATTTTGCTCTGATGATGACGGAAGCGGAAAAGCTTCAGTAAAGATACTCACACAATGCCTTTTCTCATTCTCTATCTGCTGGAGTTCTCGCCAAATAAGTTTACGCACCTCTAGACTGCGACAGAAGGTCGTCTGACGCCTTTTTTACATGTAAAGTAAATGGAAGAATCCAGATGGTGGACCTTCTGTTGCAGTCTAAAAGTGCGTGAAATTAATTGGCGTGGACAATAAAAGTGTTTCGTATGGCATAATAAAAAAGGGTGTCATTCTTCGTGAAAGTTCACTTCAGTTTAGTAATTAACAATAAGTGAAATAAAATGGACGTATTTCTGCCAAACGGAACTAAGCGCCATCGGGGGAGGAAGGTAGAGGGGGGCTTAGATTGGCGGCGGAGCCGGGCGTCGGGCTCATTCCGCCCTATACTTGCGATGCTTTTCCATGGCGCTTAGTTCTGTTTGACAGAACGCGCTATCCGGCATTCTAAATTCCTCAAAAGGAACTCAAATTGGCGCTTAGCTCCGTCTGACAGAAATACGTCCAAATGAGTAATATTGAATCAGATTTATTTCAACCGTACTGATAATTGACTCTGGTGGTAATTTAGCCGGCTGCAGAGGACTTAGCGCATAATAATATAGCCGGTTACCTGATAGAGTACGGAGACACGAAGGACGACTGGGCTCAAACGCGCACCGTCCGAGGACGGAAAAGATTCGAGTACATCTTGCATCAACTGAAAGAATTCACATCCTACAAAATCACCGTCAAAGCATTCAACTCCGTCGGCCAAGGCCCGGCCTCAGCGCCTACCATCTCGACGACCCTCGAAGGAGGTAAGATGTACACTGAAAAAAAAATCTTGGTGTATTTCCGAAGAAAAGGGTAAAATTACCAAGAATTCAGGGTTCTATATGATCCCAGTTTTTTTCTTGGTAAAATTACCATTTATGGAATTGGTAATTTTACCGAGAAATCTCGGTAAAATTATTGACTTTCTTGGTAATTTTACTGGACCCCGGTAAAAACGCCAATATTTTTTATCGACTGTGGTAGAATTACCGAGATAAAATGGCAAAGTTACCGGGAATTGATTACCAATAAAAGTGGTATTCTTACCTGAACCGGTTTCTTACCGGTTTTTAGGTAAGCTTACCAGTCTGCCTTGGTATAATTACCAATAATTGATAAAAAGTGTGAGATGGTAAAAGTACCAACAGATCGTGGTAAAAACGCCGAGAAGTTTTTTTCAGTGTATCAACCCTATGAGTTCGACACCTTTCATGTCCAGAGATCTGATCAAGCCTTCCCTCATATACTCTTAAAAAAACTTTTACTACAACATTTTTTTTGATGCACCATACTATAAAGTCGGAACGGGTACCCTTTTCACTGATGTCAACTATTCGTGCCTCGCTGTCGTCGTTTTTGCCTACACGACCAATTGAAGGCGTTTCTCGTTCCTAACTCACTGTCAACGAACCAAAGAGGAGGGACTTACAATTACGTTCACATGTGTTCGTCCCATTCAATGCACCATAGATTGTGTGTGACTCAAATGAAATAACTGACATTGCACTGCTTTGATGTACTTCTACAACTTACACTACCCAGAGAATCATTGGTTTTTGGGTGTTTCAGCGCTCGTGAGTAGAATAATGCGAAAATGCGTATATCTCAACTGCAACGTTTATAAATCTTGGATTATATTTTACTAGTTTTGATTTTAACACCATCAAATTTTCTTTTTAGTGCCCCATCTTCCGCCAAAAAACGTTCGATGTGCATCAGTTTCCTCTCAGATATTACGAATACGTTGGGAACCTCCTCCATCGGACAACTGTAACGGCATAATTCAAGGATACAAAGTAACATACAGACAGGCTGACCCAAAGCCAGGTATGAACCTTATTTAATTTATCCGTCTATTAATTGATTGTACGTTGAGTGTGCGCGACTCGTGGTGAAATACTTGTATACGGTCAAATGTACTTAATTCGAATATCAAACATCCGACTGAAATGAGTTCCATCAACTGTAAAGGTGTGCCTGTAATGTAATCAGTAAAAACAACGAAACTACTTACCATTCACTAACGAAATGCTCCTTTCATTAATTCACATTCAAGAATCAATGAGAGTGTCCCTACGAAGTTTAACATTTTATGAAATTTTCAATGTTTTATACCTATTTTTAGGGTCACCAGTTGATTTGGACCTGAAGAAAACCACAAATTTAGAGACAAGTTTGCATTCTTTGGCTAAAGCAAGAAACTACAGTGTGCGAGTATTAGCTTACACAATGGCTGGAGAGGGCGTACAGTCTACACCAATATTCTGCGCCACGGAGGAAGATGGTAAAAAACAAATTATCTTACTTTCCTTTTTCAATTTAATTTTTATATCCTCTCATTTTTTTTGTTCCAGACAGTTTATAATGATGTATGGAACCGACCTCTCAATCTTATTGATACGCCACATGATTCTTCTATTACTTGCCCTAAATTTATTGTCTACGAATGACAGTAACGTATACTGCCGTACTAAGGAAGAAGGCTGTATGGCCCCTCAGGCGTTGCCAAATTTCCTTTGGTAAATCGCGAATTTCCTGATAAAATTGTGATAGTTTTTTTTTCTAATTTTTCAGATTATTTTGTTCGCAACTTCACCTAAAGTTCCTGAAATTTCAAAGAAAAATATTCATTATTTCCTAAAAACTATCGTTTCATCGAGGGAAATTTGGCAACTATGGAATTTTCATACGATGTTCTTCCTTAGCGCGGCAGTACAGTGTGTTACGGCAGTAAGCATGTGCATATGGTCAGATCATGGCCAAAATAAGACAGCTGATTCCTTGATTTTTCCTTGATTTGAGCAGGTTTTTTTAAGTTTTAGGTGCAAAATTTAAAATTTTAATGGACATTTTTTGAAATAAGGGATGAAAGCCCTAATAAACCACAATTCTCTCTTTTCTGTTGAATCAGTTCCAGGTGCACCATCCCTGGTTAAGGCTTTGCTGATGACCTCAGAAAGTATTTTAATTACGTGGAATCGCCCAAGTGAATCGAATGGAAACATTGTGAAATACAACGTATACATACAGCATGGAAAGTCGGTAAGTTCAGCGCCAATTACTAGATGCAAAATGAACGTCCAGTAATTCATTTTTTCTTTCCTTTTTTTTATTTAATAATGCTATTAATTACAATTACTTGCTCCAACCTCCCCGGGGATTCTGGTCTGAAATAACCAATCAGAATCGCTAGCAGGGAGAGGATCGCGGCCGACATGCTCAGTGTTTAGCAGCGTGCGAATATGAGCTCGGACACCGTTTCCAAACCTCTGCACCCCCCCCCCCCCCCCCCCCCCTCCCCCCCCGAATCCGCTTTCTGACGACTAAAGCTGGAAGTTCTCCCTATGGAATCCCCAACTGATCTTTGTAATAAAATGGCACCTGCTTTACACAATAGCTATTAGAAAAAGCTGTCGTTTGAAAGTGAATGTTTTTATTTTCTTTCCAGAATGTCAAGAAAGAATCAGTTTTTGGCGATAAAATTCTGATGTATGAAGTTCGACGCTTGAAGGAATTTCAGCATTATGAATTTTGGGTGTCAGCGTCGACAAACGCTGGCGAAGGACCATTCAGTCACAGAGTTACGCAGACACCTATCTCGAGAGGTGCGTTCTTGCCATTATTCATTTTCGTCGATATTCTCCTTAAAAATTGCACTCTCTTTACTCACCTCTGTTCAGATCACGGTGGAGATATGATGATTTTGCCATTATGCCTTAAAATTTAGAAACGAATTTAAATTCTCATAACAGATGGAAGTGGCTCATTTAAGAACAATTACAGTGACTAGTTTGCGGAGGTCCTTTTTCCTTGCTTATCAAAAATGCTCACTCTATGCATTCACTCGAAAAAGAATTTTCTACGTTGTGACAATGCTGATAGGTGCAACACTAGTTGCGACCACTTAAAAAGGCAATTAAAAAGGCAAAGCAGAAATCCCAAAATAATTAATTAATATATAATAATAAGCATAATTAAATTCGTCGTCTTCCGAATGAGGGAATGTAACTCCATTCCAAGATTGCCAAATTGACCCTTACAATCACTTTATTTTACAAAAATCAGTTGCGTGGCGTGAGGGATTGATAATCGATATTTCTCCATTTGAAGCTGTGGTAAAGAATTGATTCTAGAGGTGTTCGTTGCAAACATCTTGATAATTGATCCTTTTCCATACATTTTAATGGCAGATCAATCAATTCATCGCAAAGCACGCCACGCCACTGACAAAAATGTATCCGTTCAATTTTTGTCCAAAATTTTTCCATAAAATTTCCATTTTTTGCATGAAATCTATGAAAAAATCAGTGAAATTCTCAAGATTCTTTCGATTAATATGTAATTTATATGAAGGAAGAGGCAACATTGAAATGTAGCTGCGTCTTTCTTGTGGGAAACGACAAACTGCAAGGCAAGCAGCCAAATAAAGATACTGTCAATGCATTTATCGTGAGTTTTGAGCCATTTTTCACAAAAAACAATTACTCTTGCTTTTTTTGTGGTTGAAGTTTACATTTGACCCATTACATATATTAACACAGGTTTATCTTAGCTGATGTAGTTTGATATAATGTTTCATTTTAGTTCCAGCAAGGATTGCTATGTTTCCGAGTAAAGTGTACGGGAGTGTGGGTTCCCGGGTGGTTCTCCAATGCTTTGCTGTTGGTCTTCCAGCCCCCTCGCGCTCTTGGTTGGATCCAAGTGGTACTGTCATCGCTCCGGATGGCCCTAGAAGAAGGTTTGTAACTCAACTTGTAATTTCGAACCTGTTACAGTAAAATTTCTGTCTCCAGTCCATATTTCCAGTTTCATTAATGGTGCTGGTGAAGTATTCGATCAAAGAAAAAAATGAAATAAAAACTAAGTGTCCCCGAAATGCAGGATATATTGTGGCACTTTTTAATGCAACTAGTTAATGGTGCCGGTGAAATATTCAGTCAGAGAAAGAAATGGGGATACAATCGAATGCCCACGAAAATTCAGGGTGTGTTGCGGAACTTTTCATGCAGCTAATCAATGGTGCTAGTGAAATATTCAATCAGAAAAAAAATGTGTGACTAAAATTGAAATAAATAAAAACTAAATGTCCACGAATTCGAAAATTTAGAGTGTATTGTGGAACTTTTTCCTGCAACTGATTGTGGCGGACAGGTTGTAATAAATATGCCCGTACAAGAAATAAATCCCTACACACGTAAATCACCTCAAAACTTATAACGCAACTTTTTGTAATTCTCATTAAGCATAATTCTTGTAATTTGGACAGGATTCTGATGGACTGGAGTTTATCACTAGGACCTCTGAGTCTTGATTTGGCGGGAAACTACTCGTGTCACGCTGATAACGTTTATGGTCAAGATATCCTAGTGTATGAGCTTTTCGTTCTACAACCACCGAGCACGCCTACTTTATCGGCGACTTCTGTGACCGCAAGCGGCATTACGCTTCAGTGGATGACGCCCACTAATGGAGGAAGTCCTCTGATTGGTCAGTCTTCAACATCTCGATTTCTCACTCTTTCATGTACTTTTCCTTATCAACATTGGCTCTTGATAGGAAAATTGCTCCTATACATTTTTTTCGTATAATCACGTGCAGAATGTTGACTGCATAAAGGGTTCAAGGTTTGTTGGTCTATCAACTACTTTAAAGACTTGCATCCATGGTACAAATCGTTAGCTTCCGAATCAACAAATTTAAAATTAAATTTATTTGTGAATATCAGTTTTAGGCGTTTTGCTTGAGGACATGGAAGGAAAGGGTGTGGGGTCAAAAATTATCACGGGGAGGGGGGGGGTATCGCAAGTGTACCAACTACCTTATAATCAAGAAAAATTACAATTTGGAACAATTTTCCGGTCATGAGAGTCGAAGGGAAATCCGGACCTCCTAGATCATCCCTCCCCCTCTTCCGGCTACTCCACTGGTGATTGTGTAAGGTAGAATGAACCTTGATGCACGAATACAGTATAAAGTTACTTAATTTCTGGTATGCATGAATTATCTCAATTTTTGGCTGATAAGCTAAATTTATAATAATACAAGTTACATAGAAAATACATCCACGAGAGTACTAAAATACTGTTACGTCCATCTCTTTGTACATGAATGGTAATTCATACTTGACGCTCAGTTCAAGCTGTACATACTTTGAAATTAGTTCCCGTAACCAATAGACAATAAAAACATCAATAGCTTAGCTAGAAATTGATTTCAGTAGTTTTCGTTGCGCGAATCGTGTTCTGCATGAAATTCTGTTGAAGAATCATGTATCAAAGTGCTTAAACTCTTAACTTGTTCATTGGTCCATTCAATCTAAGAAAGCGGACGTAGAAAACTTTTCTAACTTTTCTTAGAAAAAATGTTTTATCGGGAGAAACGATAGGCATAGCTGAACTCCTCATACGGCGTTGAAACACAACATGGGCCTTTTAAGCCATATTTTTCGATGCCGCGATTATCCTAACCTAACGCGAGTGCAAATAATCGCGCCGAACTCGGTGCGGTCGGTGTCGAACTCATATCAGCGCCTGCAAGACTGCATGAATACTTCTCGCATTGCACCAAACGCAATGGGAGAGTTATTTGCGATAACTACGACCCCGGGTATAGACACATTGCCGGTAACTGGATTGAAGGCGCATCACGTTCTGAAGATGACTCGACACTCGACCGAGCTCCCTTCCCTGGCTTGCACGACGCTAAAATCGCCGGAAAACAAGGACCACCCGTCACTTTTTTTGACGGTCCATGCCCGGCTTTTGCTACAATTAAAAGGTAAATAAGTGTCTTAATTGCAATGATTCAGAAATTCGGACGATGTTTAAACGATGCAGCGATTCTGTGGCTTGATTTGCGTAAAATTAATTTTGGTTTAATAAAAAGAAAACAGAAAGAACGGAAATATCGCGTCGAAATTTTTTGTGATTTTATATCAAATCATTCTATCCGGGAATTTCTCGGAAACTTTTACAAAAACTGCGTGTAGTTTTTTTAAAAAAAAAAAAATGATCAATAGTAAAAAAAATAGTAGAGATTTGCAACGTTGCAATTGGAGATAAGAACACTTTTTTCCGCATGGGTGTAGGCATATTGCCGCTAGCCGAATAGAAGTCGCGTCACACTGCGAAGATGACTCGACCGCGTTCCCTTCCCTAGCTCGCAGGACGCTAAAGTCACCGTTAAACTAGGATTACGTGTCATCATTCTTGCCTCTCTGCTCCGGTTTTTACAATACGTAAAAGGAAAATATGTGTCCTCGTTGCAAGGATTCAGAAACTCTGAGGATATTTAATTTTTTTGTTCTGTTACATAAAAAAAAAACAGAATGAGCGAAAATATCGCGTCGAAATTTTCGATGCTAACATTTGAGATCATTTAGAGAAATTTGTGGAAAAACTGTGTGTAGATTTTTAAAAACTGTGTACAAAAATAAAATACAAACATTGGTATACGACGTTGCAATCAGAGACGAATATGCTTTCATTCGCATGCACCCGTCGGCTTTTGAATCCATTCATCTCTTATAATAATTTAATTGCGGTTGTTCTACTATTTTTTACGTGTGGTTTTTCTCACCGATTGGCGGCCGCGTGGCGGCCACAGGCCTCTACTAATATTATATCTTGTGTGCATAAAACTCATCCTATGATTTTCCTTACTTATATAAGCTGATTTTAATTTCAGGTTATATTCTTAAGTACAGGGATAATAAAGATAACTGGAAACTGGTGGAAATTGACGCCGATAAGCAGTCGATCACCCTGTACAAACTACGGTGCGGAACCCTGTACACGCTGTTCTTGTTCGCCGTGAACGCAGTCGGGAAAAGTGATCCTAGTCCAAGCTTGACGGCCTCGACAAAAGGCGAAGGTTCGCTTAATTTCTTCATGATTTTAGTGCTTGCAGGTGTCATCATGATATTTTACAGAATACCTTAATTGCTGGAAGAGGAGTTTGAAAAGGGACTTCATCCCTTTGCTACCAGCCAACTCATCGGGTCTTTCAAGTATTATTTTTAGCATTTTGACCGACCATTTGACCCTACTCTACCTTTGTAAAGAGCTCGTAAGACAAACTCTAACCCCCCTCCCCCTTGAATAACACAAGATAGGCCTGATCCCTCCCTCCCATTTTTATAAAAATAACACATTTTTTTTGCCTCTTTGCCTCATCTTTGCCTCAAAGATGTTCTCTTGCGGCACACAGTGGATCGAGTCAATTAGAGAGGTCAGACATAAAATTTTTGGCTAAAAACGCGCATTTTTATGTTTATTTCGTCACATTGAAAATTTTAAATGGTGCTTCTAACAGAAAATTTCACGAGGAAACCAATGGATCCACTTTTAGAGCCTCAAATACTCGTATGAACGGAGTTATAGGTGTTAAAAGTTTCCAATTTTTGTCCGACCTCTCCTAATGACTCGATTTACTGTGCGGCGAGGAACCTCATGCACGATCATTGCAGCACCTGATAGCGCGCACTGAAAAAAAAAGTAGCTTGGATCAAGCATGATAATTCTTGAATTTGCCGCCAAGAATTTTCTTCATCTTGCTTTAAGCTGACTTTGTCTTGATTCAAGAAAAATAATGCTTGGGTTGAGCAAAAAAGTAGCTTATATTAACCAGCAAAATTATTGATTTAAGAAGAAATACTTCTTGGCGGCAAATTTAAGATTCTTTTTTTTCAGTGCGTGTCAGGTTAAATTTCTCTTCCTCATCGTAGTCTTAGACTTTGGGTGCAGAGACAATAATGTTATGCCTCAGCTGAGTTACTTTTGTTATTTTCAGCTCCAAAGAAGCCACCAGTGGAGGATCTGATCCTGACGAATTCCACTTCGGCGACTTTGTTCCTGGACGTGTGGCCCTCGAGCAGCTGCCCGTTCAAGCAGTTCACGGTCGACTACCGGCAGTTGGCCGACTCCGAGTGGACGAGTCTCGGCACGGTCAACTCCTTCATCACCATCCCCGATCTGGAACCGGCCACCTACTACACCACCAGGATATCCGCCCACAGCGAGGCCGGCATCTCCACTTACGAATATGTTTTTGCCACCAGATCCAAAACAGGAGGTATGCATAGAGTACCCACATAGGAAGAGTACCGGCACCGCATAACGACGGTGAAAGTCGGCACTCACATAACTCGTTTGCGGTGTCTGAAAATCTCCGCCTCTACGTCATTTTTTTAAAGGAGAACAAATTGATATTATTTCTTGAAGTTTTTGCAGAATTTTCTTCGCATTGAGAAGAAAAACCATGACAGTTTTAAAGAATTGCCGTTTAGTAGTTTCCCATTTAAAAAATAATGTATGACAGGAAGTCTGCGACGTCGCAAACCGAGTTATGTGATTGCCGACTGTCACCGTCGATATAGCAAAAGCACGGATATGTCAGTAATGGAGAATTTGCATGCAACATTTTTATTGCTTAATCCGAAAGTGCTTAAAGAGCTGATTGCATAGTTTTTTTATACTTTTTTCTGATTTGGGAAATAGCATAAAAATATACTTAAAAGTGCGAAGATGCACCGCCTAGTGATCTCATCTGGCGGCTTTTCCCATTTAAAAACACGTATTTTAGCCGATTAGATCATTTTATTATATCCTCTCCAGTGATTGTTCAATTCATGAACCAAGGGTATCCTCGTGTTCAGTTCACCGAGTAGTGTCCACTTAAACACGAAATTCATCAAATTGCAGACACCTGCAAATTTTTAATCCAGAATGATTTATTATTAAAATTCTTACGACCCATCGTTTGTTAGGCACGTGCCTACATAGTTTTTGCATTTTACTCATTTTTGCGGAAGAATGCTCATGTATCAACATTCTTAAATTCGCCATCTTGGTTTGATACTGGAATCTGAAAATTGGCAGTGACATGTTTTGTGTTAGGAGGGTGAGTGCCCTTTCGGGCTCTAAGAGCTCCATATTTTGGCGTGTCCGTTCTCTCCCCATATGGGCACTCTATTCTCAACCATACATACACGAAAGCCGCTTTTAAAAACCTCTCTGGTGGTCCGCAACTTCTAGCCTCACAAAGCCCCACAGGGAATCAGCGCACCCTCAATTCTTGCAAAACCCCCTGTCGCCATCCTTTTCCTGAACGTTCCCTTCGACTCACTCCATTTACCCTCTGTCTCCTTTATCTATAGCTTTGTCTATAGCTCAATTTCAATAATCAGCCCGCTACCTTTGATCCCTGGTCCGCACCGCCATTATACATGCACACCGCTCATATATCATGTTCCCACCTTTGTTGCAAGAAGCTGATCGTAATTTTTATTTTTCAGAATTGATTCCATTGGAGTTGATACCGGAGCGATCGGACTTGAATTTTGCTCAATTTTATACGTTACCAATTTTACTAGGTGCCTTAATTGTTCTTTGCCTCTCTTCGTGTGCCTGCTTTATAGCTAAAAGAAGGTTAGTGGTTATATTTAAGTTTACTGGGAAGGAGCTGTCCATAAATTACGTAACGCGAGTTTTCAGATTTCCACTCATCCCGTGTAACGCAATCGTAACACCGGCCCAGACGTTCCAAAAATAATGACGTAAAATTGGCTTCAATTGGCTTTTAAATGAAATTGATTACTTCATTTTAAAAACATTTACATGTTTAAAACGTGCTGAGTATTTGTAAAACTTTTTCCAAGCAATGGCATCGATATGAATCTCAATGAGCCGTAGTTGTGGTGAAAGAAACTATTCAAAAATTAATAAAAGAGGAAAAAAACTAAGGAGCACGCAATTTTTTGTTTTTAACTTATTTGTACATCGACCTCCTTGAGTGAAATAGTCCAATTTTGAGCGTTTAGTTGCGCTTACACCACGCTGCAGCACAGTAAAAGCCAAAAACATAAAAGAATAAATTTGAATACTTTGGAATTAAATTTGACACGGAACCACTATTATATCTACAAAAAACACATTATATTAGTAATAAATATTTCTTTTTCATCAGTTTAAAAGAGAATAATCAATTCAAAGAGCGCAAACATTTCAAAATCATGAGTTGAAAAACGCTACTCCGCGAGTTTAAATACTAGAGCCTGGCACTAAATATCCGCAGCGCAGAACGCGCACTGGCGCCTACAAACCTAACGGGATACTTCACGCATTGCGCAACGAGTGAAGTATCCCGTTAGGTTTGTAGGCGCCTGTGCGCGTGTCACGCTGGTTGCATGCCGCGCCGCAACGCTTTAAGCAACTATTTCGCGTCAGAGGCGTTGCACAGTATCCTATAAGATTGAAGGCGCACGAAATAACTAATCAAAGAGGACTTTCAATTTTGACTGCATCTGTTACTGAAAAATGTTTAATTTGGCATTGGAGCGTTTCCTAGGCTCCCGCTTTGGTTTTCATCTTGTCATATCCGTACAGTGTACACATGAACATATGTTTTTATCTGCTCTTAGAGTCTGTTCTCTTTCATGACTTGATTCATGAATGAAATGTTTTTAAGAATGAAGGTAGTGGTAGTATGCATTTATTTTTGAGGTGGCTCCTGTCATTTAAATGAGAAGAAAAAAATGTGGACATAACATGTCCACAATTAACAATTTTGGACATATTCATTGTTGGACATTAAATCATGTGGACTTAATAAATACTGGACTTAACGTCCAGTGGACATTAATAGCGGTGGACATTTATTTAATGGACGAAAGGTGGACATAAAGTCCTGGAAGCGAGGTGAATATATCGCATTGACAGGTCGCCTACAATTTCCGGCATAGGCAAGCTCCACCGTGGTAGAATATTGGTATCGTCCCGTGGCGCGGCATACTTTGTGACAAATCGATTGATCTGCTATTTCAACCTTTGGGAAAGGATCCATAAACAGGGTGTTCACAACGAACACCTGAATGATCGATTCTTTACCGTAGCTTCAAATAGCCAAATATCGATAAGCGATCATTCCTGCTTCGCCACTGGTATGGTCGTGAAATGTCACGCACTCAATAAACACACAAAAAGCAGCTTTTCATACCGCATGAGGCAAGCTGACTGGACAATATCTCCAAAATCTGAAAAAGGGCTTATCTAGAGACTATTGCTTAGAAATAGTCGTAATGATCATGGAAATCGGCTCACACCGCAATCACACGCTGAATGTGGGAGCTGAATGTGGCTTGAATGTGGAAGTCATCATCGGCGCGATGCCTGAATTTTGCGCGTGACGCGCAAAATTCAGCAACGATTCTCAGCAACCATCGGACCAATTTTAAATTTGTCTGAACTATTCGAGTAGATTTAATACACATCTGGATGAAAATAACTCGAATTTGCTAAATTTCAGCCGTTGGGCGATGACTGTTGACTTCCACATTCAGCTGCTAAATTCAGCGTCTGATTGCGGCATAAGTAGACAGGTAGAAGGAACTGGGATAAAGAATGAAAATTTAGGGGGTCAGAGAGCTTTTAGTAATGATACTTTGGGCACACATTTGGGCATCACATTTGGGCATCATCTCTGAAGTTACGTTCCCTACCCTCACTGAAATAGATACTATGCTCTTTCAGCACCTAGGATGTCAAAAATGTGTCTGGTGATCCCAAGATGCTGCCTTTACTACCCCCGCAGTTAAAGTTACACCCTGTGAATGCAAATTCAACTGCGCGGGCAATCTAGGCAGCATATCGACGGTGAAACTACCAAACCACGTATCTCGGTTTGCGACGTCGCAGACTTCCTGTCATACTTTATTTTTTTAATAAAAAACTACTTAACATCCAGTCTTGAAAATTTCTGTGATTTTTCCTCTTTATGCGGAGAAAATTCCGTGAAAATTTCAAGGAATTATATTGATTTGGTCTACTTCAAAAAAATAAAATGTGAGCGTAGATTTTTAAACACCGCAAACGAGATACGTGGTTTGATAGTTTCACCGTCGATATTTGACATCTTAGGTGCTAAAACAGAATACCACTTTTTTCAGTGATACCGAGTAGTTAGAGATGATTATTTGGATTCCAGGAGCAGGACGCGGTACAAATCAGAGGAGACTGATCAAGTGAAAAGCTTGGCGGAGCTTGAGAATGAACGAAATAACGATCATCAAAGACTGACTTACTCACCCTCGCCCGTCCGCAAGAGGGACTCGTCACTCAGCGCCCATAAAGGGAGCGATACCTCAGGTGACTCGATTTTACAATCACTTTTGATGAGCCGCAATAGGGGAATGAATATCCTTTCAACAGCGCAACGTATGAGGTGATTCGACGGTTGCCATTTTTTGTGTCATAGAGGAACGTGCGATATATCGCATCAATTCGTTCGATAATTATTTCAGCTACTTGTCATTTTTTTTCGAATTTTGAGATTTCACTTCTGCTGTCATGAGACTAAAGAATTCATGTACCAAATTTGACAAAAAAATTCAACCTAGGAAAGGCAGAGTTTTTTCAGAGGAAAAATATCGCAGTCGAGTGCAGTTTCGATATCAGTATCGAATGCGATATTTTTCCTCTAGAAGGACCCTGCCTTCACGTTGAATTTACATTTCTTTGTCAAATTTGATACATGAATTCTTTAGTCTCACGACAACAGAAGTGCGATCTCAAAATTCGAAAAAAATGACACGTAACCGAAATTATGGAGCGAATTGATGCGATAGATCGCATGTCGCTCTGGCACAAAAAATGGAAACAGTCGGATCTCCTTAACAGAAGTGAATCAGTTCAATGGACAAATACTCATTAATATCTCGTTCAGAAGTGCAGCAAAATCAATTACAGCATAGTTGAAACGTCGCCCCCTTGACGCGAAGACGTAACTGTATTTCGGAGCGATGATACACAAAAAAAGCCCCAAAATATGAATACAACAGAAAAAATGTAAGAAATGAAGGAACAATAAGGCTAAGAACATCCAAATTCCAAAAAAGTAGTGGTTGCGTGTTAACGACTGGTGTCAGGTTGCCACACACTATTTTATTTATTTTATTAGTTTTTGCATTGAAAATGAGCCTACACCGGCTCGAGACGTCCTGCCCTGCCGTATTAGTATTTATATGGTTTGATCCTTGTTCTCCCATTTTGTCATGGGAACGGAGTTCCCCATGATATTAGAATCGTTCCGTTGCTTTCGCTATGGGATTCCCTATACCTCTGCGACCTTGAGCGTTTCGCTCAGTCTCCGATTTTTGGTTGATTTTCCGATGTATCAAAAACCGTTGTATTTTTTAGCCAATCATGTCTCTACGTCAAGTTGTGTTGATTGCTAAAATTCGCTTTCAGCGAGTTTTTTTCCATCTTGAGATGTCGTGTCTGACTGGTAAATCTGCGCAGAACCACGAAGTTCCGTTTTTAGGCAAATTCTTTTTTTTGGGAGGTTCTGATTGGTTATTTTTCGCCATCAGTTTTCTGTTCGTTGGTGCAAAAGATCGCCTACCTCGGTGTTCTTGAGAAGCCGCCATTATCCCACCTCAAATTTGAAAAATAGAAGTAAAGAAATAATAACCATCGTACAAGGTGGAAAATTGTTCTGGAGGACTCGTTACGGATAAAGAAGTCAAAATCAGAGCTCGATTGATTGATTTAATTCATGGATACGCAAATATTGCCTTAGCTCAACTGCCGCGATCGGAATGCGTGCTGGCATGAACCTCGAGACGCATTAAAACAGTGCGAACCATGGCTCTTACAGCAAAACAGCAATGCGCTTCATATCATCCCAAAAGCAGTCAAGGTCTCTTGTGATAAGTCCCGCCCATTGCCCGAGTCTTTTGTATGCTATTTTTACTCCCATCCACGTGGACCCATTATAGCCTAGGTGACTAAACCGTCTCGTATTTTTGATTCGGTGCGGGCACCCGGCGATCGGGAGTTCGATACCCGACGATGGGAACTACTTTTTAATGGTTATATTGAATGTTTTAGACTAATCATCAAAAAATAATTAATAGTAGATGATAAATGTACGAACATTTTCTCGTGAGTTAATATGTTAAACAAAAATACTGGAATATACCTTCTTCATATAATCAGCCACATGTTCCCCCAAATTAATGACGTTATTTTCTTTTTTCAATAAAGTTAATTTGCATTCAACGTTCGTAAGTTAAGCAAAAAGTACCTATTGATACAAATAGAAAGACATGAAAATAGTATGTCTAACATTTCAGTTGTTTTTTTTTATTTATTTTTTGTTTTTTTGTTTTTTCAATAAAACAAATTGACTGGGACTAGAATCATTGTGTCTCTGAAGACAAAAGCTAAGTTTTTTGATACAGAAATACTAATATATTCATCCTTTACATAATCAGGGAGATGTTGACCCAAATATTGATGTATATTTTCTCTGTTCGCCCAAATTAATGATGGTTTTTTCTTTTTTCAATAAAACTAATTTACATTCCACGTTCTTAAAGCAATATTTTCTCCAAAACTCAGCAAAAAATAACAATTTATACCTACGCAAAAAGTAAATAAATAAATAAAGCAATGACATGAAAGTAGTATAGGTAGTACACGTCTAACATTTCGGTTACATCTATTTGAATGAAAAAAATGGCAACTTAGGAAGCACATAGGTGTATCGACGGTGAAACTACCAAACCACGTATCTCGGTTTGCGACGTCGCAGACTTCCTGTCATACTTTATTTTTTAAATGAAAAGCTACTTAACGTCCAGTCTTGAAAATTTCCGTGATTTTTCCTCTTCGTGCGGAGAAAATTCTGTGAAAATTTCAAGGAATGATATTGATTTGGTCTACTTCAAAAAAATAAAATGTGAGCGGAGATTTTTAAACACCGCAAACGAGATACGTGGTTTGGTAGTTTCACCGTCGTTATGATGCGTATTCAGGCATATGCGTAGAGTAAAAATATCATACTTTACGCCGAAAAAACGAAACTGAAAGTTAAATGCGTTAACTTCCAAAAACCATACATAATCCAACGAAAATAAATAATTGGTAAATAACAGCTTTCTTGTATGCAAAGAAAAAAAATTAAAAATGTTAAAAAAGAGATGTCGACACAAAATTACATAGCCCCTTCAATTCTGAAGATACTACAAACGAACTGTACCTTAAAATTTTCATATCCCAGAAGCAAAAGTTCCCATGACGAATATTGCTATCGCTAGCGATTGCAAAAACCAACTTGTCTTACTTTTACCAATGTTATCAGAGTGAACTCAATGGGCCTGTTGCATGCAAGAGATACAGCCGTGCGAATAGACTTTTGAGAGGTTAAATGACACGAAAATTACGATGGTCACATTAAAAAAGTCTGAAATACACTCCTTACTGCGATATTTGTGTTGTTAGGAACGCGCTTTTTCAAATTTCCCGCGTCTGGGGGCAGTTTTCTAACGGAAATAATTAACGGCAACTCGCGGCTATTTCCGATCAACTAAAACTGACAACATAACCTAAAAATCGGAGTTCGTGACATCGTGAAATGAAATGTAGAAGGATGGCGTTGGATATTTAAAAGTTGTTCGATTTGGTTACCGCAAAAAGCGTATATGGACCACTACAGGAGATCACGTTGGGTTTGTAAACAAACTGAAGGAAAAAATAACAACAACAACAATGACTCGGCATCTTCCGGATATCACCGAGCCCGCCGTTTGCTCGTTTCCGGTGATTAGAAAACTGCCCCCAAACGCGGGAAATTTGAAAAAGCGCGTTCCTAACAACGCAAATTGCGCAGTAAGGAGTGTATTTCAGACTTTTTAAATGTGACCATCGTAATTTTCGTGTCATTTAACCTCTAAATAGTCTATTCGCGCAGCTGTATCTCTTGCATGCAACAGGCCCATTATCCATAAAACTTCATGGTCTCCATCAGGGCGTAGGTGGAAATGCAGATTCATATACGATGACAGAATTTTTATTATTTTTAAAAAGTTTGCTTCGCTCTTGATGAAATGCACTAATGTTCTTCGTTTCCTCTCAAAAGCAGCTGTAGATTACGAAATCTGCCCTTACGCAACATTTAGTCTTCCATCGTACACTGTGGGCCCATCGTTGCAATTCCAGACGTTCAATCAGCGGGAATGTTACGCTGGGGCTCCGCCTTCCATGACCCGGCACAGAGCTCATTCTTCAAATAGTCCTCCAGATGGCTTAAGCCTAGGTGATTTTTTTCTTCACAGCACTCATTTGACGTGCAAATATTATGTTGTACAGTAGATATCGGTTAATACGACATCGGTTAATACGACATCGGTTAATACGACATATCGGCTAATACGACGGATTTCGTTTTCCCCGGCGAAACTCCATAAGTTAATACGACAACGGTTAATACGACATGTCGGCTAATACGACGAAATCCCGTGACCCCTTGAATGTCGTATTAACCGATATCTACTGTAATACTATAGTTGATTCTAGCAAAATTTGGTATGGCCTCGACACACGCTCAAATTTCCGTCAATTTCCGATCAAAATGATGACAAAAATGGCGGTCAAGAGTTAGAAATAAAATTAGTTGATTGAAATAAGCACGAAATAAGCACGGTTGCGTGAAAATAAGACGAAGGATGAGACCCACAGTTTCATCATCTACCATCAAATTTTTGCAGGCCGCAAAAATTTGATGGTAGATGGTGTGCACCAGTCACCATTTGATCGGAAATTGATGGAAATTTGAGCGTGTGTCCATAGTGTCGAAGCCTTTAATCTTCCTTTTAAATCAGTTGAATGAATCGATGCTACATTAAGCAGATTAATTGTTCAACATTGAACAGAGTTGTTGTTCAACATTGAGCATTGTTCATTTGAACAGAGAAAACAGTGTTGCCAACTTACAAGAATTGTCACTGATACAGGGCAATGAATTGAGCACCTCAACACGAGTATCCTCAATAAATGTTCTCGTAGAGCACGGTGCAAATGTTAAACCCGTTTACGGAATTTGCCATTCTGAATGAATGTGCAGTTCTTTGCCCATTTCATGGAACGACGAATCACATTGGCCATTACGCGAATTGATCGGAAAATCGGCCAACTTGTGAACTGACTGCCCAGTCCGCGAACTGAACGATGAAATTAAGTCGAATTCCGCAAACGGTAAACGGTGTAGCAGGCGAGAGACCACAAATAAATCGGAGTTACTTGGGTGTAAATAAAAACGATCCACATCTCAGAGAAATGATAATGAACCACCTGACCGAGCTGATTATTGAAATCGATAGCCGAATAGATAAAGAAGACAAAGGGAAAATGGAGCCATCTCACTGGTTGAAAAGCGTGGTCGTCATAGACTAAGGGGAAACCGCTGGACTAACTATGGGGTGTCTTATGGGTTGCAGTTAGTTAGTCTATTACTTAACTCGTTTGTCCACTCAAACCACCCGCTTCCACCAATAGAGTCACTCCATTTGCTTTCAATTATCTTCGTCCATCGTTTTGTCTATCAATTTCAATAATCAGCTCGCAGACAGATTAGATGGAAAGCGATTGAAGGGATTTAGGTTTGGTTGGACAAAAATGTTAAGAATTTAAGGCTGAGGATTGCAGATCGAGTTTCGCACGCTTTACTTAGTGCACAAGAGCGCGAAGCAACTATTCGACCACCCGAGTGTAGCACAGTATCACTCATAATTGAAGGCGAACTTAACATGCCAATTCATCTGGCCAATTCCTGCACCAGCTGCAGTCGCTGGATTTTTAGATTTAATAATGAAAATGAACGCAATCTGTACTTGGCGCACTTAAGCGCGAGGCAACTATTAGACCATCATAGCATGGCACATATTATCCGATATTGAAGGCAACCAACGCACTAGGCTAACAACTAGGCCGTTTGTTGCACTGGTTAAAGTCGCTGGATTTCAAACTTTATCAATTCGGAGGCTTTTCTAGAAATTTTGATGTTTAGTCGCCATGCTCTGTTTTTGGACATGTTTTTGATGAAGTGGCAATTAATACTGCGCACCAGAGTAGGTACGATTTTGATAAAAACCAAGGTATACATATTTAAATTATTTCTCAAACCATGTTAATTAATTCTTTTTTGGCCAGTATGACTCACTTCGATTCAAATTTTAATTCTAAATTAAACTGTAAACAACGTGTGAGCCGCGTGATGATCATTCGGTTAATTGGACGTAGTTCTGCAAAATGGAACTAAGTGCATTATGGCGTGAGCCCTGTTATGCATACATTCTTATAGGTCTTAGAGCTCATGTCATTATGCACATATGTAGTTCCGTTTGTACGTCCAATTAAAAATTAGATTGATGAAATTTTGAAGATAACTCGACTTCAAAAATATAGCCGTTGCTGCTATTTTCGGTGAGACGGTAGTTAGCCTCATAATTTTTCCTCCAACAGTCACTGTCTTTTCCGATGCAGCGTAAGAATAAAATAAGGATCGCCGCTTTATTCCTGCGACTTGCGCAAGTGACCGATTTCAAATTCTTGCGGTTTTTACCCGTTTGTTGCAGAAATAGCTTGCATTTCAAATCAACAAACACTGCCAATTTCGCGGAAAACCCACGAACACCATACCGCGGCCAGCTCAGCTTTTATGACTGACTCGGACAGCAGCTACGGAGGAGGCAAAATCCACGCCAAACACGAACTGCCAGCCAGAAATCAGCTCAGCACGAGTAAGGATATACTTGAGTCTTAATCACACCACCCCAGTAGCATTGTCCTCTAAAACGCCCATCAAAAACGTAAGGAACTGTTAAAATTCACCAAAGAACCACTAGACAAGGTCATATGAAGGAGCAACATATTTACAACACTGTATTCGCGCTGGTTCCTTCTTGCTGAGTGCGATCCATATGACCTCTGCTGTTGAAAAAAAAAACTCAAGAAATTCAGTGCAAGTAAATTCTTTGAGAATGAAAATTTATCTGCTTAATGAGGTGGCTGTTTCTTCGTTTTTTTTCAACAGCAGGTGGCCATATTTGTTTTTGGTCAAGACTGCAAAATTGTTGAAATTTAAATCTCGCACAACAGCTCCAGCGCAGCGGCGGGAGCTGGAGCTGAGTTCTTAGGGTCGGGAAAAGCATACCTACGTATCACTTACATTGAGCTGAAACAGTTTTCTTACTCAATGCAAATGTATTTTAACAGTCTCTTTACAGGTTTAGTTTCCCTCTTTAAATTCTAGTTTCTTTAAGTCTCTTTAAACAGTCAGTGCTACTCGGGTAATCTCCTATTTTGATTATCCATGCTGCCAGCATTAGGCGCGTGTTTTTTTCTCTAGGTATATAAATCCTATTCCTAAATATAAGAAGTTCTTTCCATGAGGCGGCTAAAAGTGTTCAGTGATTTTCAACCTCCTAATCAGAAGGTTATGGATATCATAAGCAAGTGTCCCAGTTATGATCTTTATTGCAGGATTATGAGGCACTCTTAAACGAATTGACAGCCGATTCCTCCAAGGGTTTGGTAAAGTTGGAGGTGCTTTTCTGCTTTCATTTCTCAATCACAGCTATAGGTAAATTTTTCCTCTAACCATCCGTCCCGTGAAGAAACACCTGAAATGAAATGTTTTAGTATTATTAGTTACTGCTCTGAGAAATTAAGAATGCTCAATCCTTACCCACCCAAATCCACATGACTTTTCCTACGAGGTGAAATAAGATTTGCCGTTAGTGCTGTATTGAGACTTAGTTTTGATGCTCTGTTTCCCTCACTGTGACCTTGCTTTACCTTTTTAGTAGCATGATAGCAACGCATGCGTGACGAGCTCTAAAAGTAACGAGCCGAAGATTTTTAGGAAAATTCATAAGGATTAGAAATGGTACTGGACGATTGCACAGCTCACCCTCAGTGCACCCTGATTAAGTACTTCCAAAACACGCGAATTTAGTAAATTTCCATACTTGTTTACGTGTAGAATTTTCATCATCACTATCAATGTATGCATCATATGTTTACGCCTTATGAATTTTAGAAAGGAGGGGTATCGATAAGGGTCCCTTGTGTCCCTGGCTAAATTTTCTTAATTCTACGATTTCTTTGCTCGTACAGGGTCTATTTTTTACGGTATACATCATGATTCGGTCATTTCCAGTCTCTTGTCAGGACTAATTTTTGCCTAAATATGGGTCTGAAGGCCGATTTCAGTGAAAAATGCGGATTTTCTGGCATTCGACCGCAAAACTACATAACTCACATTTTCCGCCAAAGTCGGCCTTCAGACACATTTTAAGGCTAAAATTAGACCCGAAAAGAGACCAAATCATGATAAATTCCATAAAATATAGACCCTTCCCGAGGTAGTAGTGATCGCGATAAATAGCGATTAAATCTCTACACATCGCAATTTTTGGTTCGATGAAATCGTGATCAATTTTTGTCGATAAAATCGAAATTAAATCGCCATTTAGCGCGATTTTTATTTCAATGAGATCGCGACAAATTGTCGGACGATAAAAGCGCGATAAGATCGAGGATAATTGCTCAGAAGCTAATGATCCTGGCGAGTTTAATGCCGATAAAATCGCAATATATAGAGACTTTCCCGTTGAAAAATGCTACTTGGGTTAATGCGGGAAAAATTGAAGATTTCAGGATATTCAGGGTGGGCCCAAAAACAGCCCTCATCAATATCCCTCCTTTATGATATCGGTGGCAGGTCGGGAAATGTGTGTCTTAATTGTGACGTTCCAAACTCTCCGCTCATGTCTTATTTGTTTGAATGTAAATCGACCAAGATAACTCCTTAATATTTTCAGTGGGTAAATTTCAGTTAGTGAGGAAAATTCACAGAGAATTTCGAGGAGAATATTGTAGGATAGTTATCTTCTGAAAAAAAATAAAAATAAAAATAAAAATAAAAACGAGCAGAGATTTGCAACGGTGAAATCTGCGGTCCACATTTCACGACTTGGATCAGCGACATAATGTTTATGAAATCTTGCTGCCATTATTTTTAGAGGGGTCTCAAAAAACTAGTCACGTTTGTGGAAAAAATATGTCTCCTAAATGTAACGCAGTGAAAATGAACGGAACATTCACTTTGTCAAAAAATTATTGTTCAACGCTGATCTCTGCGGGGAGGGTATCGCCCACTTTTCACGCATGCATATCGACGATGAGACTCCCAAACCACGTATCTCGATTTGCGATGTTGCAAACTTCCTGTCATACTTTAGTTTTTACATGGATAGGTACGCAATTTCAATTTTTTTTAAACTTACCTGATCCTCCTTCTCTGTGCGAAGAAAATTCTGTGAAAACCTCCGCGAATGATGTTAATTCGTTTTTCTTCAAGAAAAATAAAATAAGAGTAGAGATTCTTAAACACTACCGCAAACGAGATAAGCGGTTTGGAAGTTTTACCGTCGATATTGCATAATCAAGGGCAATCCGATGTCACTGGAATGGTCGAATTTTCCCAGTTAATCCTATTTCGCAATGCAAATTACGTGCAGGTAAATTCATATTCTAGACTGAAGAGGGAATTTATTTTTCTAAAACTATTATATTTTTTCTATTTGTTGACTCTCTTCATTGGTATTGATATTAAAATTTGCTCTCAAGAATAAAAACATACGCCATCTTGACCTCAGGAAAAAATTTAAAGAATGTTATTACTTGGAACTTTCGAGCACAATGCTATGAGACTGTATTGGTCTTGACATTCCTACATTTTTATAGGCCCTACAGACCGACTTTTGGGCAAGTATGACTCAACAAGGCGTTTCATTTTTTTCCAGATTCCACGGTATTTGAACTAGGGTCGAGCACGGAGTCAGCAGAGGTGTCACCTGAAGTTATAAGAAAAACCTACGTCAAGAAAGGAATAATGAAAACTCGGTAACACTCATCGTACGTTAGACTTGTGTTCTTTTGCGTTCAATCACACTCACAATAAAAGCTAGAAGCAGAATCTCTGACAGCCGTATTCGTTATCGCAACATGTTGAGTACTTCTCGGATGTGATCACGTAGGTTCGGTGGATTGTAAGTGGGAATACAAGGACGCAAAATCTGCAGGTTCAAACTCATAATTTCCACTTAAAATTCCGAAAAGGAACTACTACTTTTCACTTATCCGTAAAAACACCTACCTACATGAGGATATCAATGGCACATCATGTTCTTTTTAGGTGAGCTAGAAATACTCGTAAATGAGGAACTTTATACCTCGAAACTTTCTGTGAATTTAATCTAGGTTATTCAGAGCTATGTGGGTATCCTATAGGTTATGTGGTTCGGCAGAGAGCAGTGGAGGTTAGGTGCCGTAGAGCGCCAGGGAGTGCTATAAAGCGACTTATGTGTATGTATGTATTGAGAGATTACGTAAAATATTTTATGGCAAAATTATTTTGAAGGTTCTGTGAATAAAATAAATCATGAGCAGAGGAAAGTTGGTGTTCAATACAGTTATACTTGTTCTGAATGTCCTATACTTGTTCTGAATGTCCTCCAATACTGGAGCCCGTTCAGACGTTCTTAACAGAGTAACGGAATAAATGCTGCAATGAAGTTAAGGCTCTTTATGAGTCCTTTTTTATCTGAAACGTACAGTTCAAATTGTATTGAAAATCTACTTCTTATTAATCTTTTTCGACTAATCGGGTTTTTTCCTCAATGTTGCAGGAGTGGAAAAGCGGGCGATGACAGCTGCGTTATCCATGTGTAATTTTCCGTTGTTTTTATACTTGATATATAATTTATTTGCTATTCCACGTTATGTTTCTTAATTTTATAAAATATAAAGATTTTTTACAACAAACCGTATTTGGATACTGTTTTTTCTCCTGATAACTTTGTCCCAGTCATAGAGCGATCATTATTTCCCTCGATCACGATTGGAATGCAATAACGCAAATTAGTATTACAGTCTTCTAAAAATCAGATAAGAGATTGGACATACATATTATGCTCATTAGAAAATTTTTGTTACTTTAAATCCCATCTTTTTACATTAACAACCTGTTTAATTGTCTTCAGTGATTATAAACCGGGGGGAAGGGGATCACAAATCATGTCCTCTTCCCTCCCCGAAAACGAAAAAATAGAACAAGAGAGGCATATAAAAGAGTGTGCAAATTAAATTTGGCTTAAAATCCAAATTTTTCCCAGTAGCTGCATCCAATTCACTTCGAGATAAATTTTATTGAAGAGAGGTGCGATTTTTTTTTTAAAAAAAGAAAACGTGTGTAAAGAAAAATCATTTTAATTTCTTTGTCAGCATTTTAAAAATAACTTTTTTTTAAAATAGCATACTTGAAAAAATTAAAATAAATGCTACAAAATTACAAAATTCTAGGTACAAAGTGAAAATCTTTAGAGAGGTGTCCTACCTGATCAGCTCTTACATGCATTTATCTTGTCAACCGCATCAAATGCGAATTTCGACGAGGGAACATAATATCTTGAGGGGTTGTAGTTCTTACCCTGTCTAGTGATCCTCGATTACATTTACTTGTATTTTTGAGCAGCGACGATTTTTGAAAATTGGCAAAACTGTTTTTCTCCATTTAAATGTATGTAAAATAATCGCCCTAGAAGCAATGAGCCTTAAAAACAATTTTTAAAAACTCTGAAAAACTGTTAAAATGTTCGAATTAGAGAGCCCTTTTTTTGGCTACTTTTTAGTAAAATTCAAGAGAAAAAAGTGTTGAAAAACTCTTAAAATATCATTGTAGTTTTTTTAACATTTTTTCAAACATTTTTAGTGTCCAAAAACTACAATTGATGTTTCAAGAGTTATTTTTTAACTTTTTTTCCTTAAATTTTACTGCTCGTAAATTTTACGTACTTTAAAAAAATACCCTAAAAGAGTTTCTCGAAGCGAACATTTAACAGTTTTTTTAAGAGCTGTCTTTTTTAAATTTAGGAGTTTTTTAAAAGTTTGTATAACAGTATAGTTGCTACTGGGGCGTTTCTTGGCGTTACTTGACAGCTTGCTCTACCTAAAATCGATATTTTTAACTGATGTGATTGGAGGGAAAAGCGTTTCCTGCTTGCAAAATCGCCACGACTCTTGAGATCAAATTTTCATTATTATCTACGCAATCAGGCTGTGGTATGTGCGTCCCGGGGGCCGCTGGATCTCTGTCTACACGAAGTGACAACACTCTCGAATGCGACAACTCCCGCTAGCACGAACAGGATGACGCCATAAATCTCAAACTGAAAAGAATGAAACACAGAGTTATATTATTGGTCTTTGGATCAGAAAATGGGGAGAGGCATTCTGCGCGGCGCACAGTGGATCGAGTCAATTATAGAGAGGTCGGACATGACAATTTTGACTGAAACTGCAAAATTTGATGTTTATTTCGGCACATTTTAAATTTTAAGGGGTGCTCCTAGAAGAAAATTTCACGAAGAAACCAATAAAGCCACTTCTAGGACCTCAAAGTTTTGTCAAACGGAGTTATAAGTTTTTAAAGTTTCCAAATTTTTTCCGACCTTTCCTATTGACTCGATCCACTGTGTGGCGTGAAATTTGCTGATGCGGATTCATTTCTTACCTTCGCTGAGGAAGCATGTGTATATATTGACATTTTTCGCAAATCGAGATGCATGATCACTCACGCAAAAATAGCATTGAAAATACTTGGCGCTGAGGTTTGACATGCATAAGTAAATGGACGGATTTCACTGGAATCATCCTCGCTTCATCAGACGTCTAGCCTACACTGAGAAAAAGCTATGGCTTATAAATCAATGAGTGGCTCATATAGAACACCATTAATAGTTGTATATGAACTAATGATTATCGGTCTGTGAACCATACTGTGGTAGCTCGCACGATAGTATGGTACCTATATAAACCATAAGTAAGGAAAAGACAATCGAGAACACAGGAAAATGCGGAAACAAGGCTAAAATACAAAATACAAAGGCAGGACCTTTCGGTACCTCACGGCACCATTATAAACTGCTAAAATTAAAAACAAAAAAGAAATTAAAATAAAAATAAAAACCAGCAAACGGCGTTACATGGTGAAATTGGTTTTGAAATGAAACGTCCTGCCTTTGTATTTTGTATTTTAGCCTTGTTTCCGCATTTTCCTGTGCTTTCAATTGTCGTTGCCGTTTCGGGCTGCTTTTACATTCTTTTTGTTCTCCATAACTAAGGTATATGTACTATTATTATATGTTGCCTTCAGTACTATTAATGGTGTCCCATATGTACCACTAATTGTTTTATGAGCCATAGATTTTTCTCCGTGTAATATCCACTCATGATTTACTTTTTCAATAGTAAATAGGACTACATTTTCCGATTAGGAACTACATAACTTCTGGCTCGGCTGTAAAAACTGAGGCAGTCAGAAACTAATGGTAAGTACCTACGTAAGTTGTTTCTAAACTGGACCGGAAATTTTACTTCCTAATTGCAAAATGGAATCCGTTTAGGCTGATTCCAGTGAGATTCGTCAAAATTCTACTGCTCATGCGTTACAGCTGCTACCAATTATTTGATGGGTAATGACTCATCCTCATTGAAAGTATTGAAATATTTTTTGTATTTGTGTAAATTCAATTCGGTGCAATACGCACAATTAGTGTCTGCCAGTATGATTTCAATTAATATAAATTGATACATATTGATGGATAAAGTGCGAAACCACGTATCTCTGTTTGCGACGCTGCAGACTTCTGACCCTATTTTTGGGGGGGGGGAGGGGGGCGGGCGGATTAATCAATTTAATTTCTTGAAAACTTCCTTGATTTTTCTTATCTACTGGCAGAATATTCTGTAGAAATTTCAAGCTTTGTAGATAACTTGTTTCTCTTCGAAAATGCATAGACTTAGAAACACCGCGATAGGGCTACATGGTTTCGCACTTTAGCCATCGATATCAAAAGTATGTATGTGCACTGTGATATGGTAGGAGCCACTTGAAATTTATACCCTGGCAGTGGAGAGGAAACTGGAGTTTCCAGAATTGAAAGCATGTAAATCATTGACCTCTTTACTTCTTATCTTCATTCATAAAAATTGGTATCAAATTTGACTGATATGCTCTAAATCTGACGAAAAAATTCGGGCAAATCGATAGCGTTAGATAGGAACCCGTAAAAAACTCCGATAACCTCCTCGTATTTATGCACGAGAAAAATCATCATGAAGAATATTGAAACGCTTGGATAGAAACTACTGATGCAGAAAAAAAAGGTAAAGTTATTTCTTTCGCCATTTTATTCAAAAATTATGACTACTTCTTCTGACTACAAGGCCCTTTCAACTCCAAGCACCCTATCACCTGCTATGGTCAGAACAGGGAAGTTTTCTTTTTGGAGAGGGGGGTGTAGGGCTAAAGAATAGCACACCTCTAAAAAAGAACTGGAACTGGGAACCCCCACAGCTTCGAGACTGGAGTCTGCGGACGCATCCCAGGAAATTCTGAGACTGAAAATGTCCCAGGTACAGTTTTTGAGCTGTTCTATATGGACGAATTTAATGAAAGAGGAGTTTGAAGATAACAGAGATGTCACTCTGTTACTAGGTAAACATACAGTGCAGAAGATATACTTAAGATCATAGAATACGCATGATTGTAGTATTTTTAGTTAGAAAGTGATACTTATTGACAAATAACGTTTATTGTAAAGTATTAATAAATAACATTTTCCAACTAATTGTGCGTGTCATGGTATATATCCTAACTTTCTATTGAAGTATCCAAATTTATCCAAGAGAGCTGAAATAATCTGTGAAATTGGAATCAAGTAATGAATTAGCTCTCAATGCTCCATTTAGCTTTAATGCTTTCGTTTATTAAGGAAATTTGGGCGATATATTTAGATGCGAGAAATTCTGATCAGCTGACTCCACTGAATACAAAGCAAAGTTCATATAAAATGAATGGAAGAAATGAACGCTTTTGTAATGGTGCATAAAGAAAACCCCGTACTAAATGTAGCCTTTTTTTTTCAATGGAAAGGTCCGATATTGATCACTTATGATTTTATGAACTTTCAAAATTTCAAATATCGTACATGCGAAAAATGCGGGCCTCGGTTGGTACGTTTCAAAATTTCCCATCGTGTTTATACATAATGGGAAATTTGTAACAAATAGGATAGTCACTCAAAATGTTTGCTTGGAATTATTATGAATGATTTTTAATAGAATGAGCGAAAAAAATCAATAGAAAATTGCAGTAGAAACTGTTGCTTGATTTTCCTTGGAATAAATGTAACATATGCAGAAATTTAAAACATCGCAATCGAAGATCCGCATTTCTCGACTTTCGTCATCGATATTCTTTCTCTTTTACGTAAAATTTTGATGAAGAAACATGCCTCGTGGCGCTTTTTGCCCTGGCTGATGGTTCCTATTAATAAGATCACTGCGTTACTTTTTTACTTATTTTTTCAGATTAAAGCTCGTAAGATCTGATAAACAGAAGCAGTCCATTACTGCGTAATCCACTGTATAAATCTCTCATTCCCTCATTAGCGTCTCTGTTTTAGTTCCAAAATCTTGGCTTTGTACACTTCGTCTCCTTTTCTAACCCGACAGCCATATCTTTCAGGAAACCACTCTGTTTATGTCAATGACATTTTATCAAATTTGGCCTTACGTCACATTTTTCTCGCAACCAATCAGAACCCCTCTTTCCATTTGGCCAGGAATTACGTCGCCCCTCTCACTGCATTTTTAGTGACGTCACGACAAATACATAAGTATAAGCTGCATCGGAAAATCCAGGTTCTCTTTTAACGTCCGAACCCTTGGGTCATCAAGATGTTTTGCAGGAACTCCATCGTGCGGTATTTATTAACAATTTAAGAACTATAATTATAAAATATTTTATACGTGTGATCGTCCGCGGAAAACTTGGCCTTATGCCGTGAAAAGAAATTGCTTAGTCGATCAGCCGCTTTTGTCGCGTTTTGTTGAAAAGCCGGATTGTAAGATTTCGACGGAAAATGCTTTTTGTGGAATAATTTTCGAGTTGTATATTTCAAAGTATTCATCTGTACTCCGAATATGGCAGAAGAGTATTTCAAATGAATTTTTTCCGATTTTACGAGTTTTTAAGTGTTTTTCAGCGGATTTTGTCTCAAAATTTCCGTGAAACACTCTTTATTTGTGCTGTGGTGTGAATAGAGCAATTTTAAATATTGTGGACCGCGGTCACTTTTGCCAAGGACGATTGCATTTATTTACAGATCTTTCATCGTTTCGGTCAAGCCTTTTTACGGCCATCCTAATTTCATTATTGCCATTTTTTCGTGGAGCATTTTTGATTAATCCATTCCTTTTTTCATAAAACCTTCATTTGAGGAACAATGGGGCCAGTTTTTTGCCGATGAGAAATTGTGCACTAACCTGTTGATGGGCGGTGGGCTTCTCTCGAAGGAATGAATGCTGAATAACGAAAACTGTGAATAAACTTGTCAAACTGAAAGCCAAGAAATTCAGGAACCCGAACACCAAAGCGTAACTGTCGCGCTGTATGTTCTGCGCTATTTGCGACCTGGAAAAAAAACAGACGATCGTTATAGGTACTTCGTTGATCACTATGAACTGGACTATATTTTGAAATTGGAAACTGCAATTTCTAGCTCATTGTCAGTTCAAAAACAGCGTATGTAATGTCGCGTTTCCCGATACACGTAAGTGTTTTTGCGGATGCAATTTTTCATGAAATATAAATGTTTGGAATTTCATGTGAGATATTTCATGAAATTGCAGAATAACATGAAACATATTTTTCAACACTAAAGGCAAAATTAAATGAAAGGCGACTGGTTTTTGCTATTTGGTGTTTTTTAGTGTGTGACGTATACCCAGCCCCTGAAAATATGTTTCTTATTTTTCATAGTTTTCCCAACTTTGTGAAATTTCATGCACATTGCATGCTCATGCATACTGCACGGAAATCTTCAATATTTCATATTTTTCCAGCCAGAAATTGTGGTTCCTAATGGCAAAATGAAGTCCAATTTGTAGTAAAATAGCCTCGATGACACGACCGTATAAAGATTCGTGTTAATATAATCACATGTCGCTTTATAGCACTCTCTGGTGCTCTATAATAGTACAACACCCACCCGCAAGGTTCTACGGGTGAAATGAAAAATATGAAATATTGAAGATTTTCGTGCAGTATGCATGAGCATGCAATGTGCATGAAATTTCACAAAGTTGGGAAAACTATGAAAAATAAGAAACATATTTTCAGGGGCTGGGTATACGTCACACACTAAAAAACACCAAATAGCAAAAACCAGTCGCCTTTCATTTAATTTTGCCTTTAGTGTTGAAAAATATGTTTCATGTTATTCTGCAATTTCATGAAATATCTCACATGAAATTCCAAACATTTATATTTCATGAAAAATTGCAGCCCTGCCCACCAGTCATTACCCCCTGTCAAACCCCTTCGGGAATCAAGCACCTTGTTCTGCTTTGATTCCATCCTTCCACCCTCTCAATGGGCTTGGCCTTCCATAAAGGTTCTCGTGACTGTTTTAAAATCCTTATCCCTCTTTATCACAGAGAAAATAAGAACATGTACCTCATCAGCGGAAGCAATGTATAATTTGTAAACCCTCAGTAAGGAGAACTAAAACATGGAGAATAGCTATTTACTATGATTATTCAAGATATTGATGATTTTTTGACGAGATTCATTGTTGTAAGGGTTCAAGGATATAGAAGTCACGCGTTCAAAATGCTATGTAAGATTATGTAGCAGTGATAATGTTTAAGTGGGTGTAGAAATTATATGCAATGGGAATAGGTGAGGAACATAATCATTAGTTCGAAATTTCAAAAACGGCGCGCGGCGTGTGAATCAAACTATTCATTTTCGTGCTGAGAATTATTCAAACTGCGTCACTCACTCAGTAACGGTGAGCGTAGACTGGAAAATAAAACTATAGGCAATGTAAGCGATGTAAACAGTCCACAAGTTGGTGGATAAACCGCAGTAGAACAAAAGAGCACTGCAACATATACAGCTGAGGAATAAAAATGTGCTGTGCCCCTTTCGCCAGTCACTCGACATCCTGGCAACTATGTAAGCTGCCCCAGCACCTGAAAACACATTTTAAAAATCATCAATTATAGTTCGGCTTTTAAAGTATTCACTTTTGCTGAAAAACCCATGATTCTTCTGTCTAGAATCAGTGGCGCCTCAGAGAACTTTTACCTAGCATAATGCGCTGAAATCTGATAAGCAATAACTACTATTATAATTGCCCAGACCAGAGAGGTTTACGAGAGTGGATTTTTACAAAGCAGAGAATTTGAAAACATAAGTAGATTTTGAAATATAATAATCGTGCAATGGAAATGTCTAGTTATTACTGGGTTCCCTTATTTTTACTGTAGTTTCCGAACCAAGAAAGAATATCAAATACATTATGTCTTCTTAAGCGTCTAGTGACCCTGGAACTACCTAATAGCTTCGTAGCTAAGTAGTTGGAATGTACATTCAGACAAGCTTTATATCTTGAGACTGTCAATAAAATTGCTGAAGACAAGAACGAGAGACAAGACGGAGGTTCTGCTAAGACGCCATGATCGTGTGCTGAGATGGCCGCCACCATAGTCCAGAACGGATGGACGCACATTGTCGCCATACATATTAACAGACACTGTTTCAAATATTACTTATTTAACTGTGGGAACTTTCAATTCGAGGTGGATGCGTGGTAAAGTTGGGGTACAAAAATGTCGGTTTCATACTATTTTCGAACAAATTTTTTTCAACTTCCCTAGGTCGGATGGTTCACCAGAAAAGTGCACCAAAAGTTGACAGAAATTACACAGGAAAGATAGGTATACGATGCCACGTTTTCATAAGCCAAAAATTCATGTTTTTCATGCACTTTTTGTTCATTGCACCTTTCTTGGTATGGTTGGTTAAGGAGGTAAGAAAAAGTTGCGAGCATACGGTTTATGCTATAGCTGTTATACTTATTTGCTCAAACCTATTTTGATAGGTATTGAGGTTTTGGGTCAGAGAAATGTTCTATTTTCTTATGTATTTGATGAAAAATTCTGTATGTCAAGACACTCAGAATCAATTAATATTGAAATAAAGCATAACTTGAAATCTTATCTGATGTACGCCAGCACTGTTTATTTTTCATTTAAATCCATTATGAATAATCGATCCTACTTCAAGCAGCTCGTTTTGAAGAATATTGATAGTTTTCAGATAGAGAAAACAAATGTTGCCAACTTACAATAATCGCCAGTAGTTCAGAATAAGTGACTCAACTTATTATTCACAATTATCATATTATTATTCATATAATTATCATTATTATTCATAATTATCTAATGCACAATGTTCAGAAGGGTTCAAAACAAACTAGTCGGATGGATTTAACCAGAGCTAGACTTCATTTTGTAATTAGGAAGTACAATCTCTAGGTCATCCGTAAAAACACCCTTGTGCTCTGGGAAACTAATGATATATTCGTTGTTTATAGAACGAGCCAGAAATTGTAGTTCCTAATTGCAGAATGGAGTTCAATCCTGGTTAATTTCATCCTACTTTGATTAATTCCCTCGTATTCTTTATTTTTTTTTTTTTTTTTAACAGAGAAGTAAACAATTGCATCTTGACTTGAAAGTTTGTGAAAGTATTCTGCCTAGGTCATAGAAAATTCACTAAAAGTCTCGAGATGTTGGATTATTTTTATTTTGGTCAAAAAATTAGGTAGGCACCTAGAACGCGACAATATATTCATTGCACACAGCTTTGAAATTCACATTTTTAACTTGATTTTTCCGACATTAAAGGAATAATTTTGACTCTGGATTGGATGGATTGGATCCTCATAGTTGTCCAAGAATCTAAGAACAGAGCCAACTGTAAAAATGTAAAAGCGTGCATACCGTAGAGTTGTTATCTTCTCGTGAAACAGCTAAATTAATATCCTTCACTTACTTTTGACTTACTTGTGATCGTGGAAATAGCCTCAACCGCTCCATTCATCAGAGGGACAGTTTTTTGTTCCTTTGCCACGGTTTGCCATAAAATTTGATTATAAGTCAACACCTGAATTTTCACGATAAATCAGTTACTATGAATGAATATCAATGAAAAAGAGGCCTGAAAAATTTTCAGCAGAGTTTGATCATTCCATTTTTCTTTAGAAATTCTGATATATTTTAAACATAAATGCGCTCATTTATGCTAAAAGGAACTATGTTGCACGCAGACCTTATGAACATAGCTCCTTTTAGCAAAAATACGTCCAAGTTCAGTCTAGTGGACATTCAAACCCAAGCGACAACTTATCAAGATGTTTGCTTTATCTCAAAGTATGGAGTAGGACTTGCTCAAATTTAATGATTAAATTATCTTATTTCGGCGAAAAAAGTTAAAACAAATACTTAAAATATGAAATACGTTCCGAAAAAAGAAATACACGTTTGCAAAATAATTTTCCCCCAATTTTTACTCTCAATTAGATGGGGTTGTCGCACTATTTCTTTTAGTTCTTTTTTTTGGAAAGTAGTAATTATGAGATCGCCTGAATTTTGCCGTCAATCATTTAATCAAATTAAGCTGAGAGAAAGACTTCCAAAGTCCCCAAAAATCCATTCCCCTTTCAAATGGGAAAATATCGTGCCAACATACTGATTGACGTCAGAGGAAGAGCATTTTGCAATCAGGAAATACAATTTTCGGCACAGTTTAGTAACAATGTATGTACGGTGGGTTTCCTTATGCACATAAGTGTGTTTGCGGATAAGCCAGAAATTTTAACTCTTAATTGCAAAATGCAGTCCAATTTATTGACCGCTGTGTATCTTATTCACCCGCGTTTGCCTACTTACTCATCACTTAGATATTGTAATGAGAGCTTGTGTATCTTGACCATGCTTGCAATATTGTCGTTGTTTGGAGTAAATAGTTTTGCGCGGTTTTATTAAGTGAATACTTAAAAAGAAACTTACCAAAAAATGGCATCCTTTAGCGAAGACCAGCCAAGAAGCCCATTTTATTACAATTGGATTCGAGAAAGCAGTCTTGAAGTCATGCCATAAGTGCGATATAACTGAATCATTTTTCGTGCATTCAGTGAGACTTTCTCGGTGTGAGTTGTCACTAATTTCAACAGATCAATTATCAAGACTTCATTATTTTTAAAAATATATTCAATTTTACTAATACTGATTACGAAATCATTAATTTTCATCGTACATCGAGAAAAAATCGGCACATCAGCGAGTCCACCAGGGATGCTCTTGGGGTGCAAGATGTAGCCAATTGGACCAGTGTGAGCAGGAGAATATGGTCAGAGCACGTTGACCGAGAGAATGAAGAGACCCTAGCGAAAATTTGTACGGTCGAACAATGCCAGTGGCGTGGCGTGAATGATCGATTATCGATATTTCCCCATTTGAATCCGTGGTAAAGAATCGATTATTAAGATGTTCGCTGCAAACACCCTGTTAATCGATCCTTTTTCACAGGCTTAAACGACAGATCAATCGATATATCGCAAAGCACGCCACGCCACTGGAACAATCCTTCGGGAAAAGATTACCTGGACGACCGCCTAAGAGATGGGCACAAAGCTGGCTCTCTCCTCCTAGGGATGATTGAAGATATTATTGCTGTTTTTATTGATTTAGCGAATCCTTTAATTTTTAGTGATTTTTAGATTTTTAAATTTTTAGATTTTTTTTTATTTTTAGATTTTTAATATTTGTATGATAAACGATACTGGATGGCCTGACAAACAGGGCTATGCCCTAGTCGTTCGTAGAGGAAGAAGAGGGAGGTAGAGAAAAAAATTACAGGATAATTATGACTATGAGCTCATTATTTTTCAACACCTATTTAGTTTAAACTGATTTGGAAATTCTTTAGTTTAGCCTTTTAGAGGAATACTCACACTCATCACTTTTAGAACAAAATAAATGGTAAAATAATTGGCTTATTTATATGTTTTCGGGCGTTTACGGGCTTTACACTTTATCGCCATTGGCTATAAAATGCTATAAGAAATTTTGTAGAAATTCGTGTGCTTTGGAAATCATTAAGTTTGATACGGAACCATCTTAATATTTACAAAACACACATTATATTTTCCTTTAAAACATTTTTTTTTTTTCATCAATTAAAATGAGAATAGTCCATACAGAGTGTGCAAACATTTCAAAATCATGAGTTGAAAAACGCTGACCCCGCGAGATTGAATATTAGAGCCAAACACAAAGCGGAGCGGCGACGCACTGGCGCCTACAAACCTAACAGGGATCCTTCAAGCATTGCGCAATGCGTGAAGTATCCCTGTTAGGTTTGTAGGCGCCAATGCGCGTTTCGCGCTCTCTGCCCGCCCGCCGCGCCGCGCCGCAGCGTGCCACGGCGTCTGAAGCAACTATTTCACATCAGATGTATTGCACAGTATCATAAGAAATTGAAGGCGCTCCAACATATAAAGAATGACAGGCATCCTTCAAAAGTACGGAGCTTTCCTCGCAAAATAAATCAAGATACTACGGCACAAAAAGAGAGCGGTAGTCCAAAAACTAACTAAGTCCTTGTATCCGTACTTAGTAATGTTTAGCATAAACTTTATTGTCTGGCTGTTGCTTAATCGCCATCGGCTATAAAAGGCTATAAGAAATTGTGCAGCCGGCTACAGAAGCTATTGGAAATCTTACAGCCGGCTATAGGTCTATAGTATTTTGGAACACACATTCTACTGCCAATTTTTACCAGGGTTGAAATCAAGAAAGTTTCCTGCAGCCCCCACTAAAGTTAGCACACATCCTAAAGCTGCTCTGTAAAGTCTCCCTTCACTTGAAGAGTCTATGCCTCTCATGAAGCTGGAGCCTTGACAATCATTGAGCTGGGATGCAACTCATTGAACACACGAGAGACTAAAATTGCATACATCCTAAATTGAAGGCAGGCCTGAGATCTGCAGCCACAGTCCTATTAATCAAATGGCTCTTTTACCATAGTGGTGATTTTGCAAGTTGGCAAAGATGTTTTTCCTCCATACAAGTCCATTAAAACTATCGATATTGACCGAGAGTCGATCACTTTTTACAACATTCAAATGGAAGAAAAACAGTGGTGCCAACTTTCAAGAATCCCACCGTTTTCCACCATTATCCGCGAAAAAAACCACCAATAGACTAGGTCTGAATTGCCGCCGGTCGAAGGACATTTTACCTTGGTCACCTCAGCAGACGATTTTGCAGAACTGTTAACCATGCAATGCCAGCCGCCTCGAACAGGAGGATCACAGCCGAGATGAAAGATAATGTAAAAAGTAGGCGTTCGAATTTGCTCAACGTTGGCACCAACCGGTGATCGGTGGAACTAGCAATCGTCTCCAGCGGGGATGTATCGAGGTCACTGAAGTCTGGCAACTTGGGGTCAGGCATCTGCCTGGATTTTTTCGGATCGTAGTACGTTTCGGGACCGGATAATTAGGGTAATTAGGGGCTACCCGCCCCAAACAGTCACTTGCGAACTGACGTCTATCGATTAATATCGGCTGGAGCGTCCTCGAATCTGTCTGCAAAAATCCGTCATTCCTCGGACGAAAGAACGTATCTTCATTTCAACGTCGCAAAATTGGCCTTTGCAAATTCCATGTATACTATAGAGCTACTGGGTGTTTCTGACTGAAAATTTCACCGACTTTTCTTCCGATTTCACCCAAAAATAAGCGCAATTTCGGACAGAAATCGCACTGTCTGATCTTCATAAATAACATAATTATTTGGTTAATTTTCCAACATTACGTAGAATTTACGTTCCTTTGTCTGCAAAACTACTGCCTGAGGGGATAGTGTTGCTTGGTAACAGACTCAACTGTCTACCTCTTACACGCGCTATACAATTTAGGAGAGAGCAGAAGCAATCTGATTTTGTCAGTTGGTTCCTTTTTCATTTTTTTTTTCAGATGGATATTCAACGACTTATAGTGAGAATATTCGTCCAGTTAGCGCCACCACTATGTTTTGATGTCGGTGGTCGCGCTGTTAGGGTCCGTATGGCCCTTTTTCAGTCTTTGATGTCCTCAAAAAGATTATACAAATTTCTTTGAAAAGTTACACTCAAGGATTATAGCTGGTGGCTCCTACTTCTAATTGGACGTATTTCTATCAAACGGAACTATGTGCATTATTACGTGAGCCTTGTTATGCATTTATTCTTATTGGTCGCAGGGCTCATGTCTTAATGCACATAGTTCCGTTTGATAGAAAAACGTCCAATTGACACTACGACAATTGAGAATGATCCTCTCTAAAGCTTTAAAAATGTATAGCTGGGTCAAATGAAATGACCTCAAATAGACCAATCACGAGCAATCACTCTCAGCATCATATAGCTATCTTTCTTGCACTCATTGAGTCACTTATACACAAAAATCATAATTAATTTCTGGCCTTTTACTATAGAAGTTTCAAATCTCCCTGTTCGTTTAATCTACTCTAGTGGAAAGCTTCTAAAAGTGCGTGGCCACACTATATGAGCGTCAGCGTTAAATATATATTGACGGCGTGCGTCCGCAATCACATATCTCGTTTGCGGTGTCTGAAAATCTCAGCCTCTATTCTATTTTTTTTTAAATGAGAACAAATTGATATCATTCCTGGAAGTTTTTGCGGGATTTTCCTCGCACAGAGAAGAAAAATCACGACAGTTTTAAAGAATTGGCGTTGAGTAGTTTTCCGTTTAAAAAATAAAGTATATGACTGGAAGTCTAATGTCCAGTGCTAATTTTGGGTCCTTTCTTTTTTCTGGTGCGAGATTACCGTAGGCTTGCGAGGGGCGGTTTAAGAGACATACCTAAAAGCTGAAGAGGGACGCGGAGGGAATATCGGGGAAATCTTGAACATTTATAGTCTCGGTCAAGTCATTATGAGTTTACTAGTACTTTCCGTCCATTTATTTACTAAACATGAAATGAAAGATTGAAGAAGAAAATTCTCAAGTTCTTTTCGTCATCTTTGGGTCAGCAGTGATTCCTTTCTAAATTCTTACATTTTAATAACCGCGCTTGATGACCTTTAAAATAATTATAACTTCATTCTTTCTATAATAGTATTCACTAAACTTCCTATAGACGATTTAAACAACCAGTTCATTAGAAAGAATCTACTCGAGGCAAGAAATACAATGTGAAAATTATCGACTTAACTTTCAAAAGTCGTAATTTACACGAACGGATACTTTTCAGATTAATTGCATTGTTGCTTCTTTGAAATTAATTTTTAAGAAAGACGCACGATGTCAAGGGAAAGGTGAGTAAAGGAAAATATCTAGGACAATAGCTACGAATAAGTTTAAAACATCGTTTATCACCTCAATCAAAGCTCAGAGAGCGACAATATGATTGATTTTTCTTCGACTAAAGAACTATTCGCGATCCACGGTATGAGTGTTGCCTAGGTGCTAAATTGAAGGCGAATATCAAGAGGATGCTACCTGTAAATAGGTTCGCGTATGATCTTTTTTTCTATCAAAATTTACGGAGAGAGATAAGTGTGGATCTTTCGAATATATCGCAATCTACTCGCGCCTCGCAGTAGGTATGTTGCCTATTCAGCAAAATTAACGGCGGAATTTGCATGGACGGTCAATCTTTACGCTCACCCTAATAGTCACAATGGAGAATTTGCAGGTGTCTGAAATTTGAAGAATTTCACGGCGAAGTGGAAACTGCTGAATGAACTAACATATTTTTCATACCTTTATCTACAACACTTGATACGTCATATATTATGTACTTTCAGCGGTAGCACATAGATTATTGATTACAAGTGTATCGAAAGATTCATTGTCAATAATTGCTCACTTAAATATCGGGGATATTCCAGCTTTACACGATGATAAAATTGAAAGTGGTGCACAAGGGTAAGAAGCTAATCCCCCTCTCGTGAATGAAACGTTTCAACTCAAACATACGCTGTCACTTAAAAGACAGAGGACAGAGTTCATAAGACATTCTATGCTTTACATATCGAAGGTGTAAGTCGGTAATCACATATCTCGTTTGCGGTGTCTGACAATCTCCGACTCTTTGTTATTTTTTTGAGCAGTGGCGTGGCGTGCTTTGCGATAAATCGATTGTTATGCCATTTAAACCTATGGAGAAGGATCGATTATCAAGGTGTTCGCAGCGAACACCTTAATAATCGATTCTTTACCATAGGATTAAATAGCATAACAATCGATACATCGAAATTCACGCCACGCCACTGTTTTTGAGGGAGAACCAATTGAAATCATTCCTTAAATTTTTGGCAGAATTTTCTTCGCACAGAGAAGAAAAATCACGGCAGTTTTAAAGAATTGCCGTTGAGTAGTTTTCCTATTGAAAAATAAAGTATAACAGGAAGTATGTGACGTCGCAAACCGAGTTATGTGATTGCCGACTTACACCGTCGATATTCTTTAAATCTTTACGAGGTCATCACGAGGCTCTTTTATACGATTCCAACTTCTAAGATGCTGGTAGGTGAAATCTTTTCATTGAATTTTTTGTCGACAATAATGGTTTCTCGGCAAATCTTCAACGTTGTTGCGAAGTTTATTCTCAAATTTTTCCAAAGCTCCCTGAATCAGGCTGGAAACACAATTTTACATGGAGAAAGTCAGAAGTAAACGAGTCTTTAAGTTAAGCGGAATTTAAGTTGAGGCAGTTGATAGCTGTATGAACATCTTAAAATGGGGGATCGGGCGGGAGGGATATGATTATTTGGTCACAACAATTGCATTTAAACAATTTTAAATCATACTGATGTTATAATGCAGCCTGAATATTGTGTCAAGAATTCTCGAAAAGAAAACACACGGATTTTTTCATGGTGACAAGGTCCAAAGGTTAGGAATCGGATTTTTTCTTTCTTATTCATTCCTTTATTATTTTTTTGTAACTTACCCTGTGTCATAAGCATCTTGTGCATCGTCTGGAGCTCTGGAATCTGAATTCCCTCGAATGACATCATAATCGACTTTCTGATCAGTCTTGAACTTTTTCTTGTGAAAATAAGTACTGTGCTTCACAGGAGGGAAGAATAAACTTATCAAAAGAGTTACCACAGTTCCTGAGAAGAGAAATGGTGGGTATTTTTTAATTAATTCTTTAAAAACTAAAAAAAGTTTTAAAAAAAAAGGAAGAAAAAAACAGAAGGAGGTGAAAAACACCTGCAGTCAATCCTGAGGAATTAAAACCGTATATTGAGTACATTTGACGGAGTTAAACGGAGAGACTCCGAATCATTAGTGATACCCGATCAAAATATCCATCAGTGAATAGAAACTACTAATAATTTCCATTCACTGATGAGTCAGTAATGAAGATTTTTAAAAAAAAAAAAACTGTCAAACTTCAAAGATCATCTGTCGCTCTGAGCATCAAATTATGATCGGCCCATTTGGTGTTACGACTATTTGGACCATAATCTGAAAATAGAACTACCATTTTTGACTAATTTTAAAAGTATGTGATGTTCCGTTGGTTTGCCTAAGCAGATAGATGCTTTTATGCTTCCAGGACTTTAAGTCCACCTACCTTTCGTCCATTAAATAAATGTCCACCGCTATTTATGTCCACTAAACGTTAAGTCCAGTCTTTATTAAGTCCACATGATTTAATGTCCAACCATGAATATGTCCAAAACTGTCCAAATTGTGGACTTGTAATGTCTACATTTTTTTTCTTCTCATTTAAATGACAGGAACCACCTCAAAAATAAATGCATACTACTACTACCTTCATTCTTAAAAACATTTCATTCATGAATCAAGTCATGACAAAGAACAGACTCTAAGAGCAGATAAAAACATATGTTCATGTGTACACTGTACGGATATGATAAGATGAAAACCAAAGCGGGAGCCTAGGAAACGCTCCACTGCCAAATTAAACATTTTTCAGTAACAGATGCAGTCAAAATTGAAAGTCCTCTTTAACTAGTTATTTCGTGCGCCTTCAATCGTGTAGGATACTGTGCAACGCCTCTGATGCGAAATAGTTGTTGAAAGCGTTGTGGCGCGGCAGGCAACCAGCGTGACACGCGCATAGGCGCCTACAAACCTAACGGGATACTTCACGCGTTGCGCAATGCGTGAAGTATCCCGTTAGGTTTGTAAGCGCCAGTGCGCGTTCTGCGCTGCTAACACGCCGCTCCGCTCTGTGTTAGGCTCTAATATATAAACTCGCGGAGTCAGCGTTTTTCAACTCATAATTTTGAAATGTTTGAAAACTCTGCATGAACATTATTCTTATTTAAATTGATGAAAAAGAAATATGTACTACTGGCAAATATAATGTGTTTTTTGTAAATATAATAGTGGTTCCGTATCAAATTTAATGCTTTTTAAAGCATTCAAATTTATTCTTTTATGTTTTGGGCTTTTACAGTGCTGCAGCGTGGTGTAAGCGCAACCAAACGCTCAAAATTAAACGTATTTGATTCAAGGAGGTCGATGTACAAATAAGTTAAAAACACAAGTAATTGCGTGCTTCTTAGCTTTTTTCCTCTTTTAATAATTTTTGTATAGTTTCTTTCTTCACAACTACGGCTCATTGAGATTCATATCGATGCCATTGCTTGGAAAAGGTTTTACAAATATTTACCACGTTTTAAAAATGTAAATGTTTTTAAAATGAAGTAGTCAATTTCATTAAAAAAAAGAATGTGCATTTAAGGCATATTTTATATCGGAAATTTCAAGGATAGAAATGAAACCGAGTATTTACCAAAGACAATTAGAAAAGATGAATCAAAAGAAGAAATTAACATTTCATTTAAAATATGAGTTACGATAACAACACCTCATTCTCTCTTAATATTCTCATTTCGATATTGTCAATATAATTTTACACACGGACTAAAATATGACGCTTGAATTTGATTTAAGTGGACTTTACATTTAAGGGACTTAAGTTAGTGGACGTTTAAGTAATGGACTTAACAATAGTGTGGGTTTTAGAACTGTGGACGTAAAAATTGTGGACGAAAAGTCTGTGGACGTAAAAAAAGTGGACATAAAGTCCGTGTACCGCTTTTATGGATGAGCCAGAAATAGTGGCTCCGTTTTACAACCAAATTTCGCAAATAGACAAGGGCTTAAACTCATCTCTAATAAATCTGTAAAAAAAAAACTAAAAAACTTCAGCGCAAGTAAACAGAAAAAAAGAAATGGGAAATTACCTGCAATACTTAAGTACAGTAGTTGCTCGTACTGCAAGATACCATACGAAATACACAACTGCGCAACTAAACCATTGAGGAATTTTCCCACAAGGAGCGAGGCGCGAGCATAACCGGTGACCTTTTGATACAATCTTTTATCCTCGATTCGTGCATACATGTACGAGAAGTATGCAACATGCGCTGCCGAGAAAAGTCCAAACAAAAGTTGAGATATCTGCAGATTGGAATACAAAATACTGTAATCTTGGCATTCAGAGGTGAAGCGTGAATGATCGATTATCGATATTTCCCCATTTGAAGCTATGGTTAAGAATCGATTATTAAGGTGTTCGGTGTGTAACCTGTCTATTGATCCTTTTCCATAGGTTTAAATGGCAGATCCATCGACATATCGCCAAGGACGCCGCGCCACCGTTGGTATTGAAGAAATCCGCAACTCGTGCGGGTCCTCAAATCATGTCGTAATTTTTTATCGTATGAGTAATGCTGCCGTGCTAAGGAAGAACGCCGTATGAACATTCGGGAGTTGCCAAATTTCCCCGGACAAAACATGTAATTTCGAGGAAAGTTATTCATATTTTTTCTTGAAATTTTCAGATATTTTAGATTAAATTGGGAACACGACTGTCTAAATAAGTGGAAGAAAAAAATTCAGAATTTTTCTAGTAAATTCGTCGGTTATTAAAGGAAGTATGGCAACACTTGAAGGCGCATACAACGTTTTTCCTTAACAAAGCAGAATGGACTACTAGATAAGGTGCAAATTTCCACATTCAGATATACCTTATTCGATTTTGTTTCAAAATTTCACGTAGAAAAAGATTCACGCCCCGAAAAGTACTTCAAACGGGAAGTACGGTACTTAACTCCCGATTACCTAATTAGCCGTTGTATGATGTAAGTATTAAAGAAGAATAATTAATGTCACATTTAGACCATCAGATTCCCATTCAAAAGAGAATCAATCGCACAACCTTTATAAAAAGACACAGCATTTGGTAGGGTTTAAATTTCTATGCTTCGATAACGTGAATCATTAAAATCAATAGGAATGATGATATTCCTTGTTTCTGTGCATTATGTCATATCTTTCAAGTTAGCTTCATCGGCATCAAAATTAGCAGGATGACTAGAGTTCTTTATGAGATACAAAATTAAGTAATTGGCCTAAATAGAGAATTTGCAGGTGTCTGAAATTTGATGAATTTCGTGTTCAAGCGGAAGCTACTGAGTGAACTGAACACGAGGATACCCTTGGTTCCTGAATTGAAAAATTATTGTAGAAGATATGACAAAATGATCTAATCAGCTAAAATACATGTGTTAATATGGGAAATGCCACCAGAAGCATAGAGTACATGTGTAGAGTCGTAATGTAAGTGGGTGAGCTGGCGCCACTTTTAAGCATTTTCCAGGTCCCGAATTCCGAGACTCCTGTGTGACGCCGGGTCACTTTTTCGATACATAATCGATTGTTTGCGATACACGAGTACCCGGCCATCTGATGTAAACAAAGTAGATAAGAATCACCACGTATTCCATACCGCCATTTTGGATCGAACATGTATCGAAAAAGTGACCCGAACTCGGCGCACACCGGGCTCGGAACTCGTCGAGCAGAACATGCCGCCAGCTCTCCCATTTACATTACGACTCTATGTACTCTATGACCAGAAGACGTCACTAAGCGGTGCATTTTCTCACTTTTAAATATATTTTTATACTATTTCCCATATCAGAAAAAAAGAATGAAAAATACTATGTGAAATCAGCTCTTTAAGCACTTTCAGATGAAGTAATTAAAAAATTTGCGTGCATGCAATTTCTCCATCGGCATTAAAAAATGATGAAGGTGCATCTAGAGCGGGAAATTTACCTTAATCCTCCATAGTGGAGGATGTTCCAGAAGAAGCGCGTAAAGAGAACACCCAGCGACACTGCCAAGCACGATCATAGGTTTGTAACGGAGATAGTCGGTGACGAGGAAGACCACAATGACTTGTGCCAAACAAGAATAGGTTCCGTATGGATAAACTTGTTCTCTAACCTGTAATCAGCACAAGCAGACGAATTAATCATTCATATTTGGACGTATTTCTGTCAAACGGAACTATTTGCATTATGACGTGAGCCCTGTTATGCATGTATTCTTATGGGTCTCAGGGCTCATGTCTCAATGCACATAGTTCCGTTTGATAGAAATACGTCCATTTATGTACTAGATTGTCAAAACAAACATATCGACGGTGTGAGTCGGCAATCACATAACTCGGTTTGCGACGTCACAGATTCCCTGTCATACTTTATTTTTTAAACGGAAAACTGCTCAACGGCAATTATTTGAAACTGCCGTGATTTTTCTTCTCTGTGCGAAGAAAATACTGCATAAACTCCAAGGAATGATGTCGATTTGTTCTCCTTTGAAAAAAGCATGCAGCTACGAGCCGTTGCAAGATCCTTGGGATTCAACTTACATCTTGATTTGTTAAGTTTGCAGCAGGACTCGTTAAAAAAGCAGTGAAGAATGGTTCTATGGGTCGGAATTCTCTCACGGCGGCGAAGACGGAGACCAGCAAACAAATTTTTGCGTACTCCTGCATTTTTCCTTCCTTAGATGCACGTTCGGCCGGAGCTGGGGAAACAATGAAAAGCAAAACATTCATTGTTGATTTCGGCGAAAAGTAGATCATACATAGTTAGGGGGTATACATACACCGAAGTTAGCTGACACCTTTAATGGCAAAAAATGTATCCTCGCTTGGCCCGCACTTTGCCCCAATATAGGTACGAGTTTTAGTTTTAAGATTGTTTGACGTGTCATGTATCTCAATATAAATCGTGAATTTTAACCGTGTTTCTTTCGAAACAGCAAACATTTTAACTGACTGTATGTGACGCCCGTTATTTATTGCTATAAAAAAAACTTCGTATCCATATCTTTTTTATATGCTTTTCATTCTAGCGTTCAAATTTTAAAATAAAATTACGACTATTAAAATAAATTTTGGACAATTTCCGACGGATAAATATTTTTACACCCTCGAGTGTCTCCGGAAATGATTATATTGCACCATACATTTCAAAATTGTAAACATATAACTTTACAATTTAAGAGATGCATTTTTAGAAATGTTTCGTCCGATTTTGGTAATAAAACGCCTACATACTGCGAGAGACGCAACCCTCCTGGCACCTTCGATCCTTTTTCAGATAACAAATCTTTAGAACACTGAAAAGTGAAAAGTGAGAAATTAGGAACTTTGGATGATTTCATGAATCTTAGGCCCAGATTATACAGATTATTATTTTATTTGATAGTGCTACAGTGCCACAGATACACCGATGTAATTGATATTTTCTTTTTACTATCTGTTTTTCTTTATTACTGTTTTTATTTCGCTTTCTTCATGTCTCAGTGCTAGATAATTTTTCAAGAAGCTTTCCACTGAATTGTTATCCCACCAACCTTTCAACCACAATTCAATTGAGAATTGAATTCCAAAACGACAGTTTTTAACTTTGCAGACTTCCTGTCATGATTTATTTTTTATGTGCAGAGCCACTCAAAGTTAATTCGTTAATAACTCTCGAGGTTTTCCTTCTCTGTCTGAAGCAAATTCTGAGAAAAACTTCAAGGAATGATGTTAATTTGCTCTCTCTCGAGACAAGAGAGTCGAAGCAGAGATTTTTAAACATCGCAAACGAGCTACGTTTGGGAGTTTTACCATCGAATTGTTGCTTATACGTAACATATGAAAATATTGCGTCATCACGTCATGAACGGTTGCATTTTTAGAGCTTTGAGGAGTTTTTTAAGCAATCAAAATTCTCAGGGTTCCCTTACATACTTTCTAAATTGACCTTACCTAATACATAAGTAGGAGATGCAGTTTTTGGTTCATGCCAGACTGTAAAATATTTTTCACGTCAAAATGTAGGTAGCAAATTACAAATATTGAGTTCACTGCCTCGAAAAAACGTTGAACTCGACTTGTGGTTAGATTCAATTCAAAAATTCTGGAGACACTAAAGTTTTCTGAATTATTTGAAGGTTGTGATCACACTGCGGTTCTCAGTGTATTTATCCCACTTACCTGACAAATAAGTCGTTATCAAAGTACAGGAGTAAACACAGTCAAAACACGGATTTGAGCTTTGAACATCGTTGCAAAAGAGGACTATCTAACGAAAACACAGGAGTAAAACACAATGTGCCGTCATGGAAAACACGTGGAGACCGTAATTTGTATGCCGGCCACCGACGCACCGTCGTCGTTGGGTGCTCGAGAGACCGCCACCAACTAATGTAATGCAAATCCAGCCGGCTTCATTCCTCGCGAGTTGTGTGAGGGCCTGCGCTCACGGTACAAAAATAGCGAGAATATCTCGTCACTGAGAGATCCGTTGAACCCAGACCAACAACCCGAGTTGCACCTGAGCATGCGGACAAGGTTATATTTACATACTTGTATGCAGACACGTTGCCATGTTGGCCGAAAAGTTGCGAAGTGCACTCCAGAGTGTTTCGGCTGTCTGGGAATTACTGCACTCGGTTGGAACACCGGCAACACCTCGGTCGTTGGCTGAGGAACCATGGGTTCCTCAGTTTCGAATCTAGAATGGAGCTGTTGCATGATCCTGAATTTGCTAAATAAAAAGGTGTAATTTTCGGAAATTTTAGCAAGGAACACGTTCTCGACGTTAAAAAAGCTCGAAACAGCTTTTCCGACTGACAAGTAGGAGCTTAAAGTTGTGGTGATGAGAAGAACGTTTCTCATTGGCTTTCTCCTCATGACGTCATAAAAGGTGATGATCCATGGTTACAACCACCGTGAATCTAATGTACCATGGCCGTTGTACGACCGGAATGTGTAGAAGCAATCGCAAGTGAAAGGATCACGGCGGTCAATGATCCTTGTGACGTCACGAAATCTGTTGGAGCGATATTTTTCCGTTTGAAATGGAGTTGAACTTTCGGCAACTTTGGAGGTCGTTTTCCCACCGAAAAGTTGATTGAATGAAAAAAAGGTAAAATAAAAATTTCCTCCATTTTTATGTACTTTACGAGAATAATTTTTTTTTTTTTTTAAAAAAAAATTTGCAACAGCCCCATACCGGGCTCTCTATTCATCTTAATGAGCGTAAAAAACTTCCACCTTCACCTCAGACTCTTTTCTCTCAATCCTCTCCTTTTTTCAATTTATATTAAAATTTTTGAGCATTTTGATTAAATGGCTGATTTCATCCCTAAATAAATTCCCTAGTAAAATTACATTTTAGAATGTCAAAAAGAAGAAAATGTTATGTTTAAAGGAAAAAATATAAAAATAAGAATCAAGCGTGCATTTTATGAATGCAGACTGCTGCACAGTCCTATATTGTAAAAGTTTTCGTTAAAGAAAATTGTTTTCAAATGTTTCAATCATGGTTTTTATTTCAAGTATGTTTCTCTTCGGATTCTCACTCTACAACTAATGTTGAAGTATGATAAATAATTTTCTGATTACTTCAGTGCAGGTTGCCATTTCAACTGAAGTTGTTGTTTTATGCGTGCCATAGCTGTTAGTTTTGAAGTGGAGGTGTGCCCTCGGCCTCAGACGAACTCCACTTGAAACAGGCATAGGCAGATAACGAGGAGCTTCCGATATTAATGCTATTATCTTCCTATTACACAACAATAAGACAAGATATAGAGCTTGATCTTTGCCACCCGTAAGCGCCCATCCAATATCTTTACCCGATCAGTTACTTTCACAGTTTCAAGAGAAAGTTAAAAAAATATTTATTTAACACTGAGACCTGGCCGAGAGGCAAGAGGAGAGTACTTCCGTGCTGAGGTAAAACGCCATTGCCAAATTTCCTTCGACGAATCCCAGAGGATTTGGTTCGTAATTTGATCTGAAAAGTCTGCAAATTTCAAGGGAATGTATCCAGAACCTTCTGCAAAAGTAAATATTTTCTGAGAGGAAATTTGGCAAAATTCAAATGCTTCCATGGCGTTTTTCCTTAGCTATCTTTAAATTCTAATAAGATGGGGGTAGACATATATCGATTGCAATACTCCAAAATTTGTCCTCTTACTTCATTCTTAAAAACCCTGGTAAAAATTGGCAATAGGAGCTGCGTTTCAAAATACCATAGGAGTTCTTATAGCCGACTAAAGAAGGCTATTGAAAATCATAATAGCTGGCTGTAGAAAGCGGAGAAAATCATATAGTCGGGCTATACGAAGCTATAAAAAAGTATACGGTCGGGCTATAGTTCCTATCGCCGGGCTTTACACTTTATCGCCATTGGCTATAAAAGGCTATAAGAAATTGTGTAGAAATTCGTGTGCTTTGGAAATCATTAAGTTTGATACGGAACTACCTTAATAATTACAAAACATACATTATATTTTCCTTTAAAACATTTTTTTTTTTCATCAATTAAAATGAGAATAGTCCATACAGAGTGTGCAAACATTTCAAAATCATGAGTTGAAAAACGCTGACCCCGCGAGATTAAATATTAGAGCCTAACACAAAGCGGAGCGGCGACGCACTGGCTCCTACAAACCTAACAGGGATACTTCACACATTGCGCAATGCGTGAAGTATCCCTGTTAGGTTTGTAGGTGCCAATGCGCGTTTTGCACTCTCTGCCCGCCCGCCGCAGCGTGCCACGGCGTCTGAAGCAACTATTTCACACCAGATGTATTGCACAGTATCATAAGAAATTGAAGGCGCTCCAACATATTAAGAATGACAGGCATCCTTCAAAAGTACGGAGCATTCCTCGCAAAATAAATCAAGATACTGCGGCACAAAAAGAGAGCGGTAGTCCAAAAACTAACTAAGTCCTAGTGTCCGTATTTAGTAACGTTTAGTATAAACTTTATCATCTGGCTGTTGCTTAATCGCCATCGGCTATAAAAGGCTATAAGAAATTGTACAGCCGGCCCTACAGAAGCTATTGGAAATCTTACAGCCGGCTTTAGGTCTATGGTATTTTGGAACACAGATTCTACTGCCAATTTTTACCAGGGAAATCATGTCTACCAATTGTTAATTACAATATTTACTGACCAATATTTTTGTGTGATACTTTTGGAAGTATTTCGACGTTTTAAGATTGATGATTGATTTAATTGATGACGTTGAAATGTGATTTTTTTAGTTTCTAATGAGTGATCTCGTGATCACGTAACGTAAGTGTGTCTATGAGAGCCCAGTGCCAACAATGTTAATTTAATTTCATTATTCCATCGGCTATATCCAGTCATGATGTAATCTTAAACACACAAGAATAAAATCTTGTGAATACTCTCAAGTCAGACGAAGTATCAAAGATAATTCAAAAAAGTTTCGAGCTTTGAAATAGAATTCCCATTTAGTAAATTAGAAAATTTCCGAATTTCTAATTCAATATTCCTGAACACTGCTCTGAGCAGAAGCAAAAATATTTCGATTTTGATTTTCTTGGCATTACAGTTCTTTTCCCCGAGGATAGTCACACAGGAGCAACAAACGAAACGTAAATAGAAATTCGAGTGTAAATACATATATATGGGTAATAATTAACTTTCAAAAAAAACTAAAAGTTTGTCACGGTAAGTAAAAATAATTATTGAGAGCGCGAGACACGAGATCCGTTTTCCATGTGCGAAATAAGAGGGTGAAGTGGGTTTCCTTTTTTAATCCGCGGATTTGTAGGTGGAAAAATAACTGCACAAGCCTCTGTTTACTTTAGATTGGGTTTATTTGAGGTTAACAACACTTAACACACACGAGAATACACTCACAGTAAATTCGAGCAGAAACATGTGAAAGTCAATCGTTCGCCGGTGACAGTTCTTTTCAGAAGAAACATACTAGGCGCTTCAAACTATCCTTAACCATAACCTCTCATTTGACCTATTATTGTCGACTGTCTAAAAGTTTCGCCGTGTCTTTCCGATCGTTTTTCGCCGCGCTGACTGGAGGGTTGCGTGGCAGGACGTGAAGATATTGAAGCAATGCGGGCGAGAGAAGGGGAGCGTTGAGAAATGGAATCATTCCCTACCCCACGATAAACCCGCGTGTGGAAAGAGGGGAACAGTAGCGAGGCGTGAATGATCGATTTTCGATATTTCCCCATTTGAAGCCGTGGGAAGGAATCGATTATTAAGGTCCTCGTTGCGAACACCCTGTTTATCGATCCTTTTCCATAGCTTTAAAAGGCAGATCAATCGATAAATCGCAAAGCACGCCGCACGCCACTGGAGGGGGAACTCCCGCCTCTCATCCCGAATCCTCACCCAGGCTGTGTCGTCACGATTTCACCATCATACAGGGTGATCTAAAAGTCCTGCACCACCACTATAGCCCCCAGAGTTCTTGCCTCTTTTCAGGGTGGTTCCCTTAGAATGGGTCACTAAACCAGAAACGAATATTGACTTACGAATACATTTTCCAAAGGTAAATGACGCGTAGAGCATGATGCGCACACTAAAAACGCGAAGTAGTAACTCAGAAATAGAGAGTTACGCAGTTCAAAAGGCGCGATTTTTTCGCAAATTTAAAACGTTCCGGTTTCGCGCCGAGCCGCATGATGTCATCCAGGCACCAATCAGAAGCGAGCACCGGTTTCTACGACTTCCTTCAAATGTCTTTATACCCCTCGTATATTAAAACAATAGACAAGTCGAAACTGTATCTTCAGAATCGAAGAATCGAACATCATTCATGTCACCTGTTATTAAAAAGCAAGAATTTCACATTGAAATACGTTTTATTTTGAAAATCATCTGTGAAAAATGAGGGGCGATAGCGATTTGACTGCCCTAGTACATGAAATCCATAATTTTCCTGCCATTTTGGCGCGTTTCAAATTCCTTCAAGTGTTTGGACTTTTTAAAAGCGACCTTGTTGGGGATTTTAGCTCCAAAAATACGCAATAAATCAACATGTAATCTACTCACCTGGTACATTCAGAATATTAAATAAAAAACACAATGTTTAGTGAACTGTTGCGGGAATTTCCAGAGGTATTGTCTTTCATTTAGAAGCTTTCACAGGACCTCAAGTTCCTATAGCTCAATTTATAAAAATGTCACGGAGGAGGTAAAGCCTGGTGCTAGTGGTTCGAGACTTTTAGATCACCCTGTAGAGCGTACTGACGGTGCAGAAACACGTATCTCGATTTGCGGCGTTGTTGCAGACTTCCTGCAATTCTTTATTTTTGAAATAAAAAACTACTAAACGCTACATCAAAATTAGAAAAACGTGTAAAGTAGTTGGACGGAATCTGGTTTCGGCATTGGTTAACAAACCATATAATCTAAGTAAAACCATGCAATCTTAATAAAACCAGGTTTTTCGTTAAAACAAAAAATATATGTAAACGTCTTAGTGAGGTGATGGATGAGATGTAAGAGAAGGATTAACGTCGTTTCAAGTAGATCATCAGACTGTGGAATGAACTGCAAGGTCACTGCTTGGGCTTCGTCGACAAGAATTCAATATATTTTCCAATGCGACGAACACAGCCAACACTAAGAAAAATACGCCATACATCTTAAACTGAAAGGATAAAATGCACGGTTATATCATAAGATTATGAGTGAGGGGCTTGGAGGACAAGCGGGATGAGTGCAGTTTTTGCTCTTTCAGGAGATACAAGTTTAAAGTTTCAAAATTGTACATATGTAGCCTCATGGTGGAAACAACGTAATGCTTAAGAATTGGATTCTAAGAGCGAATTTTTCACAGAATAGATTTTAAGACTAGTTTTCAGTTGAAATTATTAATATCTCAATTTTTTCAAAAACTGCACTCTATCCGTTTATTCACCAAGCTCCTCAATTCAAATTCATTCTTGAAGTTGATATTAAAAAAAGAAAAAAAGAAAGGAAGAAGAGGAGTAGGTAATCAAGATAATTTTAAGGGATTTTTTGTCTCCTAATAACATCGATTATTGCACACTGAAAAAAATGAGTTAGCGTCAGATGACTAAAAATGGTTTCTATACACTAACTCAAATTGTGTGATTTGGACACACATGATTTTTGGTTTCTGTACACTAACCACTATTAGTGCTGGAAACTAATTCCGCTACTCTAATTCGCATTCGGTAGGGTTGGGTCAACCTAACCTCAAAACTGAGAGAGGAGAAAACGGCTTAGCGAATGATAACTGGACAATACTTACAGGAAAAGAAGTTTTTTTTTTTTTTTTTTTTTTTTTTTTTTTTTTTTTTTTTTTTTTGAGAGCTTACGCACTCTAGGTATAGTTCATTGGCCTTAGTCGTGTAGACAAACAGCCACCGCTAAATGATGGGAAGATTACAACAACAGTAGAAACAGAAGTACAAAGGAAGAAACGAAGGAAGAAACGAAGAGAAACATCCATGCCACTCCACGGTGACAAGATCTGAGACCATCAAATCTTGCCACCGAGGCCGGGATTCGAACCCGGGACATCTAGGTCTGTGATCAGTTGCGCTAACCACTGGACCAACCGATGTCGGCGTCCGAACACTTGAGATATTCTTTTGAAATTACGGGAGAACACGAACTATAGAAGTAAGCAGTAAGTTCACAGATTTTCGTAAAAATATAAACTGAACGCGGAACGCTTTAATCGCAATTTAATATAGAAGATTGACGACTCCAACGAATATCATGCTTGTTTACGTTTTGAATCGAACAGACGATTTCTAACCTTAACAGGTTTATTTATGTTGCTTTCGAACGTTTTCAAGAAAGAGAGGACACTATAAATCATACCGGGAGTATTTACATTGTCAAACGAGCCCGAAATTTCACATTTTAATTGATTTTCACGAGCTGACGCGATTGAGGCTGTTGTACCGACGCCACTTTTTCGAAACTAAATAAATGTAACGGACAATGTGGCAGTTAGTGTTGAGGGCGAATTAGTTTGACCCGAAGGTGAATTTGTCTTACCACAGCGCTAATTTTACAGCTAGTGCTGTTTTCCAATTCTGGTTCGCGCTCTAGTAAAGTCAAGTCAGCGTATGAAGCGAATTGATTGGTGCTTCAGTACAATAAATTAGTTCTGAAGCCTAATTTTGATTCTACTTGGCGAGAACCAACCAAATTAGTTCTCAACGCTAACTACTTTTTTTTCAGTGCAGTGGATACCTTAACAAGAAAATGGGCTGTAAATATTTAAATATGGCCGGACATCCTAACATTATTATGTTAGGTGCGCTTGCGTAAAAAAATAATTTCCTTGACTCCGCTTCAATAATTGAAATGAAGGGGGGGGGGAGAGTAACAGATTACAATAAATAATTTCTTTATTTTCTTTCTTTCTCTTTTGCATGTACTGAGATGAGTAACGTTCAGCGAAAGGTAACCAGAAAACTTAATTTAAAGTGAAAATAAAAATAAACAAATATATAAAGTGTTTGAAAGCATATTTTCTCTTAACTTCACTTTAAAGTTCACAGAAAGTATTAACGGGAATATTTGCCTTGAAGTCTGTTTTATTCATTTAGGCTTGCACGTAAAAGGTCGGAAAATGCGTATCTTCACTTTAGTAGCACGTTAAGTAATATATTTTAATGTGTCGGAAAAAAACTAGGCGAACTATCTCCTTGGAATTGATTGGGAAAAGTTTCAAATAGTTAAGAAAAATTTGCAGAAAAATTGAAAACACCCGTTGGTTGGTTTTCTTAAAAATATAAATAAATAAAGGATGCCGTTATTAAAACGTCAAATAAAGCATTATTCGTTGGTGCCGCGTACCTATAAATAAAACAGTTTATTGGAGTTTTTACCAACATGCGCTAAAATAACTTTGCTTAAAACCTATTCATCGTTGCCATTTCCCCGACCAGAAAATTTCCTTAGCATCGCTAAATTGACTTCACTGGATAAATTTTGTACCGCTAACAGGAAAAATTTCTACCGCTGAGGTGACATTACCGGATGACTTTCAAAATCGGTACCTGAAAAGGATAAAAAAAATAGCTCGTGTAACGCCATTCTGGTGCTTAAATATTGTCGCACCTACCGAAGATGCAATTTGGATCCAAAAAAGCAAACGCCATCTATGTGATCTTTTGTTATATTATCTGGAGGAATTAAGTAAATCCGAAAATCTTAATGTAACCTTCAATGCAACGTAACCACGTTGATTCGCATTGAACATTGTATTTGATACGGACTACCATCAACCGTGCTGCTGCGTACTCACTCTGGCTAGTTCGCCTTCAATACTAAAGTAGGCAACATGAGCGGCTTAGGAGCGGTAATAGTTGATTGCAGTAATGTTTAGCCACGTTCATTCGTGTTGAAAGTAGCAAATGAATACTGTCTGTTAACAGTGCACTGCTGTTCCAGACTCATTCTAACCAGTTCGCCCTAAATTCTAAAATAGGCAATGGTTGAAGGACTCAGGAATTTTGGTAGTATCTCACCTATTTTAATAGATATATACAACGACGGTGTGATTTATAAAGGTATAAGTTAATGTTTCCCGCAGGTACCTAGATGACTTACCATATCATTAATCTACTCTTGGTAAGTTTTCTGTAAGTTCGAACTGAAGTATAAAATATATATGTTGTTTTATAATTGTTAAATTATAAATGTGTACGCGCATAGGAAGATTATCTTGTTAGTGATGTGGTACATACCAACGAATAATGTTTTATTTGACGGTACGGTGCCGACGAATAACAACTTCGAAAAATAAAACATGAGCCAACATTTGCAAGGTCCCAATCGAAGATGAAAATTTTCCGACATCAATCATGGATATGGAAGACTGAAACATGAATTCGATTTTCATCCATTTATAGTCCGTGTTATTGGGTTTATTTTCCAACAATTTCTGTCTTCATGAAGTACATACCTGTTGGTGGGCGTCCGCACCAATGCAGAAAACTGAGCACTGAACGATGGAAACCGTGAACAGACTCGTGAAACTGATGGCTAGGAAATTCAGGAATCCGAAAACTAGTCCGTAGCTATCTGGCAGGAGGTTTTGAGCTACTTGAGACCTGTGAATGCGGTGAAAAAGTGTTGTCTGTGATCAGGAAATATCTAATGGACGTATTTCTATCAAACGGAACCCTGGTAAAAATTGGCGATAAGAGCTGCGTTTCAAAACATCATTGAAATTCTTATAGCCGGCTAAAGAAGGCTACAGAAAATCATATAGCTGGCTGTAGAATGCGGAGAAAATCATACGGCCAGGCTATAAAAAGCGATAAAAAATTATGCAGCCGGGCTATAGTTCCTATCACCGGGCTTTACACTTAATCGCCTGGCTGTTGCTTTTTCGCCATCGATTATAAAAGGCTATAAGAAATTGTGTAGAAATTCGTGTGCTTTGGAAATTATTAAGTTTGATACGGAACCACCTTAATATTTACTAAACACGCATTATGTTTTCCTTTAATACATATTTTTTTTCATCACTTAAAATGAAAATAACCCATACAGAATGTGGAAACATTTCAAAATCATGAGATAAATAACGCTGACTCCGCCAGATTAAATATTAGAGCCTAACACAAAGCGGTGCGGCGACGCACTGCGGCGCCTACAAACCTAACAGGGATACTACACGCGTTGCGCAATGCGTGAAGTATCCCTGTTAGGTTTGTAGGCTGTTGCCGCGGCGCTGGAAGCAACTATTTCACACCAGAGGTATTGCACAGTATCATACGAAACTGAAGGCGCTCCAATATATTAGGAATGGCAGGCATCCATCAAAAGTACGGAGCTTTCCTCGCAAAATAAATCAAAATACTACGGCCCAATAAGGTCCAAAAACTCACCAAGTCCTAGCATCCGTAATTAGTAACGTTTCGCATACATTTTATCGCCTGGCTGTTGCTTAATCGCCATTGGCTATAAAAGGCTACAAGCAATTGTATAGCCGGCTGTAGAAGCTATTGGAAATCGTACAGCCGGCTGTAGGTCTATGGTATTTTGGAACAGAGATTCTACTGCCAATTTTTACCAGGGAACTATGTGCCTTATACATGAGCCCTGAGACCCATAAGAATACACGCATAACAGGGCTTACGTCATAATGCACATAGTTCCGTTTGATAGAAATACGTCCAAATGCAAGTCGACGGCGACGGTGAAACTCCCAAACCACTTATCTCGGTTTGCGACGTCGCAGACGTCCTGTCATAGTTTATTTTTTAGATGGCAAACCACATATCGTCAATTCTTGAAAACTTCCGTAATTTTTCTTTTGTGTGCGAAAAAAAATCTGTGAAAACTCGAGGGAATGAAATTGGTTTGTTCTCCTCTACAGAAAGAAAATGGGAGCGGATATACTTTTAAATGCTGCAAACGAAATACGTATCCTGGCAATTTCACCGTCGAAATGTAATCAGGGTGCAGTAATTTTCATGGCCTCCATGACGCAACGTAGACCAAACCAATTACTTTTCCATTAAGACATAAGGATGGACTAAGGCATTTGACCGGAGAAATTCGTTACTCGTCTTGCCCTCCACCTACAATTTGTTTCTAGCTACGCTTAAATACTATCCTTTACTGGTCGTATTTTTGTATCTCAAGGAAAAAAAAGGGTACCATCACGAGTATTTGCACTTACTCGGCTATTGTGAGTGTGGACTGGAAAATGAAGCCGTAGGCTATGTACGCAACGTAGACAAGCCACAAATTCGTTGATATTCCTGAATAAAATAACAGAGCACCGCAGGAAAGACAACTGAGAAACAAGACTGCACTGTGTCCTTTCCGCCAATCATTCGACATTCTAGCCACTAAATATGCCGCCCCAGCACCTGAAAATAATTTTAAGAGTTCTGTCCAAAAATGATTCGCTGAGATTGTGCAACTTGAGACCTTCACACTGCTTTGCTTAGGAAGAGCGCTACACCATGAACCTTTAGATGTCGCCAAATGTTCGTAGATGATCCGCGAATTTCCCGGAAACTTCAGAATATATTTCTTCCGATTTATAGAGTAATCCCAATTTACTTTAAAGTATCTGAAAATTTCATGGAAAAATAGTCGACATTCCAGAGATATAATCAAAACTTTCCTCAAAAATAAATATCTTATCACGGAAAATTTGGCAACATCCAGAGGTCCATACGGCCAGTTTGCGGATTCCCATAGGAACGTTTTGGGAGATAATTGAAGACCCATCAAAAAGTACTTAAAGGAAAATGAGTCAATGAGTTTGTAATGGGCATTGTACAATAATTCAACTCCATCGTGTGAACGAAATATTTCCTTTTGTCACAACTTAACAAAAATGCATTTCAAATATAAATTTTTCGTTAAAGCGACCAAAATTTTACTCTAGTCAGTAAGACATTTCCTTAACTCCTTAAGTTTTTCTTGAGAATAATGAGACACTGTCCAAAAAAACTTTGCTCTATTGTATTTGTAATTAATTCAATTTTTCATCATCTATCATTGTGTCCACAAAGAACTTTTTAAGTAAATACTTTTTCATCACTTACTTATGATTGTTGAAATAGCTTCAACTGCTCCATTCATCAGAGAGACGGATTTCGTTTCCTTTGCGACAGTTTGCCATAAAATTTGATTGTAAGTCACGACCTGAATTTTCAGGATAAGTCAGTTACTTAGTATGAATATCAATGATTATCAGTAACCCTGAAAAATGTTCAGTAAATTTTATTCATCCCATTTTAAATAAATGTAAAATATTATAGGATTACGCAGTCTATTGACATAAATTCAGTATATTCAAATTCGTAATTTTTTACCTCGTTGCAGAATATAATAAAATTGTAAGATAATGCAAATCGACGATGAAATGCGTATATCTCAATTTGCGACTCCGCAGACTTTCTATCATTGTTTGAATGGAAAAATATTCAAGGTCATTTTTTGGAAACTTCCCTGATTTTTCTCTCTTGCTGTGGAAAATATTCTGGAAAAATTGCCGAAAAAAACCACTACTGCGAAATAAATTTTTACGTGAAATTTTCAAAGTTCAGAAATCCAAGAAAGCAGACATGGCCTCCAACGATATCTTACAATCAGTTACTGTTCGACGAATTTTTGTAAAAATCGGCAGTTCGGCACCAAGGGAAGATAGAGTGAATGAAGAATGGGTAAATCTACTGGCAGGAATGGGTAAGAGTTTACCAGAAAGTGGCATCCTTTAGCGAAGACCAACCAAGATGACCATTTTATTACAATCGGACTTGAAAAAGCAGCTTTGAAGTCATGCCACAAATGAGAGAGGGCGGATTCGGGCTGTGCAGTTTTGTTTAGACTTTTTCGGTGCAGGCTGTCCCTAAAATAGTAATACGGATTGTATTATTTTGATGCTGATAATTTATAATTATTATTCATTAGCGATTATTTATTAATTTTTTTTACTTATTCAGCCAAAGTCAGCAATTTTTTTTTTTGTATCTCAGAAATACATAATTTTACAAATATTATAAGTCTTATCATTTTAATATCATTCATATCATATTAAGTCACTAATGCAAGATTCACTTCAATTAAGTATTTGCGTCCCGAGACACGCCGGAATTACCAACAAGTATATCATCGGCCGGGGTCAAAAGTCAGCAACTTAGATTTTAATCTTTTAAAAACTTACTTGATGTCGTGGGAATGCGGAGAATTTTCCGTGGCTTTGAAGTCGGAGCCATTATGTGCATGTATCACACCATCAACGATTTTTTGATCAGGCTCGAATTTCCTTTTGTGAAAATAAGTACTGTGCTTCACGGGAGGGAAGAGTAAACTTATTGCAAGAGTTACAATAGTACCTGGAAGCAAATATTTGAAACTCTCTTGACTTGAGTTGATCACAATGATCCCAATCCAAAATTGTACACATCTTTCCCCATACATAAATAAATCTATGGAACCTCAAAACCGGCTGTGTAATGTATACTTGATGAAGCTACACTTGATGACTTGCAAATCAGGATTATCCCGTGGGAAGGGGGGGGGGTTGTAAACTGAATTAAAAATCTGTTGAGAAAATTGAAATGTGTGTATTTTGTCATCAGGCTTTGTTATGCTTTTTGATATCGATAGAAAGATTCAGCGTCCACACTTGAACAGAAAAGTAAAAAAAAGGACCTCGCGTCGTACCTTAGCCTACTACTGACGTTAAGTTCTATTCTATGTGTCGAGTTAATTTAAAAAAATGTTGTTACATTCAACGAAATCTTGTGTTCAATTTGAGAAATATGCCTCTAAGGAGTGTAATCCCTCATTCTGTCATGAGGCGAACGAAATTTCCAAACCTAAAAGTAGAAAGACATGCCAAGAACAATGGTGGTAAATCATTTTTTTAGGGGGGAAAAAAAGAGCAGTTTGTTTGCTAAGGAAAAAAAGTACCTGCTACGCTGAGATATAAGAGATCATTGTAGTCGAAGGCACCGGATGAAATACCGAGCTGTGCAACTAAACCATTGAGAAACCTTCCCACAAGTACCGAGGCACGGGCGTGGCCTGTAACTTCCTGGTAAAGACTTTTATCTTCAATCCTGGCGTACATGTACGAGAAGTACGCAACGTGAGCTGTCGAGAAAAGTCCGAAAAAAATTTGAGAAATCTGCAAATCGTGATAAATATATGGAGATATATTACTCAGGGTATATCCAGCTAATTTACGTTTTAGTTTGACTGGAACTATTTAAATTTATGAGAGGATTGGATCCAAAAGAAACGAATGCTTCGTCGAGGTTGTATCATCAAATTTTGCAGTCATTTTCCGTTACTAAGTACATATTGTACAAATATTTGTACACATTATTACTCTTATGTTTGAGTCTTCAAACATAAGAGGAAATATTCATTAATTGTGATAAAGTCAAGAAAAAGGGCTGGAGATTAAAATGAAATTTCCGGGCACTTATGACGGTTAGTTGGACGTATTTCTATGTAAACAAAACTATGTGCAGAGGGAAAGATGGGGTGTGCTGGTTGATGCTCGGGCCATAAGAATGAATGAGAATCAATGGTTGGCAGTGACGTCAGCGGCAACGACGAGAGGAACAACGATCGGGAAAGCGGTCTTTAACTCATGAGCCCTGTCCACAAGGTTCTAGATACATGCTCACTGAAGCGGAAGTGTAACTCAACTATTGCTGATCTGAAATATTCAGCCATCATCACATCACCGTCATTGGCGGATCCAGCAAATTGGCAACATCGTTTTTTTCCATTTCAACTCGTGGAAATGTATCGATTCTTGGAGGGGCCGGGTGCTCCGACAAGAATCGATTATTTCAGGGCCGGATTTACCTACTTGCCGCCCATGGGCCGCCTGTATTTTGCCGCCCCCTTCTCATTCGTATTGAAACATCAATAAGAACCATCAGGTGAACGAGCCAGTGGGGGAGGGGTGCATAAGACACGGTTACTCGTGTTGAACACATTTTTGGGGATGCCCTGTCAACGCTACTAGCAAAAGTTAAGTTTTGTAAACCTATCTCTGTGCGGACAAGGCCTTCCATTCATAAGAAATGAACGAAAAAGTTATGAAAGAACAAACATGAATGTGGTTTAATGATTTTAACTTCCGCCGCCGCGCGGCGCAGACCGCACCGTGTTTGGCGCAATGCGTGAAGTATTCACGCAGTCTTGTAGGCGCCATGCGTTTCACGCTGACCGCACTGTGTGACTGTAGCACTGTTGGCGCAATGCGTGAAGTATTCATGCATTCTTGTAGGCGCTATCCGTTCCACGGTGACCGGAATGACCGCGCTGCGTTTGATGCAATGCGTGAAGTATTCGTGCAGTCTTGTAGGCGCTGATATGTGTTACATGCCGATTCTCGCGCCGATGGCTTCTCCTATTCATCTCAAGTCCTCGTCATCATTGCTCTCTCTGCCGCGCCGTTCCAGGCCAAATGCGTGTTTGATTTCTCTCTTAACTCGACTGATTAAAGGTGCTGTCTCTTGTATCACTGAAAGACGACAGAATTAAAAATTACTACACTCTCAGGAAATGAGAGATTTTGTCGCCTTTTCTCCTTTGTAATTTTGTTTTTAAAAATCCGATTTTTTTTATACCTACATTATAAAAATCGCAAAATTTGCCGCCCTCTAGATTTGCTGCCATGGGCCGCGGCTCATGTGGCCAACCCCTTAATCCGGTCCAGGATTATTTAAAATTGGTTTAAATGAAGGAAATCCGATGTTGCCAAATTGCTGGGCCCGTCTCTGTCACCGATCGTAACAGACTGAGAAACGCTCAATTTATAACTTGACAGTCTTGGCTGAGGTAAAATTACGTTCAGACGTACGTGCGTGATATGTCAATTGAGGTCTACCGGGGTAGAACGGATACAAAGAACCGAACAACGAATAAACTGACACAGGTTTATTCAGGAAATAAAAGCGCAAGATCGGGAGACCTTAACAAGACTGAAGCTGGAAATGTTGAAAGCTGGTGATGGTTTTACCTGAACCCTCAAAAGCGACGGATGAGCCAGAAGTAAAAGATAAAGTATGCACCCAGCGATGCTACCGAGAACGATCATGGGTTTGTAGCGAAGGTAGTCGGTGACGAGAAAAACCAGCACGACCTGCGTCAAAGAAGAGTACGTGCTGTGCGGATACACTTCCTGGTTCACCTGCATCCAATATGAACAAATTAATGAATATAAAACAAAAATATACACTGGTAAAAAAAAACCTCTTGGTTCAAGAGTGCAGTTTCTTGTCGCCGGATTTAAGAGTCTGGACTCTTGTTTCAAGCGGATTTTGAATTGAATCAATGCAAAATCCGCTTGAAACAAGAGTTAAAGACTCTTAAATCCGGCGACAAGAAACTGCACTCTTATGTCAATGCACCGCGGCATTGGTCCAAGAGGTTTTTTTTACCAGTGCCGCTTTAAAGAAAAAGAAAAAGAAAAATAAGAATGCTTGCCTGTTAGGTAATTTGTATTCTTTATTTATTTTTCTCTATACCTAGAATATTCTGTATAGATTCCCAGCTGTAAAGTTGGCTTGTCTCTAGATTCAAAACAATAAAATAGGAGTGTACCTAAATTTTGAACATAGAGTACATAGAGTCGTAATGTAAGTGGGAGAGCTGGCGCCACTTTTAAGCATTTTCCATGTCCCGAATTCCGAGACTCCTGTGTGACGCCGGGTCACTTTTTCGATACATAATCGATTGTTTGCGATACACGGGTACCCGGCCATCCGATGACAACAAAAACAACAACAACAACAAAGGAGATAGGAATTACCACGTATTCCACACCGCCATTTTGGATCGAAAATGTATCGAAAAAACGACCCGAATTCGTCGAGCAGAACATGGCGCCAGCTCTCCCATTTACATTACGACTCTATGTACTCTATGATTTTGGAACACCACAATGGAGATTTGTGGTTTCGCACTTTGGCCATCGGTATTCAAATAGATGTTCATCTGTTCCATTAAGTTAGGCCAAAAACCTTTGTTTGCCCTCCAGAGCCTATTGACTAAAAATAGCTCCCCGCGAGGTCATCTCCTACCTACCGAATTGAGAGATCGCGCGTCGAATTATGTTTCGAGCGGATCACGGTAAGGACGATCATCGCAAAAATCCTTCGCGTAGATAGCTAGGTACCAAATGAGGAAACGATAACTACGGAACCACAGAGGAGATGAAACTTTTCTCACAGAGCATTTCATGATTATTAAGTGTTAAAATCAAAACAAATCAATTCGTAGTGACCCCTGGAATACGTGAGCAACATTGCCAGGAAACGGAACATAACAGGATGAGAGCACTTTGAGACCTCATGGCTCCGAAGACTGAAAGATACAAATAGTGTCTCGTCTATCTATGATCCTATTCTCATGGATACTTCCATTGTAGTTGTCAGAAAAATTATACTTAAATTTAAATTTAAATTCCAAAGACGTGCTAATAAATATTTTAAAAAAAATTAAATTTTGTATCGTATTTCAAGTTTGTCGTAGAATGCTCATTTCCTCTTCACTTCATCATTTGAAAAGTTGAAATCAAAAATGTTCCGGTTTGTATCTTCGGAAAAATTTTGGCAAGAATAGTAAAATCACGCAAAAATTTGCATAATTTTTCAAATTTGTGTTACAAAAAATAACAAGATTGTGATAACGTAATTTGTTCTTTAAAAATTTTTCACTGGTATTTTTCACTGAATCATTTCAAAAGTCAAACCGGTGAACAGACCGACGGCGTAAGTCTGCAACCACGTATCCCGTATGCTGTGTTTGAAGGTCTCTGCTCCTATTTGATCTTTTCGAAGGAGAACAAGTTGACATCATTTCTTGAAGTTTTCGTCGAATTTTCGTGGCACTAAGAAGAAAAATCACGGCAATTTTTGAGAATAGACGTCGAGTAGTTTTCCATTTTAAAAATGATTTATGACAGGAAATCTGCAACGTCGCAAACAGAGGTACGTGGTTGCGGACTTACACCGTCGAAACGTTCCAGCTGAAACTCCCGCGTAGGAAGTCATCTCATGAGCAACCGGAATTCTATTTGATAAATTCAATGGACAATCCTCCTCTAGGTTCAACTACGAATTGTTTTTCGGGTAATAATTTCCCTCATGAGATTACGGCATCAAACCATTGATTTGGCTCACTGAAGCTATGTTAGCGACGAAACGTTCTTGGAGTAAACAATTTTTAAATGCCGAGAACCTCATCTGAGTTTCAATTTTGAAAAAAATGAGGATGGGCAGTAAACTTCATTTACCTCTTGGCTGGTTAGGTTTACGTAAGGGCTTGTTAAAAAAGCAGTAAGAAATGGTGCAATCGGTCGAAATTCTCTCACAGCGGCAAATACGGAAACGAGTAGGCATATTCTTTCGTAATCTTGCATTTTGACTCCGTCGCGGATATTCCCTGTAAAAATCCGGAGAGGTCTGAAATAAAATGATCATTACAGATACTAAGAAATGATAAAAAATAACATAAAATAAAATAAATTTGTGATTTTCTCTATTACATTTTATTCTTTTGTTGTTCCTCGATGAGATGTAGTCAGATGATTCACATTCTAGAACCACTCTAGGTCAGTATCGTGAGATAAACTTCGCACATCAATGCTGCAAGTGATATCATGAAAAAGTTCAAGAAAAATTGAACACAAATAAACGCGCTGACATAATAAATATCGAGTTAGGACGATAAAAGCAGTTTTAATCTCATTTCAGGCTTATAATTTCTTTGTGTCATATGTTTCCGAAAAATTTTGATAATATTTAGTGGTACACTGATGTTCGAGAAGTCACCTCACATGTTTGACCCGAGGGAAAAAGGAAAACTCCACCTCCCGATTTGGATAATCCGCAATTTCATCAATTTTTCATGCACGGGATTTTATTTATTAATTATTTTTTAAACCGCAAAAAGTATCACCACGCAACTTTAAAATAAGTTCCTTGGTTAAGACGTATTATTTTTTGTCCAGATTAAATCCGAATACATAAAACCGGTAGCATGTCTGTCCATCCGCCGGCGTCGCGGTTTTGTAAATTGGCAACACTGTTTTTCCTCCCTTTAAATATAGGTAAAACAATCGATTTTTGGTGAGGCAGCTTGCCTCACCTAAAATCGATATTTTCAATGAATTAAAATGGAGGCAAAACAGTTGCCAATATGCAAAATCGCCACTTCTTGAAGCTTATTACGAGGAGGCAGGACCCCTCAATCAACCCTCAATTTCCGCGCTTCTTCGTTTTTACTTTATTTTTTATGATGTTTTTAAAATAATCAAACTTCTTGACTTAATCTGTGAGGGTCGATATGGAACGATCAATCGATACGAAATTTTCCTGGTAGCTCACAAAAAAGTCGCGAAAACGATCGATTGATACATTTGTTTCGGTCCGTCTTTTTACTCAGCTGCTGGTTCGGAAATGGGTTTACTGTTGCCCCGGTTGATCGCGGCCAATCGCAATCATTCAAAAAATAGACCTACCGCTTTAGCTGCTCATAATTTCAGCTTTATTTTTGGGTTAAATGTATACAGCTGATGAATTTGAATTAACGTCAAAATCTAAGTTCCCTTGATTCTCATTGTCATGGTGATTTATCCTCTGCGGTGAGTTGGCTGCCAGTATAATAACGTGTGTAGCAAAAAATTTTCCCAAGAAAACTGTCATTAGGAATTTTTTTTTTTTGAAATTTTTTCTTTTGGTTCATATCTTAGAAAACAAATTAATCTATGCTCAGTCTATTTGGCCACGCTCCTAGTCGGCAATGGCCGGTAAGGAGAGCACATTAGATCTTCAAATCTAGAAATTAGGCCGATTAGCCTGCGTGAGGCTAGATTGACCGTAACCTAAAAACCAACAACAAATTAAGAAAAAAAAGAGGAAATTTTTTTTTTTCACATTATTAAAGAGTTCAACTTCACGAAAGGTATTAATTCCAATAGCACTAGAAATTTATTGACCGTGTGCATTTGACAAACTGTACCAGGATAAAGGTTTGAGCATGGGTAATATTACATTAGTTTTAGAGTTCCTACCTTTTATTTTCCAGACGACCGTCTCTTGACTGAAAGAGTTTACGTTATTAATCCCGAAAACGCTGACCAAACGTTCACTGCTCAAGAGACCGAAGCCGACTGGTGGAATGCAAATCAGCCAGCTTCCGTTCTCGAAGAAATCCGAGAGCCGTTCAATTAACATGCGTCGTAGCAATAGCAATTGGATGCTCAACCTTTAATCACACCTAAGTCCATTAGTTGCTTCTAGTCGACACACTGTTTTTTCAAGGTACGTCTGAGTTACAGTACAAGCAACCTTCAAATTGATCACATTTTGCTATACGGAAATGTTAATTCTGGCTCATCTACGAAACCTCTTATCTGCATAGGGAAACTGATGGCGAATAAATTGCTTCTATAAGCATAAGCCAAAAATAATGGTCCCTTTAAATGAGAGTCCTATTGTTCCCGACAGAATGTGGATTGATTTTATAATTATAAGGGAGGGGCAAACTATAGTGTGTTCAGGTACAGTACTTTATTTATGAGATTATTTAAATTGATGCGAAATTGATTCCACTGCAATATCCAAGAAGTTGCTGAGATAATTAAAAGCTTACTTACAGCTCTATTAAATCAAAGCGTTCAAATCCTGATGACCGAGATGAATGTATGTTTTTCGAAAAGATAACTATTCGCACTCCGCTGTGCGATTGTTGCCTATGCGGCAGAATTGAAGGAGGACCTCAAGTTGATGATACCTGCCAACGGGTTTGCGCACTGTCAATTGGCTCTATCGAAGTGTATGGAGCGAGATATAGGCAGTAAAATTGAAGGCGAGGTTTTAGATCGACGATGAATCTCTCAAACCACGCATCTCGTTGTGGTGTTTTATAATCTCCGCTCCCATTTTATTTTCTGAAAAGGCGAACAGATTAACATTATGACTTGAAGTTTTCACAGAGCTTTCTTTGCAAAGAGAAGAAAAATCACGGAAGTTTACCAAAATTGACGTTGAGTAGTCTCCCAATTAAAAAATAAAATATGACAGGAAGTCTGCAACGTCGCAAACCGAGATACGTGGTCTGGTAGTTTCACCGTGGCTTCTATCAATAGGTTTAAAACACTGCTTGTCAATCAAAGCTTATGAAGCAATATGAACGTGAGGTTTTCATTAGACATCTTCTACCTGCTTATGTTATACTCTAATGATAAAGATGAAGGTGCCTCAACCGATCATAAACAGATCCTGCAGTGGCATTTCTCGTCCTATGAAGGTACAATTTGTCGCCCTCCTGACATAAGGATGTAACTACACTGGGCTATGAACCCTGTCGTCCATATAAAATCAGTAATTTCGCGGGCACATCTCTAAATGTAGTTACGCCCAAACGACAAATTGTGAGGCTCCTGGAGAGGAGTTGAGCGAGTTAAATGGGCAGCAAATCTAAATCAGTTAGTGCAGCTCTCCACCCACCGGAGCCCTAGGCGTTTCGTAGAATTACATGCCGAAAAGTGGGGTCCTCGGAGCAGATGAGAGATCAAAACCCAGCTTTTACACCTCTACATGATTGCCTTTTTTCCTTGCACTGAATGTCAACTGAATCATGAGTGGGAGAAAGAGTGAATCACTTTTCATTTCCCAGCAGAACTTTATTTCGATAAAAAAACTTGAGAAATGTTAATCTCACTAGGAGCCTGTGGCTGCTACGAGTGCTACGCAGCCGCCAACCACCGAAAAAAACCGAACGTAAAAGATCGTACAACAACCATGTTCAAGTTATTCACCAGATGAACGGAACGGATTCAAAAAACCGATAAATGCACGCGAAACCACTTTTATGTTTTATTTTTAATCAATGTTTTTTAAAAGCTACACGCAGTTTTTCTGAAAAGTTTTCACGAATTTTCCTAAACTATCTAAAAAAAAAAAGCATCGAAAATTTCGACGCGATATTTTCGTTCGTTCTGTAACCAAAAACAATTAAATATCATCCGAGTTTCTGCGAATCGGTACAAGGAAGATACATTTTTTCTCTTTAGTTTTGGTAAAAACCAAGGCAAAAGAGTCCAGTATAATGATGCGTAGACCTATAGTTTACCGGCGGCTTCAGCTTCGAGCGAGCCGCTGTCAGGTCGGATATTGTGTTTACCGTGCCGCGGGTGGTGGATCTGACACCGAAAATTTACAACGCTTAAAGCGCGCAATGCAAGAAATATTCCTACAATCTTGTAAGCGCTATGCGTCTCACGTCAACTGACCGACTGCACTGCGTTTGACGCAATACGAGAAGTATTCACACAGTCTTGTAGGCGCTAACGCCGACCGCACTGTTTGGCGCAATGTGTGAAGTATTCCTGCAGTCTTGCAGGCGCTAATATGACTTTAACGCCGCGCGCGCCGGCCTCGCCGTGTTTGGCGCGATTATTCGCACTCGCGTTAGAATAATCGTGGCATCGAATAATGGGACTTAAGAGGCCTAAGTTGTGTTTCGACGCCGCCATATGAGCATTTCAACGTTGCCTCGTTTCTCCCAATAAAACTTTTTTCCAAGAAAAGTTAGGAATGTTCTATATGTTCGCTTTTTTAAATTGAATGGACCATTCAACAAGGTACTTTAAGTACCCTGATACATGATGCTTCACCAGAATTTCACGTAGAACACGATTCGCGCAACGAAAACTACTAAAATCAACTCTTAGCTAAGATATTAACGTTTTTATCGTACATTGGTTACTAGAAATTTGAATTGCCCGGTCATAAAAAAAAAAAAAACCATTACTCAACGCGTGTCAAATCGCGTACTACAACGGCTTCAGCAGACCACTCAATTGAGCTTTGTTTCTTTCCCACCCAGTGTTGTTCAAAGTGTGCACAGCTTGCTATAGCTGAGCCAAAGCGTCAGGATTGAGGTGACCATATTTTCATATTGCTGAAACTGTCACAGGGACGTTTAGCGTGCAATATGAGACTGTCACAGGGACGTTTAGCGTGCAATATAACCAAAGTAAATTATTCTTTCTTCCATGAGCGGTCCAAAGTTTGAATGTATCCATTAAAAACGTTATTATCATGGTTGGGAGTTAATCTAGGATTAGGATTTTGGTCGCTCGACGTCAAGCGATGAAATCCTCGTTTCTTCTTGGTGTTTCACTTTCACTGCCCGCGGTGTTCACAAAATCCGACCAGTGTACACCGCGAGTCTGCAATCCTAGGATCGAAGAATTATGGAAATTGTCCTGCAAAATTTTCCCCCGCTTTTTGTTATCTCACTTTTGAAATGAGCAAGAAGCTAACTTTATAGCATGAAATATGTATATTCTGCTGAAGGGGAAGAAAAATTGTGATAGTTTTAAACAAATTACGTTAAGTAGTTTTCACAAGACAAAATAAAATATACCGTCTGCAACATGGTAAAAGAAGGTACATGGCATTTTGCATTTTGGTCATCGATTTATTAATATTCCGTTCAAAAGTTGTTATCTGAACTTCCCGTTGTGTGAATAGTTTATGAAATTTTGTTAACTTAAATTTTTGTTATAAAACAAATTTAAAATTTGGAAAACAAGACAAGTGACGTTTATTTCCAGGTCAAACCTCGTCTAGTGGCCCATTATTCTGAATTACTTACCGCAACGTGTCTCTTTCATCAATTACGTTCAATCCGATAGAAGAATGACGTCATTGATAGAGGAAGAGGCCCCGTGCCCAGCTCACATACGGTTATGCGGGGTCCCTGGAACCTATATATATGTCGCAGGCAAATAGTGAAATGAGGCATTTTGTGAAATGCCTAGGCAGATGGTCAAATTTTAACGGTTTAAAAAATTGTGTGAATTTATGGCGAAGAGCTCACGATTTTTCACTGTTTTTGGAAAAATAACTCATCAAACCTACGAACTCTTTTTGACTCTTCCTTTTCAATTGCCTCTCATATTTTTAAATGTTGAAATTCCAAAAATCTGTATTTTACGACATGCTGAAAATTCCAAGATCAGTGTCTCTTCAGGAGCTAAAAATTGTTTAAAGTACTATTGTGTGTGCAAATGTTTACTGAGAATTTTTTCTTGCAGGAGCAATGAATTATTTTGTCTGAAATTAGGAAAAAAGAATCAGAATTTCAATCTAAGTTAGAATATTTTACTATTTGCCTAGGCATTTGACAAAATGCCTGATTTTACTATTTGCCTGCGACATATACACACGCAAAGCAAGTGCAAGCGGCGCACAGTGGATCGAGTCAATCGGAGAGGTCGGGCATGAAATTTCAGACTAAAACTGCAAATTTTGATGTTTATTTCGTTACATTTTAAACTTTGGAGGATGGTTTTTTGGAGAAAATTTTACGAGAAAATCTATGGAGCCACTTTTAGAACCTCAAAGTTTTGTATAAACGAAGTTATAAGCGTTTGAAGTTTCCAAATTTTGTCCGACATCTCCTTTTGACTCGATCCATTGTGCGGCGCGGTCGGTGTGACAATCAGAGTTGCTAAAAGAAATTTCATCGAATGAAATTTCTTGAAATTTCACAATCTTTCCTTCCCATGAAATTTCTTTTTTCCCCATGAAATTTTATGAAATATCCCCACGAAATTTCTTGAAATTTTCTAATGAAATTTCTTTTTATAATATTTCATGAAATTTCTTAACTCTGGTGACAATGCACTACGCTGCGCTTCCGCCGTAGATCCTTCACCCCATGACGATGAACGTCTCGATTTTTTTTCGGACAGCCGAGTCATCAGCTGATGGGAAAAAAATCCACCGGGAAAAACTAATCCGATCTTTCAAAGGACGCAAGATACGCGGGGCCCTACACGCGAGCCCTTTCTTTCACCGGTCCGGTGATCGGGGGACCGGGACGGGCAAGCCCGCGCCCGGATCGGCCCAGTTGTCCCCGCCGAATTTTGACCCGAAGGGTTGGACTAACGGAATCATATATTGAGATGCTTTCCTCAAGCGGAAAGTAATAAAATAGGGAAGTATTACGTTACAGAAAAGTTACACCTGCAAACGATAACAGCTGACTGGAGTTGATTTGAATTTTGTCAGCCTCTTGGAGAAGTCGCGACAAACTGAGTTGTTTCTTTGTGTTTGGTATTGGTGTAAGACACAATTTAAAATTTAAGGTAGTTTTAAGAAGGAATTTTTAAACTATTTGTGAGTACTGATTCCTTGGCTGACACTTAGTGCCTTGCTGTTATTATTTTACAGATATGCTATGAACAAAGCTTATGAAAGAATAGCTCTCAAACCTAAAATCTCCAGAAGCTTTGACGGTGGAAAAGTGTGTGAAAATATCAAAGGTAAGCAATTTCTCTGTTTTATTGAAAAAAAACCTTTTAATTGACTTAGTTGCGACCTTTGTAATTTAATAATGACATAATTGGACACCTCATTACATACCATGAGCTCATTATTCCATTAACGACAGCCAGTAGTCATTGCCTTCTTAATCACCAATTTGTCTTAGTTCTAGCACTTATCTCATCACTTAGCTATTTTCTGAGACAGTTACATTCATCCATTCACTTGACCTATCAGATGCTTCATTTTTGTTTTGTTTCTTTGTTTTTTGGTGTACCTGCGTCAATCATAAGTTTAACCTCTACATCTCTACTCATGCAATCGCAAAATCCTTCATCTTTGAATATCGAGATCCCACCTTTTTTAAACATGCCTGCGGGCCTACCTTTCCTCACCTATATCAGGGTAATTCTACGAAAACTGCCCGTTTTGACCTCCCAAAAACTAAAAATTCAACTATGTTATTTTAGATTGAGAGTTTTTTTTTCTTAGTTCTGCATTGTATCAGGCTTAAAAATTCTATATCTTTTTTTATTAGGCATTTCTTTTTTTTTTTATGAGAAATTGTTTTAAAAATAGATCCCGGATGTCACGACCGTCACATCGATTATTTTGGTCCATCAGAAAGAGTAAAATAGTCAAATATGAATAGAAATTATTTTATAACTGCTTGTAACGTATTTTTAAATTATTTTTATGACCGCACATTTTGTTATTTTTTCTGTCTGTCCTCTATATTAGGCGACGAAATGAGTGAAGCGAACCGAAAGAACCCCCGGCCCATCCACCGTCTAAATCAGTTCATGTAAGGATGCATTTTTAATTTAAAAGAAAAAAAAACATACCAGCGGTTATAAACTTTTATCATTTTCTTTTTTGGGGGGGGGGGTCGTTAACACAATAATAAGAATAAGTATTCGGTTTACTTTTTCTTTCCATGTTATATGAGCTTGGTAGTGGAGCCAGGAATCTTTTATGTATGGGCACAGTGGGTAGATTATTCCCTCAAGAAAACCCTCATCCCCCTCCGCAAGAATAAAGTCCTGACTCTTTTTTTCAGCCAGCGAGAAGCCAGTTGCAGAAGTTAGGGGTCTAGATGCTTCGCCACAAACTATAATTAAACTAATTTCTATAATTTCACTATTCTTCATCTTCTTTCTTCTCTTTTTCTTTTATTCTCTCTCTTTCCCTCTTCTTCTCCATCTTTTTCTTCTCTCCTTCTTTCTCTCATTTCTCTTTTCATATTCTTCTTACATTATCGTGTCTAAAACGAATTCGCCCACGGATACCGTCTATGTATTATGAGGAGAATAATACCACTATTCAACCTCGTGGGAGCTAATGTTGCCTGTGCTGAAATTGAAGGCGAAGTGACATAGCGATAATGTAATCTTTCCCCGTTTTGTAATCGTATTCAAAACGTAGTTTGCAAAACCTTTTTTTTTTCAGTTACGCTAGAAATTCCGGCGCACCAGGGACGAGAGGGTTAAAAAACAGCTTGACCATGGCAGGAGGCGGATCATCGAACTCTGGCCCTAAAACCCCTGAGAGCCTTTTGTCACGACCCCTTTATGGGTCATACGCCCAAAAACAAGCAACTGAAAATCGCCCACAAATTACGTAAGTTTCCCGGGAGAAAAATTGAAAAGTTAACAAGAGTCATGATTTGAATCGTGGCGATGACCAAAGTCCGAAACAACGCATCTCCGTTTATACAACGTTTTTGACTTCTTGTCATACTTTATTTTTTCATTTGAAAACTAGTCAACTTAAGTTTTTGAAAACTTCCTCGAATTTTCTTCTTTATTAGCAGAATATCGACGGCGAAAGTCCGCAACCACATATCGACGGTGAAACTACCAAACCACGTATCTCGTTTGCGGTGTTTAAAAATCTACGCTCGCATTTTATTTTTTTGAGGTAGACCAAATCAATATCATTCCTTGAAATTTTCACAGAATTTTCTCCGCACGAAGAGGAAAAATCACAGAGATATTCAAGACTGGACGTTAAGTAGTTTTTCATTTAAAAAATAAAGTTTGACATTGACAGGAAGTCTGCGACGTCGCAAACCGAGATACGTGGTTTGGTAGTTTCACCGTCGATATCTCGTTTGCGGTGTCTGAAAATATCAGCCTCTATGTTATTTTTTCAAAGGAGAACAAATTGGCATCATTCCTTGAAGTTTTTGCAGACTTTTCTTCGCACAGAGAAGAAAAATCACGGCAGTTTTTAAGAATTGTCGTTGAGTAGTTTTTCTTTTAAAAAAAAAGGATGACAAGAAGTCTGCGACGTCGCAAACCGAGTATGTGATAACCGACTGACACCGTCGATATTCCGTAGAGAGTTCAAGTTACATACTTAGTTGACTTGTCTCACTTTGAAAAAATAAAATGGGAGCAGAGATTTTGAAACATCGAAATGGACACACGTACTTTCGCACTTTAGCCATCGATGGGCTCCGTAGCGCAGCGCCTTTAACTTCTGAGGCGATGAAAAGAGTCACCTTTGACTGGCTGATGGTATCCGCCACATTGGCGAAGCGTGAATGGTCGATAATCGATATTTCCCCATCTGAAGCCATGATAAAGAATCGATTATTGAGGTGTTCGATGAGAACACTCTGTTTATCGATCATTTTCCATGGGCGGCGAAGCGTGAATGGTCGATAATCGATATTTCCCCATCTGAAGCTATGATAAAGAATCGATTATTGAGGTGTTCGGGGAGAACTCTCTGTTTATCGATCATTTTCCATGGGCTCAAATGACAGATCAATCAATTCATCGCAAATCACGCCACGCCACTGGCATTCCGAAACCGAACCGAATACCCTCAGTTGGAGAAAAAAGAGGAACACAATGAATTTTTTAACATGTTTCCCGATCATTTCTCCCTTGCCAAAATTGGCGGAGGTGTATGGTCAAAAAATTTTGGCGGAATTATTCGACTTTACGTGAGCCCATGAGTTTTGTCGGAGGGGATAAGATAACCATTGCAATAATTGTCTAATTTTTCCAGAAATATGACATCAGGTGGACTTATGAATGCGATAAAGTCAGCACCAAGGGACCAAACTTTTTATCAAGCCAAGAGAACCGCACTGAACCGAGGCTCACCTGTGAAGTCGAGAATTCAACCTCCAAATTATTCTTTCAGGTAAGCCATGCGTGTTTCTGCTTGCTAGGATTGAGAACAAAATATTTTAGAGATCCAAACTTAACTGCCAAAAAACGTAATCGGGTCAGGCAAAAGTCAATCTCGGGTGCTCAATAACGGATTTTCGATGGGCCAGCTTTTGCACATACACGGTAAACTCACAATATAGTTGAAGAGAAAAAAAATGACATTAATATATTACAAATCAAGGTCCAGAAAATGCGCGCAGCAGTATCAGCTCTCAAACCGGTAATATCAACGCGATCCACCAACTTTAAGAGGGGAAATATTCGATATGAATTTGAGCCGCATTTTGATTGAGGATATGATTCAATTTACAAAACCCCGTATCCAAATGTTCTCATCAGAGATATAAGTTGACCGTTTACATTTTTATTATTTCATCCTATCTCCTTCATTTGACCCTCTCTTTTATGGTTTGTTAGGATACATCTCCAGCGGAGGAATAGAACTCCTTTGAAATAGAGAAATTCCGGGCGTGATATTGTGTGCGCCTTCATTTGATGGATAGGCAATTTGAGTTACCAGAAAGTTAAAATAATTGTATCCCGCTAAGACTTTTTATTTCTCTCTCTGTTTGCCCCGGATATTCTTCAGATTATGCCTAAATCCTTTGGTACGAAATACTTACCTCATGGCACGATTTTTCTATTTAATAATATGTTTTTCTTCTGGTTCTCTAGACTGGGTGCAAAGAAAATTGTTTTATTTATGAAAAATATTGACCTTGTACTAACTATTTGACTGTTTGACTACATACCCATGTTTAGGTCACTGCTAAACCCGAAAATAGTTCGAAACGACCAAATCATGGCGCATTCCGCACAGTGGGTATAAACCTTCAATAGAGAAAAAATCGTGGAATTAAAGGAGTTCAGGGTAGGTCCAAAAATGACCTTTATCGATACCCCTCTTTTGCAAAATAGGCATGTGATATTTCTGTTATCTTTAGACATGTATTTCCATCGGATCTTGGGTCAATTTTATTGCTCCCCATACGTCTTAATTTTCAAAATATTCCCAGAGGAGCTCAATAAAACCCATTTTTTAAACCCATCTTTCTCTTACTGGGATGTTCCATAAAATTCTCAGCTCCATCCATGTTTTCAATTTCCTTTATTTCCTTTCCTTTACTCTCAGAGAGCAGCATTCAAACTGCTCGGAGCCGAATCCATCGTTCTCGATCGACAACCAGAGAAAGTCTAGCGAGGCTAATCAGACACCTGGGAGGGCATTCGGCGGTTCACCGATGGGTCCGACATCTTCGATGCCATGCGCTGAGTCGGATGAGAGGCATCCTGGGAACGGCGGTTACCGAGAATACGAAGAGGGAGCTTGGTTGCGGAACTCAAATTCTTCGATATCCTCTTTCGGAAGTGCAGCTGGGAAGGAGAAACAATATTACGACTCGCCGCTCCGCAGGCGACCCATCAAGGATTGCGCAGACGGGGATCACCTCCAAGAGAGAAACGCCTCGACGAAAGAGGCAACTTCAGCGTTGGAAAGTCGTACACGATTCCAAAGTAAGTTTTCATGTGAGTAAGGATGGTACATGGTGAAGGGGACGCCCGGTGAAAGGGTGGCGATAGCGGGATTTGGATGAGATGAGGGAGTGCCAACTCCCTGATGGATTGTGGGAGGACCGATGAGTTGTGGCGGTTAGGCGTCGCAGAGCACCAGAGAGCGCTGTGAGAGCTACTCTTACGCAAGAATGGTTGACTTCTTGACTTTTGAGGTTGTGTTTAAATATTGAACCAAATGAGAAAATAACACCAAGAAGTGACCCGAATACTGTATGTAACAAGGCGGAGAAATGGTGCTGGGTCCACACCATTTCGCGGGGAAAACGAAGCCGAGAAGTTCCAAAAATTATAATTAGAGTAAAAACTAATTTTTTTTAACTTTAATGAGTACCAGTACAAAACTGAGAGGGGAGAGTGTTTAGCTCAGGCATTTTGCATTGGAATATTAACGTGGCACTTCTCGGGTTCGTTTCTCCCGCGAAATGGTGTGGACCCAGCACCATTTCTCCACCTTGTTACATATTGAACCAATCGATATCAATATAATCTCACCTGTGTGATCCATCGAATACGATCTATAAAAACCATCGAGTGAACGTGCCGATGGGGAAGGGGTGTATGAGACGCGTTTACTCGTGTTGGGCACATTTTTTGAGAAAGCCCTGCACTAACAAAAGTTCACGGAACTTTGCGCGAAAGTTCAGTTCCGTAAACTCATCCCTGTTTGGACAAGGCCTTCCATTTATAACAAACAAACGAAAAAATTATGAAAGAATAAGCATAAATGTGGTTAATAATTTTAACTTCCGTCGCCGCTCCGACCGCACTGCGTTGGGGGCAATGCGTGAAGTATTCATGCAGTCTTGTAGGCGCTATGCGTTTCAAGCCGACTGCTACTGACCGCCATGTGTTGGACGCAATGCGTGAAGTATTCATGCAGTCTTGTAGGCGCTATGTGTTTCATGCCGACGACCGCGACGAGGGCTTCTCCTTTTCAACTCAGTCCTCGCCATCATTGATCTCTGCGCCGCTCCGCCCCAGGTCTAATTGCGAGTTTGGTTTCTCTCTTAACTCGACAAATTAAAGGTGCTGTCTCTTGTATCATCGAAAGACGACAAATCAGAAATTACCATACTATTACTCTCAAAAAATGAGAGATTTTTTCGCCTTTTCTCGTTGTAATTCATTTTCTGAATCCGATTTTTTTCTCTCTTTTTCATACCTACATTAAAAAATATTGCAAAATTTGCCGCCATGAGGCGTGGTCCACGTGGCCACCCCCTTAATCCGGCCCTGCGTGGTTGGGGACGTACACCGTCGACGTCCCTTAATCGCCGAGTTTCGATACCTCTCCTCATTTGTTTATTTATGTATTTTTCAACGAAGAACAGATCAAATTCATTCCAAGGAATTTTCTCAGAATATTCTCATGTAAAAATCCGAAAACGTTGCTGAATGAAGTGTCGATTAAAATTACACACAAAGAAAGACAATAAGTGCAACGCCGCAAATCACGATACCCATGTTGTTTGAGAATTTCACTGTTGATATGTTTCAAAGATTCATCTCACGAGCTATTACACCCACTTATTTCTTACTAGCATTACTGCGTGTCTCAGTGTCTCACATTTTGTCGGATTCGCCTTCAATAACTGCGATGGCAACGTGAGCACCTTGGGAGCTCAAATAGTTGCGCGCAGTATAGTTTCGTCACTTCCACCATGTCCAGGCTAAGAACATGCGTTGACTGGTCAAAACCAAAGATGTCGTTGCCGAGGATTTTTCCCCCTTTTTTTTGGCATTGAAATTGGCTTCCACTGAAAAAAGATGCTGAATAATTTACCGGAATACGGCATCACCTGACTTCCCGAGTCTGACGGGACAGACGCCCCATACGCCAGACTCGTTTTCACCATCTGGATTTTTTTTAGGGAGGATATCGACGGTGAAACTACCAAACCACGTATCTCGTTTGCGGTGTTTAAAAATCTACGCTCACATTTTATTTTTTTGAAGTAGACCAAATCAATACCCTGGTAAAAATGGCAAGTGCTCAGATCAGTAGCACTTGCCTTTGGAACAGACCTAAGCACTGATGTCAGTGCTGCCGGGCGCTGATCTGCTACCTCAGTGTTAGGTCTGTTCCAAAGGCAAGTGCCTCTGATGTAAGTGGCACTGACCTAAGTGTCTCAGACGTAAGCGGAGTGGAAACTCCCAGAAATACTGTACAGGCAAAAATTTC